ACAAGATTTTTTTTATTTAATGCGCCGAGGAATGAACATGACTCGTTTGTACGAATATTTTTCGTACGAACATCAGGTTGTTGAACTATTTCGGCGTTAAGCTAATTTTGAACGTTCTCCTTAAGAGTTGTTCGGAACTTCAGTTCATCTTAATTATGTAACCATTTTTAATTGCCCGCGTCCGCACGCCCCTGACCAGTAGACCGCGACTTTGCGGTACTTCGTAATGCGGAACCGCCGCTTCGTCGACTGGCGTGTATATAAGTTATATGTTACACAAATACTAGTAGAACTCTGTTGTTGAACGGGAAAGACGATTAAACTCTTAACTAAAATGCGTATCGAGAAGTATTTTCGCACTCCGACAACTATTTGTATCGATTTTCACAGCGATCGGTTGAATTGCCATTGTTAAGAAATATAATGGCTGGCAAGCACTGACCTGGACTGTCCTCAGTTGCCGTCGTCGACCCGGGCCCGGTGTAGATAATCTTCTGGCCTGATACGTCCACGACTTCCTTTTATCCACAGGTTCGGTAGAGGAACTGACTTAGTATTGAATTTGGAGCAAGGGAAAAAAGATATGGGGTTGGCCAAAACGTATTAACGTTAGCCGATCGCGCACGTAATCTTGTTCGGAGTTAAAACGTAAGTGAAAGGTCAATTGGTCAAATGTATTGCGGGTGTCGTTGCAATAACGGACGTTGGGTTCAAATTTTGAGTGCTTACCAGTAAGAAAAAAAAAAGAAGGAGGGTTAAGTGAATATTATGAAATTTTTTTACTTCCAAATTATGCTGTTTTGTAGATTCCTAAACGTAAGAAGAAAAAAAAACAATATTTAAATATTGAGTAATATACTCTGTACGCAACAGCCATCTAGTGGTGCATTACAACAAGGCCGACAAAAAGCACTTATCTTACGATATAAAGTAGTAAATTACGATCGACTTTCATGGTCTTTGCCTAAGCGATACGTTGCAGTTTAGCGTAAATGCTATTTTTCATGTGTAAAAGTTGTCAAGCGAGCAGGCTCAACTGATGATGTGATCACATCAGCACGTGTCGTTGATAACACTTAAAATAAGTAAGCCCCGGCTATCTCAGTCTCCGGACGAATCTACTTCGACTTCACGTCGATCTTCTGTGAGACTGTGGTACTTCCGCGGACGAGTCAGTCCATTCGTGCAATAGACGAAGCTTCTACGTGGCCCTACCACAGTAAATATATGCACACATCCGTTTTGTATACAGCGTGTTGTTACCATCGCGACAATAAATGAACACAGGTCTAACGCTACTTGCCAATAATCATAAAAAATTATTAACATAATCCATAATTAAAAAAAAAAATATTTTTCAAACAAACTAACTAAGTAAAAAAGAAACAAAATTTGTAACATCATATACAACTCGCGACACAGCGTCGTATTACAAGCCTCTCCTTCTAACAGTATGTTTTGTCTCTTTTAAATTCATTCAACCCATTCATATGCTTTGTGACCTTTACAAATGAACTTTACGTTACGCTTTTTTAGGCTTTGTTTTGGAAAATTTAATAACTCTGTGAATATTGATGTTTAAAGAATTCAAATGTTTAATACAACTAAAAAGTTATCCCCTATATGTGTGTTCATTTATTGTCGCGATGGTAACGACACCCTGTTTATATATGCACAATAATGGCCTTAGTCTTTTTTTTATGGAGAAAATGGCCAAACAAGCAGTAGGCTCACCTGATGGTAACTGATTACCGCCGCCGATGAACACCTGCAACACTTGAGACTTACAAAATGCTTGGCGGCCTTAAAGGAAAGAGTATGCTCTTTTCTTGAAGGTTCCCAGGTCGCAACGGTCCGGAAAGACGGCCGGCGGCAACTGGTTGGTTCCACATGGTGGTTGTGCGAGGCAGGAAATGCCTTGAAAATCGCGCTGATATGGAACGCTGGACATCGAGGTGGTTCCACCACGGCTTTCGTAGATAAAAGAAAAGTATCCCAATTTGAATTTGTTCAGATAGGCTTTAAGCATTTAATGCTTTTGCATCTGTCTTGTCGAAATATTTCATCAGGGCTCACTCCTAAAGGTTGCCAGCGCAATTGCAACCCCTATGTACCCAAACCAGTTGTAGACATTCATGGTCGGTCATACTTTGACATCATATTTTTCATAATTTTCCTATTTAGTGTCAGTACTGCCACATTTTGAACTTGTGCAGCGAAACCTAATTCTATAAACCTTTAGAAAGTGTTATCATATTGGTGTAAAGAAAACATCGTCACTGTCTTCACTTTGAGTATCCGGAGTTGTATTGGTGTAAAGAATTAGCGTTGAAATTTTAGTTGGCATGCGCCGTGGAAACCATCAGGGATTCCAAATTATAAAAGCACCGTGACATGATCTGATGTAAAATTGCAATTGTTATTCCGTATTTTTATATTTCAGTGTTGTTCCATATTTTCCATCTTCACATTATTTTTAAAAACATAAATTACATTACTATATTACCTACGTTTTCAATTAGTTTATAAATAAAAAGTGATTCAAACTATCTGCAACAATTTCCGGGAATTGTGATCATCGTAGTCATGTCATTGTTTGCGTGAAAAAAAGCAATCGTCAATTAACTTACATCATTGTTTCCTTTTCCTTTGAACACCATGCCCGGCGTTGCGAACAGGTTGGTTATTATTAAAACAGGACCTTGTAATGCTAGAATCCTGTTATCCGACCGCGACCGGATCGCAAAGTGGATACTTACTATACGTGCAGGCAGCTTTCGTTTTGATTTAAGAATTACGATAAAAAGTTGCCATTTATTTACGGAATTACTTCTGAATATCATGACTAAAATGTTATCAAATAATTAATTATCGAAACAGTTCTTATTTGTTTTTGTCATATAATAAATTTTCCTTTTTATATTTTACTATTCTTCACATCAAATACAATGAGAAAAGCGTAGGTACATAATTGTTTGCGTACATTTTTGTTCTATATTCTATTTGAAGATGTTGTTATTTCCATGTCAATCACCGATACGTTATCTACATCCCTTTTGTTAATCAAAGCATACTTTGATTGAGTGGCTTGATTTATGTGACATATCATATTTATTGCCTCTGACAACGACGCTTTCTTCCAACAGTGACGAAACAAGACTGGCCAGTTCCAGACACAGTTACACTTTTATTTTTAGAATAAACAATTAATAAATGATTTTTAGAATAAACATAATATTATTTGTTTAAAACTTGACGCTGATAATTTAAAAAAAAAGTAGCCCGCTGACTTTCTTTCGCCGGTTCTTCTGTCAGCTTTTCTTTTCCTAACCAGTGGTGGTAGTATTTTGACTATCAGTGAGTTGGAATACTCCTATGTTGAATAAAGATATTTGAATTTGAAAAAATAAAATAAAATGATAAATATTTTTGCATCTTGATTTGATTTAATTTTTCTCCATGAAATAACGTTTTAAATCCATATTTGAATTCGGAACGTTCGGGTAAATTAATAATTTTAAAGATTGTCTAACTTAGCATTGGCATATGAGATAACAAAATGCCAGAAACTAAGAAAAAAAATTTATTAATGTCTGTATGTTTTCAACCATTTCCGAATAAATTTGCAAATTCCAATATCATTCGGATTATTTATTGACATTCGAGGCAATTCCACGCGCCAGGTTATAACGTTAACATCCTTTGGAAAACAAAAGACCGTTTCCCTACGCACCGGATGTAATTGAATTAGTACAACCACCAGCGATGTGGAGACAACAATGAATGACTAATTTTGTATTCTACTCATGGGCGCACCTTCCTATTGGAAGTTGGCAGGTAGCATATGTAGGTGTACCGCAAAAAGTTATAAACCATATAGCCGACTATTTAAAAATGAAACTATTTTAAAACGCGGCTATAAAAATTGCAAGATCATTCATATTTAGTGCAAAACCATCATAATTGTAAAAATGGAATAGAGGAATTGTTTCTGTTCCATTTTAATACTTGATATAAAATTAAGAACAACATTTAAGGTATTATCATCTCGGCAAATTATTATCTGCTAATAATAGTGAAATACTGTGTTACCCCGTTATACAAAACTACCGGTGCAGTTCGCTAATAATGGTGTTGCACATTATTGATTTCATTCATTTGTACATCCTACACTCTTTAATATTCTAGTTGAGGGTGGAAACCCATCCATCCCCATGTTGAGGGGGAACATTCGTGGGGCTACTTTAAATTGACAAAATGTTAGTAACGAACTGATGCTTCTTCTGATGTCACTGCTGACGAGTAATATGAAATTAAAAACGTATTTCACAAGACACAGTTTTTTTTAGTTTTATTTATAATTTTATTAATGGTCATATGTAATTAGATTTCACCGTTATTTATATTTTATGATAACTGTAAAATGGCTAGTGTTTATATGAAAATATAATAATATAGGAATTCAGTATATTTTTTTATTAAACGACGAAATAAATGACACAAGTCAAACCGTTAGTTAAACTATATTATCTATGTATGATGCGTACAGAGTAGTCTGATCTCGACAGAGGCATATAGTTTATTTTTAAACGGGCCATACGTGATACAGAGTGCTGTCAGATAATGTTAGGAAAGCCTGTCGTATAAGAGCCGTCGTTGTTCTCGATACAAGCACAACCATGTTTTCTACATGAATCGCTTAACGTGTTTACGATTCAATGGTCGCGTAGTTCTCGATGTTCTCATCGAGCAATCGACGACCGCATGAGTCAACTTGTACAATGTCGATGAACAACGTCGTCAGATAAGGCGCGAATGTCAGGCCGATAGATAATATACGCATTAGGGAATGTTTTCTACAAAATTGGGCGCGTAAATTATTGTAGTTTAACATGCCACTTTGCTTACTTTTTTCCGAAATATTAGAACAGAGGGAGACTTTATACTAGTCTATGTCCTGTAGATAAAATAAAAACATTATGATTGTTTTGTTTTTACAGAAACCCAGCAATGGCCTGCTCCGTTAGTGATGCCCCGTCCCTGAAGGACCTTCCGAAGGTCGCCAATGACCTTAAGAGCCAGCTCGAAGGCTTCAACACTAGCTGTCTTCGGGACGTTGACACTAACGAGAAAATTGTTCTTCCATCAGCTGAAGGTATGTATATGTTTTAAGGAATTACAGCAAGTACATATATTAATTATGCCGTTGTTACCGATTTCGCCTTTCAGCAAGACGTTTTAATTAGACCATTAGAATTATTTGTAGTAAAAAGTAAAATTATGACTTTATATCGTATCTTTATTTATGTATTTAAAGGCCCTAAGCTGCTTGAGTAGAATATTTTTATGCGTTCTTATAGAAACCTAAATATTACTTTTGGAAAGTATTTTTGAATTTTCACTATACTTACTTATTATCATTCAGAACGCAATTGACATCAGGTGGAATAATTTGTTTTCATAACAGACATAGCCCAAGAGAAACAGCACACGGCGCTCCTTCAGGATGTGGAAAAATTCCAACCTTCCAATTTGAGGAAAACCGATACAGTCGAAAAAGTCGTTCTTCCTAACGCACTAGGTATTTTGTGTGCGCGGAGATAAACTAATAACTATAGGATTTTCAACGAAATCCGTTGCAAATTATCATCGGACTTGATTTGCTTTGCCAACTTTAACAACTAAATAGAGTTTTCCATATTTCAACGCACCCTACACGATTCACTATAATGTATAAACTTTGACATATTTCCACCATTTTTAATAATTTGTGTGACCATGATGTACTAATAATTCACCTAAAACAATAAATGGGAGTTTATTTATTTACATGTGTGCTTAATTTAGATAAAAAAAGCTTTATTTAAATACAAGAAATGGACATATTAATCAATTTTCTTCCCATATTAATTTATAAACTTTACACGTAATAAGCATGAAAAATGTGTGATGTTGTCGTTGATAATAATTAAATTGGATTAAAACAACAACTTCGTATGTATAACAAACAAAAAATTGATCGCCTTCTTCATTCACACGTTATGTATATATTGATATGCAATTATTCATAAAAAAAAATTTAACCAACAGACTAAAAATGGATATGATTTGTAGATGGAATATCTCTGATTTGCAGATGTCGCCGCTGAAAAGACTCAAAAATCTTTATTCGACGGCATCGAAAAGTTCGATGCGACCAGACTGAAACACACAGAAACGCAAGAAAAGAACCCGCTTCCCGACAAAGATGGTACGACTGCATTTAAATCCCGCGCCGAATTGCATGCATAATAGTTTCGACATGCCGCCATATTGTGCACTTCTTCACTTGTAATCAGACTATGGAGTTTTTACAATACGAAGTAGTATATAAGTATGTAGAAATTGCCATAAAATGTATTCTACATTAAGGTGGCGTCACTGTGGTAAAAGTTATTTTCTTAGAGAAATCCGCAAAAAACAGATCCGTTCTGTAAAGGCTTTCATACAAGCTTTGATTAATCACAAGTTAAAATGTCTAAAGTAATTCAAGTTTTTAAAATAATACCTTGGTATTTTAACGACACAATTTAAACTTTGATATCTTTATAACATTTATTTTCTGGCTTCGTTGAGAAGTGTGCACATTTCCTTTCTAATTTATTCGGGAAATTTCTTCACTTCCCTACTGGCGCGCCTATTAGCGTTAACTTCACATGAATTTGCTACTCTTTATCCTTCAGACTCTACATCACTTAGAATATAGAGTACTGTGTTAGAAATTATAAGAAATAGACTTTTACCGAGATTGTAAGTGTCATCAGCATGTTCTAAAGAACTGCTTTAAGCATGACTTATTTTTATTTATATTACTTACATATTATTAGATTCTGAAAAAACTTCGAATAAATTTTCTTAACGACATGAAAAACGCAAATATATTTATTTGCTTTTATATAGTTGTTTATATGTGCTTGCAGTAATATTTTCTTTTGAATTATTGCAATATTTATAAGATCGCGAAGGCAGAATAATTTTAATCTCCATATTGATTAGGTGTACGGTATAGGTATTTTTTCAATTTTTATTTGCATTGAAGCTTACTGAAGTGATACTTCTTTTGGCGGGTTAGGGAAAAAAACTAGTGTATTTTTATGCGCGTGACATGAAAACACCAGAAGTTAGACCCCTTTATAACATGAATAGTGTTGAAATCTCAAAATATTCCAAATAAATATCTTATATTGATGTTTTTTATTACGTCAAAGAAGTATAACTTCTTATAAGTACATTATGTACACATGCATTTTGTTTAATTTGGAGGTTATTATTATGTAAACAAATCGCCCTCAGTTCATGCATGATATTTGTGAGAGCTTTTAACTGTAATATTGTTTTGCCCTGCACGATTTTGCTTACGCCAGTTGTCGCAGCGGAGAAACAGCATCAAAACCTACTGGATGGCGTCGAGCATTACGACAAGAGCCAAATGAAGCACACGACTACGGAAGAAAAGAACCCATTGCCGCCAATAGAAGGTTTCTCTTTCAATGCTTTCTTTCAGCACCTTATTTGCCTCGAATGTCCGTTCCCCCGCTTCCTTTTTCTTTTTTGTATAGATAATTAATTCGAGGTAGAATTTATCATTACCTACGGATAAATGTTTATATGCATTTATTTTGTGCCCTGACTTATATTGTGTGTAACTAGTTAAAATTTCTTTTAATTTATAATAATTCTATAGCTCTATATTTACCTATAGGAGTACACGAACTTTTCAACGCACCAAAGAAATAAATTTAATATTTGAGTATGGGCAAGGAGGGTGTGTTGACGTTAGCCTACCCAAAACCACTTACATGATTTACCTGTTTTGATTTCTGTCAACCCCACCTAGTTGGGATAAACGAGGTTGATAATGAATTGAGGTTCATAGAACCAAGAAAATATTATTTTACAGTATTTGGTTCGACGTCCGAGCGCTCCTTTTTTGATTCAGCAAGGCAAAAGAATCTAAGAGGCGCAGGGAAGCGGTAATCTAAAATGTAGTTCGAAAAAAAATAATTTTACCCAAAACTATAAAACCTAGCTGGGGATTTACACAAGGATTCTTTGGAAATCAATATACCAACACCGAGATTTCCGGTGACATTATTTTCTAGTGTATTGTTATATTTCTTCTCATAGCTTATCTAAATTTATTACTCGATTTTTCTCAAACAGCCATCGAAGCGGAGAAGGAAAAGAACAAATTCCTCAACGGCATCGAGAACTTCGACCCAACCAAGTTGAAGCACACTGAGACCTGTGAAAAGAACCCGCTACCGACCAAGGACATCATCGAGCAGGAGAAGACTGCTTGAATCGCCCAAATTATTAATTAACCGCAATTATATCTCGCTAGTATCGCCGTATTTTAGTATCAATATAAGTTTTTGTAAGTAACAGGCCCGTTTGCGTCGTCCGTTGGAATTTACACTTTACTATTGATTCCATTGAAGTTTCCGCGCGATGATAAATATCGTTGGTATTAACGTGAATACTCTGTGAACAACTTAACGGTCTCCATCGTTGTACTAAAATTAACTATTATCTGTGTAACGTTTACGCGGGAAACGTGAAAAAGGCTGATAAAAATTATAGTACAACTGTATTTGTCAATGATAAAATAAGGATATAATACTTTTAGAAGAGATGACATGCTCTCTCAATTTTACAATCGTCGTCTGTGCTTCCGTCTCCTATACCTTTAGTCTATGGACAACTTGAAACGGACTTCGTAAACTGGTCATTATCATTAGTATATAGGAATGGAATTTTCTATGTCACTTTTTAACATGATATAATATGTAATAAGTGTATTTTATGAGCATTTTTATTTAATTTATATTGAGGTTATTAATTAAGATTCAGTACTGATTTTATATTAAGTTGGGGATACACTGCACTCCAAATTAACTTAAATTTATTTACGTAAGACTACATTTTATTTTTGCTTTTGTGCGCTTGTGTTCTCCTTATTATAGTTGAGATAGAATTAGAGGATTCAGAGAATCACACATCGAATTTGGAATCAATAAAATCAGGAGTGTAGTTACCAAGTATAATTTGAAGGAAATAAGAGACTTGTATACTACCGTAAAGTAGGATCAGAAAACAAAAAAAAAATGTACTAACGCAATATTTTATGCTCATGTATTGGAATGCCAAGGAGTCTGTCTTAATAAACATTTAAGCGATATTTTTTTTTACACACGAACAATAAATTTTTATACCGATATACTTGCATTGTGTATGCTCACAATTGTTCACTATTTTTAAAATGCTAATGATGCCAATAAAACCATTTTATCGACAATTTGTATGTTTTACAGACGGTGCTTTTTATAAATATAAAATTTGAAAAAGAAAGTTTTTTTTTTCTTAGAAAGACAACAGAAAATTCGCTAATAGTAGAGATAAAAAATATATTTTTTTATGTGAGGGGAAATGGAAATGAGCTGGCGGTTCAAGTGATAACCGCCGCTCGTTGACATTTGCAACACCCGTACGGTTGCAGATGTGTTGCTACATTTAAATAAAGCACGCCCCGCTCCTCATGCAAGCTACCTCACTCACCAGACAAAACGTAGAACTATAACACATCCACTTCACGCAGTTCTTCTGTGAGGTCGTGGTACTTTCCCGGACGGACCTACCAATTCGTGCAACAGAGAAGGCTGTTGCGTGACCCTTCAATAGTTAAGTAAATAAAAGTTGAAAGAATAAAATCTAGCGTGAGTAGCGCTTACGAGCACAAACGGACCTGCTAAGCCTGTTCGTTACCGGAAGTCGAATGAAAATGCTTTAAAGCTTTGCAGACTAAGTATATTTGATAAGTGTTGGTAAGAAAAGGCTCCATTATCAAATTAAATATCCTGAACAGACGACTATTTCTAGTAATGTTATTTGTAATGTATGAAAAATAACTATTGGACACTAACCGAACGGGTAGGAAAGTTGAAGTTGGCCACTAAATTGTCCATTGGCAATTTTGTATTATGTGCGCAAGTCAGCAGGCGAGTCAAGGGTCTAATCTAAATTTGTTCAATCGAACTCTATCTTCCTCCTGAATCCGCTAATACAATGATGTTTTAATATATAATAGTTATACAAAATTGTTTCATGCAGTTTTAGAGGGTATGCTGGGGATCATTATTCTGTTAGAACATAAAACTCGATCTCAAGCTTATTTTTAGGGTTCCGCATCTCAAAAGGTGTGTCACTACCGTTTTTTTCAGGAACGGGTGGACCGAGCAATCTGAAATTTATACCAGACTAGCGGCCCGCCCACGCTTCGCGCGGGTTCAATGTATACATGTGTACATGTATACAAACCTTCCTCTTGAATCACTCTATCTAGTAAAAAAAAACCGCACCAAGATCCGTTGCTTAGTTTCAAAGATCTAAGCATACATAGGAACAGAAAGACAGGTTTAAAAAAAAAATGAAACAACTTCACATACGAGATCGATACGCGGGAAATTGACATACAAATATATGTCAATTTCCCACGTATCGACCTATATTTAACAGACTGTAAAAAGTATCTAAATAAAGTGTGACTTTTGATTGATTCTTATTTCAAAATTTCTAACGATAATTTTAGAATGTTTGACACTGGTATGTATATACCACGAAATAGAGAAAATAAGTTTTATCTATTTCGTGGTATATACGATATGATGCAATGGAAAGAAATTACATACCTCGGAAACTCATTTGAAGTTTTCAATGCTTTTCAGGTAATTTATGGTAATCCCATTAAAAAATCATAGATAAATCTCATTCCTATAAATTAAAAAAATGTACCCTCATCATGACAAGGTTATTTTATTTTAATAATTACTGAAAGTATTATGTCAATAAATTCAACATCAAAATTTTTCCATAAGCTTAATTTATTTTATATTGTTATATTTTACTCTATTACATAAAATTATAGGGTTAGATAAGATAATCTTAAATAATAACAGTGTAATGTAGGGTAGGTATGAGTAGGTAATGTAGGCATACGAAAGAGAATGTATTTTATTAAAATATGTAATTTAATTATATTAATACATAAAAATACCACAAAGGAACGACCTATGGCAGAGGCAAATCATAAATCCATGCTTATTAATAGAATTTTAAAATAAAAAATATTTTATATTATAAAATAAATATAACGAATTATAACATAAAAAACTCGAAACGGATTCAGCTCAGCTTTTTCAGGTGCATACGTATGCATTGCATTTGGGGCCGAATCTTACGCTTTTTTAGTATTTATTATCCAAAAATTACTTTTAAGTACCTGCTAGCATCTGTAAAAAGTGGTGTACCTACCGTAACTGTAGGGAAGAGGGTATTGATCAATAAAGAAATCACAGTGCGTTCGTCATAATTAATAAATCGATATCACAGAGCCCTAAGTTATGTGGCAGGCGTTATGTTTATAGGATTTAGGATCCCAGCTACTAATGAAAGTTACTGTCTAAATAATATTTTTGCAGGTAAATAATCCATATTTTTTCTAATGGTAACATTTTTGCAAAATGCTATTTTGATGTAAATTTAATTTTCCTTCCCGCCGGCCCTTGACGGTTTGCTTTTGGCACGTGCAATTTTTTCTTGGCATCAATAAAATAGCGCTTCGCCCATATTATTAGCTTGTCACTGATGCTGACCGTTGGAAAAAATTATTTCGGTGAGTAAATTTCTCTATAGTTCATAGTAACAAGCGCCTTGTTTCTCTGCACGTGTTGTATAGGTATTGCAAGCAGCAAAACAACCATTTGCATTTGCCTGACAATGTAGCTACGATATGGTTTTTATGGAATATTTACATTAAACAACATATTCCTAATCGATGTGTAATAGAAATTGCGTTAGCGAACGTCTGATAAATTCTTGGCGTTTTTCCCGGTTCGCGACTCGCGTGAATTGTTGTTGTTTATCTTCAGATCACTAGCAGCTTAATACAATGTCGCCGTCTCCAATTCGCTACCGAGTGCCTTGGAAGGTTAACAAACGTTCCTCCGAGCCGGATAGATGGCTGGACGAAATGGGCTTTTTCCGAAAGCACACCGCTAGGGATTCCAGCTGCCTCTTCAGGGCTGTGTCTGAAAATGTTTATAATACGCAGCGCTATTTCTATAAAGTGCGTATTGATTGCGTTCGATTCATGTCTTCTGAGAGGCACCTTTTTGAAGGGGTGGGTCCATTACCAAATAGTTACGGTTCGATTGTCGTGAATTAATATTTTAGTTTTAATAATATTTTTATTTTTGTAGTCATTGACTTGTTCTTTTGAAAATTATCTGAAAGAGATGTCTAATCCCTCTGAGTGGGGTGGTCTTATAGAAATTTCTGCTATGAGCCATTTGTATAGGTAAGAAAGTTAATTTTATTTTAAACATATACCAGTCGCTTAAATTTAACTGGTTTTACATAACTGTATATTCTTACAGACGTGATTTTGTTATTTTTGAAGCAAACAAAGGCCCTCAAACAAAGATTTGCAATGGGTATGGTAATACAATTTTTTTATTTTATTCTCCTGAAACTAAGCATTTTGATGCTGTTTATACAAAAGAATTCATTAATACTTCATCATTTTGTCAATGTAAGTCCTTTTTTGTTTAGTTTTATTTATTTTAAAATCCTTTCTCCCTGGAAAGTAAAAAAAAGACTGTTTCATTTTTAGCACTTGTTTATGAAATACTATATGATGGTGTTTACAAAATTAAAGATCTTCCATATGCGGTTGACAAAATGCTTCATGATAAAGTGCCATCAAATCACATTGAGTACTTCATGTCTGAGAATGTTGAACGTAGGAAGAAACAAAAGGAAAGGTCAAAAATTTTCATAGAAACCGTAAATGATGATGATAAAGATAAAAATAATAATGCTGTGGCTTTAAAATGCAAGCATCACACTGAAGATCATGAGAAAGGCAGTCTTTTAAAGGAGTCGCTTAGTATTTTTGTATTTAATCGTAGTCTGATTCAACTTGAAAATGTTTGCATTAATTGTCTTAATGTTAACAGTGCCAAAGACTTACTTGACAATGGCATCACACCTTTTCCATATAAAGTAGCGAAGGCCTTAGACCCTGATATTTATCGTAATATAGAATTTGATGTTTGGAGCGATCTAAGAAGAGGTACCTGCAATTTTTATTACTATACCAAAATATCCTTATTATGTAAAAGTTTTCCACACAATAGTGAAAAATGCAATAGTCAACACATTTTAATCATGCATTTTGAAATTGAAATATGATAAATGAATATTAATTTAACAGTGATTAAAATTTTGCCCTGGCGAACAATTTAACATAGTGTAATATTAATTAACAATGAATGATACAGTAATTGTAATAGAAGATTACATAATGATCGTGTGCTTTGCAGAGTTGCGCTATGGTGCCAGATATTCTGATGGCACTACTTTGCAAGTAGGTGTTAAATGCCTTTGCAAGTTACAGTCCAATCAGTCTGTACCATACCACTGCCACATTCAGGAAATGCGACCCGACGGTGGACCTTGTCTTGTTTTCATTGAGGAGTTGGGAGAGAAACGAGTTGTTAGTTATGAGCAATTAGAACCATTACCGGTTGATGAGGTTCGCCCCTGGGCCCCACCTTACAGGTTTTCTCGCACTGGCTCTCAATTCATGACACTGAGCCAAATGCTGCAGCAAATAGGTGCGGCCTTTTGTGTAGTTGTTTTGTATATAGATTTATAAAGTGATTGCGACCATAAAATATAAAACAAATTTCTTCTGACGCCTAAATTGCCCCTTCCCTGATGTATAGGCAATATAACCAGAAAGCAAGGCTTAAAAGCGAGGATTAAGAAAGGTGATGAAATAAAATGCCCCGAGAAAGACTCTCAGAAACAGGCAACAGATTGGAAAGATGACAAAAGTGAACCTGAAGCAATGCAATATGATAACCAGACTATCAACTACTCTACTTACCATCATATGGATTTTTTCAATTTTGAACCAATGCCAGTTAGTTATATACAATAGAAATGTTATGTAGTATTGATCTGGTATTGATCTGGTTTTTATAAACATATCACTTGAATTTCTTTTCTTTTAACCATAACCGTTCATGATTTTTAATAGAATTGGCTATGGTTATATTTGTTAAGGTTCAAAATATTTGAATTTATGTAACTGTTATATGTTATGCTCTTAAATAAGTATTTTTTTAGTATATCGAAAATATCTATGGTGTTAAATCTTCTTTATGTATATGTGAGAACAAAATGAGAATATCACTTGCTATGTTTTTACACAAGATTCAAGTGAAATGTGTATAATTGGGTAGAAATCCATATCGTAGCTAGGTTGCAATCATACTATAAACAAGATTGAGTAGATATTGTACAAGTTGATTTGTTTGTGTGGTTCTATTTCTAGTTGTCTTTTCTTTATAGAATCCATTATTTGGAGGTAATGGAGGTAACCGCTGTAATTATTTTGTTTTTTAACAATAGTTAATTACTATGATGATTGATCTTTGGGAAAAAGAATTGTAGTGTTTGAAATTATTAAGCATTTTATAAATCCTAGTCTGGGTATATTTGTATGTTTTAGAAATGTATGACCTTTAAGGTATTGTGATCCTGTTCTTTTTGTTTAGCATTGGAGCTAATTACAGTAAATCTATTCATTTATAATTCTTTGAGTTGTTAAATTCTGAGTTAAAAGCCAAAAAAAAAATGATAATTCATAAATTTGCAATGTCTGAATAATGAAAATTACACAACTCTGAATTGAAATTGTTTTGAAGTAACAAAATTATAATATTTTTTTATAAACCCTAAACTAGAGTATAAACCACTATATAGTTTGAGCTATATATTTTAGGTCCTATTTTTGGTGAGTCTATGTTTATTTTATTTGAAATTTCTTTCCAAAACATTGTTTATATTACGTAAACAAATGTTTCATGTGAACTAAATATAATTGTTAAAAGCAGGAATTGTAAAAGCAGTGGCCTTTCGCAAAATTGTTGTGTTTTTCCCAATATGCCAATTCCCAGTTCTAAAAACACTTGTTAGCATCAGCTTATAAAATGAGCCGACTCTCTACCATTTATTATGATACCTAATACAACATTAACATAGTATTCCCCTCAGAAAAATCCTTAAATAACATATAATTTGTTTCTTTTGTTTCTTTTCACATGGTCTCATGGTTTTATCTGACAAAAACATCCCTCTTGTCACATATTCTCAACGCGTAGACACAGTTGTGACCATTACGGTTTGAGGGCTAATAAGAACATTTTTTTTGATAGAAAATCTTAGGCAGCGCGGACGAGTCGTTGAAACTCAAATCTTTTTAGGCGCATATTACACGCGAAAAAAGAAAGATATCTATCGCGCATGCGCGCGTTTTAGATGCCCGCGTCATAACCAACTCAGAAACGGCTGAGGCACCACGTCTTGTGTGCTAAATATTTGTCGTCGTTATTTACGTTATCAAATAATTCCAATTCTAAGCGCGTCTTGCCAAATCAACTCGATAAATTTTAATATTTTTGTTTAGGTTGAAGTGGAAACGCTACCCCTGATGGTGGACTGCCGGCAGTCGGCGGGCACCCCGGCCCATGAGATGCACACCCAGCACCAGCACAACGGAGCACAGCATGAGAATCACCACGCGCAGGTATTTCTGTTGTTTTGCATTTCATCCGGAAAGCGAGCCAATTCTTCGAAGATAATTGTTACAAAACTAACACAGGACCCATAGAGGCCACAACTACTTCCTGACCTTTATAATATAAAGATAATTGTTTACAGTAGTGGCACCGGTGTTTTTCTTAAATTTAATCCATAGAGAAACATAACTGTAACTGTACAATTAACAAACTGTATTATCCATCACTGTCATATATTTTGTACATAATGTGGAAATATAAATGCAGGCTGCGGGCAGTGGTGCTGGTGATATGGCTGCGCAAGGTGTAGCTTCCCCAGCATCGGTGAGAGCCTCCACTCCGGCCACCACTAATGCCCTCGCTCCATATTCGGGTATGTAACATTTATATTTAACTAATAGTATGCGGCTTGAGACAATTGCCAAGACTCATTCCCAAATATCCAAATATCACTTTTGAGTTTTAATTGTTAAACACATGAAAGCCACCGAAGCAATGTACACTTATACTGTACTATACCGAAACAACCATCTTGTCCTGTGTGCGAACTGGCAAGATTACCATCACACCATAGCACCGGCCTTGAAGCCAGAATAAGGATGTTGACCACTTGGCTTAGTAGCTAGAGCGTTTCGACTCGAAATTCGGCAAGCACAGGTTTGAATCATGGCAGAAGATTTTGCAACAGTTCATTTAAATTTTTAAACAATATTATTGATAACTTAGTATTCTTCAAATTTAAGCCGTCTTTACCGTCGAAACTTCTAGATTTAGATCAAGCAAGATTGTGTGACTTCATGATATAACATTTTATAAGTCTTCTTTTTTAGAAAACTAATATTACCCAAAATTATGAGCGGAACAAAATCACAATAATTTAGCACATATTCAAATGAAATGGCAGAACCATTTCATTTGAATAGTTTGGAAATTTTTTAAGTAAAAATTGTTTGATTTGTATATGGATCTGTATATTTCATTTTTGTTATTTGAGCTTATAATATAAATACTTGTATTGTAGGTAATGTAGGAGTAATGTAGGTTCTTCATGTATTAAAGAAAGAGAGGTTGTGTGTGTGCTTTGTGTATTTACAAAGCATACTTAAAACCTTTCCAAGAATTGGAGTTGATCATTAGGGAAAAAAGCTCCCCATATTTTCGACATAATCCCTTGCGAAAACGCCCTAATTAGGAGGGTATATTTGAAAAATAAAATCATAAAAAATTCCTGTTTATTTTCTTCCTTTGTCAATAATATTTGTTTATCTTTTGGCACGGTAATACCTAGCACTCTGTGCCATATAATTATATAAATGACATGACATGAGCCGTGATAGCTCAGTGTCCAGGCACCTGCCTCTAATTCAATTTAATCGAGCAACCTGAGTTCGATACCCGGTGCCAGCACCAATTAAACTGTTAATTTTAAGTGCTGAATTATCACGTGCTCAGTGGTGAAGGAAAACATAGTGAGGAAAGCTGCTTATTTTCTAAACAATAAGAAAAAAATATTTTAGAAAATATGTGGTCTTTCAGTCCGCAGTGTGGCCACGTCGTGGACTTTGCCCTGATATCCTCTTTACAGAGGAGGCCTTTGCCCAGCAGCGAGCGCGTTCCGTATTATATAAAACTAGCTGTGCATGGTTGCAATATATTATACATACAAACCTTTCTCTTGAATCAGTTTATCTTGTAAAAAAAACCGCATCAAGATCCATTGCGTAGTTTTAAAGAACTAAGCATACATAGGGACAGTCAGACAGCGGGACGACTTTGTTTTATACTATGATAAATTTATAAGTGTTAATAAATATATAAAATAACATATACATATATATATATGTGAGTCACCAAAGAAGTAAATACAGATGCAAGATATTTTGAAAATATCCCACGCCGTAAGTGGGTCTGGGTAAGTGACCCGACACGTTGCGATCCTCGGGAACCATCCCCATTGATCGGGCTGTATCTCGGTTAGCAGATGGCTAACCGATGGTGACTCCTCCTGTGAACAGAAGACTCATACCTTACCGCGGTCGCGGTGTTAATTGGGCAGAAATGTTAATACAATTACTAAACTACGTAGGGGGACGGAGAGGAATACCTACGAGGCTTAGGGAAATGGGATGGGTGTGGGACCTAACTACTTGGGCTAGGATTGAGTGGTGGGGGGGGGGGGGGGGGGCACGGGCTGGGGACTCGGGCTCCCCCTGAGCCCGAGTCCCCAGCAGATCTCGTGGGAGCGGTCGATCAGCCGGTGGGCGAGCGTGAAACGGGGCCAAATTATTTAAAACGTAAACGTGGACCGTTATCCGCGCGGTCGAACACGTTCCGCGAAAGGCGGGCTATGAAATCGGATACGGATTCTGTTTTTAAATTTTGCGCTATCACGTCGTTCGCGGACGAAACGGCGCGCCCCCACGATCACACGCAGGGTGATGTTCCGCTGCGCCAGTAGCCTTTAGCAGTAGCAGTAGCAGAGCAGTAGCAGAGCAGCCCGTACCACGCTGGAGCGTGGAAGTATCCCCTGACTGTGATTGTGCAAAATATAGCTGAGTATTATTACTCAGCTATATTTTGCACATTTTGTTGATTATATATATATATATAAATATATATAATTTAAAAAGTGGAGTCTGCTTCTGTAATAAACCATGGCAAGCTATGCTACTTTGCTATGTCCCTGGTGAAGGTGAAGGTGAAGTGAGGAGCCTGAAGAGGGGAGGTTATCGATTTCCTCAAAATATTACCTACCCACGCGTCTCGTTTATTGTAGGGGAAAAGCACCAATTAGGGCGCAATAATGCGAAGAGTTCTCCTCAAAGATGCCAATTTCGGGAGATTACAAAAAAATCTCGTACTTACAAGAAATTTCTAAAGATGTTATTTATGATAATGAAGCAAATTCTGCGAAATTTCTCCAGAAAATCGTCCTTTTGTACTTTCGTTTTTATTGTTCCATTTCGTTAGTAAAGAAGAGGCAACCGAATACGCTATCTCTTAAAGGTTGACGACGCAACTCGGCAAAGTCCCCGGCGTTTGCTGCGTAGATGTGCTTGGGCGGTAACATTAGATTAAATCATAAAAAAAATGCCGTAATAATTATAGAGTTTGATTCGGGGCGGCTGTGACTTCATTATTTTTTTTATGCCAAAAGTTGGGCATTGAACACAACTATGTAAAAAGTGGGCTCCGGCTACCTCACTGACCGGGCGTTACCCGGAAGTCCACTATATGAGCTTATCCATTCATGCAAGCGGGTTCTACCACAGTGTTTGGTGCTAGTATTGTAATTTATTTGGAAGGGATTGGGTAGTAAGTCAATCCAATGACCAGTGCGAACTAGAATAAATGAATAAATAATATTTCGGGACATATTTTAACACAGTGTTATCCGAAACTAAGCAAGGCTTGTACTATGGATACTAGGTGACTGATAAACATACTTGTACATATTTTTCTTTTGTAAATAAATACATATTATAGATATATAAATACCTAGACACTGGAAAAAGCGTAGTAGCTCTCTTATCTCTATCCGGCTCTCGGTAGTGGTTACAGCCCGTATGAGCGGCAGTGAGAGAGATAGCATATCTTACAACTGGACTACCTGAAATTCTTGTCCTACCGACGTTGCTAGCTTTTTTTTTATGTGAGTAAAGTTGCCTAGCGAGCAGGTGGTTCACCTGATGTTAAGTGAATACCACCGCCCATGGACATGACGTTTGACGTCATGTCCATGGTTCCCCAGGGTTTGACGCTTCGACAACCTTTTGAAAATCGGGCTCCGGCCACCTCACTCACCAGACGAACGAAACGCGAAACTCTCGAACCATTATTAATCGGTCCGTTGCAGGCGGCGGGAACCAGGCGGCGGGAGCGGGAGCGGGCGCGGGCGCCATGGGCGGAGCGGGAGCGGGAGCGGTGGCGGTGGCGGGCGCGTACGCTTGTTCGCCGTACGCGTGCAAGCCGGTGGTGTGGTGCACGCCACAGGCGCACGTGCCGCCGCCGCCGCCGCCCCCGCCCGGCGTCAACCCGCACGCCGTGCGCAGCGTGCACGCCAACGGCTCCGACCTGCCGTTGAACGGTGAGACCACGCCGTCAATCACACCCGCACTGGAATTGATTAATGAAACGTGCTACATTGTACACCAGTCAATATTAGAGAAGTAACGAAAAATTACATGCAGGTACGATTGGTGTCCTTATCGCTTAGACACAATGACCAGTGAGAAGGGGTTGAGGTGTACGGTATTGTAAATATAGTTGTTATAGACACATGTACACAATCTTACTATACACAAATAAATTAATATATATATATGTAGGAATAAATACATATATGTTTATATATAAACAGAAGGTACTTGTTCCGAAGCTCTTCTCGGAAAACTACTTAAATAAATTAACAGCTCATGAAGTTTCACTGCTGATCAAAGGCCTTCTCTGTACAGAGGGTATTAGGGCGTAGTCCACCACGCGTCCCCACTGCGGTTAAGCGGACTTCGCATATCTTCGAAATGTTATTAATTCGATAATATGCAGATTACCATGACGTTTTGAAAATTAACAATTTCACTTATAAATTAATAATAACAATTGGCACCAGGATTTGAACTCCGGTTGATTAGGCTATATTGAATTAAACGCCTTGAGTGCCTTGACACTGAGCTATCACAGCTCTCGGAATACTCCTGTTCGAAATTTGGAGCTGACCCACAGGAAAACTGGGTATGAACGATCTCCCGGTGCCTTTTGAAGTAATTTGGAAGCTTTCACAATCACCTCTGATATTTAAATTGTATTATAATACATGGAGTGTGTAAAGCATGCCATGTTTAGCTGTTTCATTTCCTTTTTGGATACAGCATGGCTTCTGGAATGGGTAGTCCCTGAAGTGTGTTCATTGTTTTAGACATCCCAACACTACGTTTCTACTACAATGTGGGCTTAGAGTGTATTTGGGCGACGTATGGACCCCCGCCGGTCGTCCCACCGCGCCCTTACATGGCACGAGATCTCGCTCAGGTATTACCTTATTATTTATTAGACATACGCACAGTATACATGTTAAAAAATTAAGTGATATCTCAATATATAAAGTTCTTGTATGGACAATGACTGCGATGTCCCTGACAATGGACAATGACCAATGACAGGTATATACAACTATGGAATTATTAATAATACATTATCCGAAAGTACACTAGACCCCAGTACAAGATCACCTACTGCTGGTATTAGAAACCAGTGTAACATGTATTTGATTTTTCTAGCATAATTTTCTTTTAGAATAAAAATGGATAGTTTCTTAGCGGACCCCATAATATGTTTGTTGTGATACAGGATATGCAGCAAATATCACTGCATGAACGCCCGGTGATGAACCATGGTTCTGGAGAGCAGAACCATAAGCACAAGCCACCCCAGAACGATAAGCCTCCACTAAACAATCAAGGCAAGGGTAACGGGCAGAGACCCCTGTTGGGACCCAGGTATGTTTATGATAAATTCATATTGTAAATGCAATGTGTCACCACCATTGTTTTTACTGTTTAATTGCTGCACTCTGCTCCATACTTCAATGAGAAAAATCTCGTAAAGGTTTCTTTTATAAAGCAGTAGCTATAAAAGATTTTGTAGAAACCCACAATAAAAAAGTTTATTTTTAATTTGACACTGGTTTTACTGCATGCAAATAATTTGTCTCAATAAATTTTTTGTTTTAATGTCCAATTGTAATATAGAAACTGTGATTTTGGAATTTAGTTGCTTCTTTACTGCAGGGAAACTTCATATTTAAATTTTGCATTTAAACATATCTAATTTTATGTAACTTGACCCACAAATAATTCAATTTTGACATGGTTTCTAAAGGAGTAGGTAATAAGAAGGGCATTGTATAAATATATTTCTATTATCATGCATGAAGCAATTGTGACAAGCTTTTATCTAAAATTAATACTAAAAATAAGCATAGAATGTAAACTTAATGTTTGTATGTCAAAGCATTTCTACGCCAGAAATGGTTGAATATGATGGAACTGTACAATATGTTTGTCAACACCTTTTATACCATATTTAAACAAATAAATAAAAATTGGCTTAAATCATTATTGGATTCATCTCCGTGTACAGATTCAAACGGGGCGGCAATCAAGATGGCAACCAAAACAGCAACCATAACCAAAACAAGGGCCATAACAGTAATATGGCCAACAAAGGTCCAAACAACCGGTGAGAGTAATATCTTTACATTTTACAAGAATTCAGCCTAGCTCATGGCATGTTTGAGCTCACAAAACTGAAAATTGCCGAAAATCCATTGCATTTCTTGAAATGGTTTTGCAGTATGCGTTTAAAGATTTATGGTAGGTGAAAGCAGTTGTTAATTTCATTCTCAGTGATGTGCGTGATAAATTATTATTTGAAATGATTTGATAACAGGTTTTCGTAAAACGAAATATGAGCTAATTTAATATCGCTTTTTTTATTTAAATTTCTTCTTTTTTTAGAATTATCTCTTTTCGAAAAATGTATGTCATTTTGATTTTTGCACTCAATTTCCTACATAATTTTATGTTTCAATCAAATTGATTTTAGTCTATTTGTCAATTGATTGCTATTTTATTTATCGAGCATAGGACAAATTTTATGGTTCGCCTCCATATTACATATGGCTCACATTGAGTGCAGCTGAAGCAACAAAAGGTAGAAAACATTAAAATGAATAGTGAGAATCCTCGTTGAATTAATGTTTGCTAGAATACTTTACCTTTTAATTCATACAGTGAATGTCACACAATGAATAGTGGCCCTGCTTGGCTTTATGAATATTGCAAAGAAGGGAACTCACAAGTATAAAGACATATGGTTAAACACTGATCATCATAGAAATTAACTAATCAGCTGTCAAATGGCTTCTCAAATGTCATTTGACCTGCCAAAACCGGGTTTCAGAAACCAGTTGTTATTACGAAAGCTGGTTCCAACTTTAAAGAGTTCTCTCAACTAGGCAGACTCACCAGTTCATTTATTTATTGATAGCATTATCTCATATAAAAACTTGTATTAAGGAAGAGTAATCAACGAGTTATTAATTTCTAAGACTTACTTTGCCAATATTGTTACTTGTACTTTTCTTGATCCTATAAAGATATTATCCATTTGTTTCAGCCGCAATTCCTATTCGGATAATCGCAACCCACCCCATATGGGTTACAATGCCGACGGAGAGTGCATGATGGAGCAGCCAGTGATGACCATTCCTTACATTCCATATCCACCACCGATCTACCCGATCCCGTACTACCCCGTTGAATCTGATCCAGGTGAATAAAATCCGGTCAAATTTAAACAACGAAAAATTATAAAGCCCGATTACTTCTACAAAAATAGTAATGTAACCGCTTCAAAACATATACACTAAAGTATCTATTACGAATCAATCATTCAAAACCTAACACTGGCTAATGCTTTTATTTGCGTGTATCCTAAATTACAACACACTTCTATATATATCATAGTGACTGGTTCTTACTGGATTGGCATGATTGGTTATAAAATAAATATAAAAATAATAATATAATGAATATCTTTTATATAACGCAATAGTAAATTTCTTATCATAAGACCTAATGGAAAGCCTTTACCTATATTGTATTTGGTTCAGTTGATGTTAAGGGATAATGCACTGCCAGCTTTTAATAAAGCGGGCCCCAGTTATCTCAATCAACGGACGAAACGCAGAAGGATAACACTCACTTCACAGAGGTCTTATTTGAGGTTGTGGTACTTATCCATACGAACCCGACGTGGCCTTATCACAGTGAAGTCTGTCTCAGCCTGCAAATACATATTACTATTATTTTTTTTTTAAATATCTGTAGACACATTTTTACACAACATTCTTTAGTCCCAAACTAAGCAACACTTGTACTATGGGTACTAGAAAATTTATAAACATACTTTTACATATTAAACAACCAGACACTAGAAAAACACTATGTTCATCGCACAACATTTTTCCAGCAGTGGGGATCAAACCCACTCCCTAATGAACCCGCCTACTCGCCACGCCAATCGGCGTCACATTGAAGTTTAATTCGAGCGCACACTTATTTATGTCGCCCGTTCCAGCCATGATGGGCATGATGGGCGGCATGAGCTTCGTGGGCTACGAGGACGGCGTGGAGTACGGCGCGCCGGTGCAGCACTACTACCCGGCGCCGCACTACCCGCCGCCGCCGCACGTGCAGCACGTGCCGCAGCACGTGGCGCAGCCGCCGCACGCCGCGCTCGCCCCCCACGCCCCCCACGCCCCCCACGCGCCGCTCCAGGCCCACCCGCCGCAGCACCACGCCGACCACAAGTAGACGCCGCGCCCCGCGCCCCGCGCCCCCGCCCCACGCCCCTAGTTGCTCGCCCGCCCGCTTCTAGGGTTCGAGAACGTTCTAGGACTCCGTTTGAATTTCTCGAAGTATTGAACTTATGGCGTTCTGGTATTCTCTTTTTGAAATTTTCTAAGTAGATATTAAAGCGGAACTTTTTTTAAGCCACGCCTTCTTATTCGTGGTGTTCTGGAATTTTCTTTTTGAAATTTTCGAAGTATTAAAGCAGCAATAACGTGCACTCATTGCTCGCCCGCACGCGCGGAGGGTTCAAGAACGTTCTAGAACTCGTTTGAATTTCTCGAAGTATTGGAGCGTTTGTAGCGTTCTGGAATTCTCTTTGAAATTTTAGAACTATTAAAGCAGCAGTTTAACGTGCACTCACTGCTCCTGCTCCCCCGCACGTGCGGAGGGTTCGAGAACGTTCTAGAACTCATTTGAATTTCTTGAAGTATTGGAGCGTTCGTAGCGTTCTGGAATTCTCTTTTTGAAATTTTCGAACTATTAAAGCAGCAGTTTAACGTGCACTCACTGCTCGCCCGCACGCTCGGAGGGTTCGAGAACGTTCTAGAACTCTGTTTAAATTTCTCGAAGTATTGGAGCGGAACTTCCTTGTCCCGCCTACTCGTTCGTTGCGTTTTGGAATTCTCTTTTTGAAATTTTGCAAGTATTAAAGCGGATCTTTTTTCTCCACTCTTTTTATTCGTGGTGTTCTGGAATTCTCTTTTTGAAATTTGCGCAGTATTAAAACAGCACTTTGGTGTTTTAGGATTCTCTCTTTTTGAAATTTTCTCAGTATTAAAGCAGAACTTTGATGTTCTAGGATTCTTTGTTTGAAATTTTCGCTGCAATAAAGCAGAACTATTTGTCTCTACCTACTTATTTGTGTTGTCTTTCTCTTTTTTTTTTTTGTAATATTAAAGCGGCACTTCGCTACACCCTTTTTTTTGTGGTGTTCTGGAATTCTTTTTTTGAAATATAAGTGAGGCACTAATTGCTACTGCCCACTATTAAAAACAGTTCTAAAATCTTCTTTTGAAGTACTAAATTGGCACTTGTTTTACTCGCCCACCTATTGTTGTTTGTTCTAGTATTTTCTTCTCAACTTCCTCTGGTCTCTTAGGGCGTCTTTGATGACTGTGTGTCACTAAGACTTTTTTTTATTGCAATACATGTTATAAAGTCAATCTCACTACTCAGTACATCTGTTTTATTCAACCTTAACATTGGCAGAATCATTTAATTACCCTTGATGAATATCTTTTCTTTAATATCAATTTGCAGTTTGTTTCAACATTGTGACGTAATATTTAGTATGGAAATAGGTCTGAAAGTTACTTTTAGATATATCTATATATTAATATCAAAATATAGATATCAAGTGCTGAATCAAACATTATTGTAGTAACAAGTGGGGTTGTGGATGTAAAGCCATCATCCATGTGGGGCAGTAAACTTTGGCTTACAACGACAATGGCTCATCGAAAATGGTATATGAAATGGTTTTAGATTTAGTCTGAAGTTATATTACTTGCAGGATTCCAAAAGCGTTGAGTCAATTAATATGGCCATTTATTACTGAATAAAATAAACAATAAACAAATAGTTTTTTAATGTTTCATACAAACATTAATTGAAACCTGCATGTAATATAAATAATACATTAACGTGAGATGATACATTAAGAATTTTTAGTGGTCTACATGTTACGACAACATTTTCCCAATAAGTGTGTACTTTATAAAGACTGTAGTATTACGTACAATAGGGGCTATAAAGTGTCTTTTCTTCACTTAATAATGGCCATAATTTCATTACTATGAATTATTTTAACAGAACTAAGTATTGATTAATTAAAAAGTCCAAACTTCTGATAAGTAAAGTATGAAATCCAAAACGTAATGTGAAATTATGAAGATTAACAACACAATGCAAATTAAATTTAACAAAAATAGGGACGCGTTATGGCCGCTAGTCATTCGAAATGTATCGCAAAAAATTTGCCACAAAAATAAATTGCATTGATACATGCAATGTATTCTTGTTGCCGTTGTGCTTTTGGTGTAGACTCATTGTAACGTCAATTTACATTGTCAATTAATTCAATGTAAATTTGTGTTGTATAATATCTATACTTAATGTTGGGGTAAGTTGGTTAGGGGGTGAGAGAACAATAAAATGTGTTTGCCGAGTTGATGGTGGTCCAATCCGGGATTAAGAACAACAGGAAAATGAATGTCTGATATTATTTTACAACTCAAAAATTTTGCATACAATACATTTCTCTGAGATGTGATATGTAAAAAGAAACATTCTCAAAATGCAAACATAATATTTAGTCGACTTGTACTTTATTATATTAACCATTTGTTTAAGTTAACATGCAAACTGATCCACTTGACTGATGCCTAATGGTAGTTTTAAAGAAATGCTCAAATATTATTATATTCGACATATCAAGCGGAAGTATAACTGGTTAATTAATATCAAAAACACAAAAAAATGCTCACCATCAACTTTTATCTATAGAAACAAGAATAAAGACAGATCTTAATTAATAACATTATGGTCCCATAGCACAGAAGAGCACCGTGTGATGATCACAAACCATTTTGGCCGCTACGGTAGTTTTCCGAAATTTTTAATTCCTAAGTGTTCATTGGTGCTGTATAACATTCGAGGTTGACAGGGTTTCCGAGGTATTTTTGTAGTGCGAGGCGTATACATTGCAACACGTAAAATGTAATCTGTATATCATTCCTTATGTAAGGCGCAATTGTAAAATTTAAGCCAATGTAATAAGGTAGTTTTTACTTTGCTAATGTCTGTTTTTAAGCTTCAACCCGCCACTGGATGCAGCACGCGACCCTGAAATGTCACAAACAGTCGATCAAGAGGTGCTTCTAGTATTTTATATACATATGTGTATCAGAATAAAATAACATCTTGATACTAATTGTTATAAAGTTTCAACTAACTACTCAAAAGAGTAGGACAAATCAAACAGCAAACAGTATCACATGTTGCATTGAGTGTGTACATAATTGTTGGTTTCATTTTAAGTTTAGATTACATAAGTCATTACTGTTCCACTATCCTAAATTGTAGTCTCCATCGAATAGATTTAAACGAGCGATCTCAAGTTCAACACAATTCGATATCCTCGAATCTCCCTACAGTTAGTCTTAACTGATTTGGCGCGCTGATTAAGAAGAAATTAGAAATAACAGATTACACGAAGGTATCCTAATTTGATCTCATGTTTAGAACTGTCAGTTTAAGAAAACGTGGTGCTTGGGTAGTTGTATTTTTTTTTTCTTTAGTAATAACACTAACATTACACGGTTTTGTATGGTTGTGTAAATTGTACGCGATAAGCGCAGTGTTTTGTGTGTCATATGCTGTTTTTCACCTATTATGACCCTAGTCTCAGCATTTACTACTAATAAGTATGATTGGACAACGCGTGTTTTGAGGAGTAAAAAGGAAAGAGATTGAAACGATGAGTAGAAATGAATGCATTTCTTTGAGGAGTCTACTATCTACCTACATATTAATTGTAGCGAAATCTATTGTATTCGTCAGCACTAGTTATTTGTGCCAAAATGTGTAACACAATCCTTAATATATCTCGTATGTATTATATAAATATGTATTATTAACATTAGTATAACCTAGTATTGATATTTATATATCGATGTTGGTATGCAGATAAATGTATATCCCATTTTGTGCAATTAAATTTGCCATTAGTAGTTTATTATACGTACGTAATGGATATTCTCATCACTGTATTACATACTTTCCAGTTTTCTCTTATGCACACTTCAAATTTCCCCGATCTATTTTTGGAAGGTTTATAATATTGGCTGTGATTGGAGGTTAAACTCTGAGTGTTGGTGAGGAGTGGCAGAAGGATTTAGGAAAGAGATTTTATCATGGTTAGTCACAGATATTACTTACAACTCTACTTGAAACAGTACTTCTTTTTTTTATGCTGTCGGCATTTATTATGACCCCTATTTTTATGATCTATGTTATTAAGGAAATCCCTCGTGAAATTGTGACTAAGCTCAACAAACGACTTGTGAATTTTTCTGATCCGCCCGCGATTTTTGATCCTTACATATTTCTTCTTAAACTTAAGTATATAATATTCTATATGGTAACGTAAAAACGAAATTTTTTATTGTTTGTACAAAGCGTTGTTTCAAAAACATCCGAAATTTAAAAAAAAAAACAAAAAAAATGTATGTGTAGTACTTTATATATAGGTTTATGTGTGATGTTTAATGTAAAGTCATCTTGGTGTTTCAGTATTAGTTTTAAAATCATTAGGAGTTAGAATTTATGTTAGTCGTTAATTAATATTTACGTAAAAAATAATATAGTGTTATTTTTTTTTTAAGAATACATCTTCAGTTTTTTTTTTATTCTCGATCCTTTGAGTATATACGCGCCGCCCTATTTTGATTCAAACAGTTGGTAAAATTTTTGTGCCAAGTTAATATAAATAAAACAAACTTATAACAAAACAGTTAAATACGTTAAATTAAACTACTTCAAAATTTACCATTGAAAGAAATTCCTGTATTCGTATTATACTATGTGAACTACAATAATTTTGTTGTGAATATAATATATAACTAGTTGTACGTCTTACTGTATGGTTGTATCGAGCTCAAAGCTAGCGCAAGTCCGCCTTTGAGATGTTATTGGTATTATTTTTTTCCAAATTTCAGCAAATAAAAGTCAACTGATTTTCCAATTGCTGTTTTATTTTTCGTTTATAGTATTCTTTACATTTAATTCGGTGTTTTATATCCGTATCATATGTTTATTGGTTGAAACAAACAGATTAATTCATCCTAAGTGTTTGCTGTAGAGGATAGCGTCAAGCATTACTATAACGTATTGTATTTACGTAAAGAACAATAAAATTAAGGCGCTGTATGCAGTAAAAATAGGTTTTTCAAAAGATTTTTTAGCAAAATTACACATTTTATAGCAGCCAAAAAAATATATGTTAATCTTGATCGTACATTCTAAGGGAACATTGTTTCCAAAACATGTTCTCGATAGAAAAAAATCATGAAACTACCTCTAAAAGAGAAATTCAAATCCAAAAATAAACGTAATACATCAACAAATCTTAATGAAATTAATATCAGTGGTGTAGAATATATTAATAAAAAGGATTGTTGTTTTAATTTTTTGATTGATGTAAGATATTTGTAAATATTATTTTAATTCATTAAAATTAATTCGAACGCGATGGCCAAAACACCGCGCCACCGCGGCGTTGTTTCAGTTCTCTTCCAACTCCACACGTTGAAGTGAACAGAGAGCGCTGAGGCGCCTTCAAAGAGTACTTTTGTATATCCGCTGGGCGCCTTGCTAGATGGACTTGTGCCGCTCATCGCCCGCTCACCGTTACGAAATATGTTTCGTATTTATTTATTTATTATTGAGAGTTTTAATTTTATTAGACCTTCTAAAACACGAAACTAAAAAATATATATTCACATATTTCGTATTTATAAATTATTTGTATGTATTAACAGTTGTTAATTAATTTATTTAAAGCGTAATTTCAATGTCTTACCTCGTGATTGGTCTATCAGTCCTATACATACAGTGTATAGGACCATCATTCTTTATGGATTGGGTTCAAATCAATAAATATTTTGTTGTACTTATTGTTGATTTTCTTATGTGGGAATATATCTTAATTACCATTTAATTTTTGTTACTTTTTTATTTTCATATATAATTACAACGAAATATTATTGTATTTGTTCAAAGTTGAAACAGTTGGAGAACAATCTATCAGTAAATAAACCAACTTTTAGTATTAAAATTTTTTAACGTCATCTATTTTTTTATTAAAATATTTAATTTTTCACGCTAAAACGAAAATTTATCTTATACACCAAAAATAATTGTTTTATAATTTTTCTTATTATTTTGTTTATTTCCCAAATTTAGCCATTTTATAAAGTAAAAACAAAAAATTTGTTGGCTAACAAATTATTTTGTTTTTAAATAATATAAAAAATACAACTCCGCTCGATGAGGGTTTGAACTTGAGACTACACCTACAGCAAAAGTTTACCGTTGTGTATAACGCTCGGACCAACAGGCTACGCGAGGTCTCTGCAAAGCATGAGAGTATTAGTGTTCTGTGGTGCAAAGTAACAAAATTTCGATTCTTGTTATAATTGCCGTCGTTTATCGATACAAATAAAGATTTTATCGATAGTTTTTTAAATTTCATTTTAGTTGACAAAGTACTATAACATAGTAAATCTTGAACATTTAAAGGATAAATTAAAATTCCTAATATATAAAAAAAAAATTTAATAATAAAGTTGTTTTCGTAATTTCTGCAAAAATTTTATGAGCCATTTTTTTAAAATAACAATATAAAACATGAAAACAAAAAATCATAATTATAAGTAATTTGCCTTTATTAATTTATTTGACTTTAATATGTATTTTTAATCAATTCCTTTTCCATTTAATTAAAAAAGTAATAATAAACAGGAAGAAAATTTTCTAAAATTGTTGATTGCTTTCTCATACTTTATATTTGTTTGTTTATTATTATTCCTATAATAATATAAAAGTAAAATACAATCATGGTCTATAAAAGATATTATAGTGATCATCTATGTACATTTTCGGAAGCCTTCCATGATACTATCGATAGTATCCTACGGCCCCACCATTACACACGCACACTAAGCAATGAATGACTTGGTCTAGCGGCGCGTCGACGAAACTCGCGCGCTGCGCGCAGCTAAGCGCCGTTACCCCTCCTCCGCGTCCTCATACTTCAACACCCAAATAGTTAAAAATTCACTGCATACAGCGCCTTAAAGTAAAATATGACGTACGGAATGTTATGTTTTAATGCCGTCACCGTGATGTATCTTTATTTTTTTTTTAAATGCCCTTAGTTTATGATAACAATATCCTGTGTTGTAAGGACGTTTTACAAACATATATTTCACACCCAGATGCGAAACAACTATATGTGGGTCACACAAATAGATGTTCTGTGGGAACCGAACCCGAGACGCCGAAGCCAATACCTTGGCAACTGCGCTACGGAGTCAACATTTAACATTCCGCACAATGTCAAAAGCAGACATTTTGATGGATTGTTACCCATCGTGATAACAATACACATCCATCGTCACTCCAGCCTGTTTTATTATTCCCCTGCGAGACACGTTTTTGTCGACATGTAGTAATCACCTGCTTAGCTTAGGGATTAAAGCATCCAGGTGCGATTCCGGAAGACGCGGGTTTGATTTCTGTAGCAGCGAAAAACATTTGCTCATTTTTTCTACAATTTTTTTATTCCGTAAAGCCCATAATCAAAGATAACTGCGATCACCAGTACCTACAGGGTTCGTGGTTAAGAAAATCCTTTATTGTTCCTTGTTTATTTCAATTAACAAAAACAGAACCTGCCAGTGAAATCTCGACATTATTTTCTTATAATAATCTACACTTAAGTTATATGGTAAAAAAAACCAGTGATAATGATAATAGTAATTATCTGTTTCGATAACCAGTATCAGGGACCGAAAACAGTTGCATAATTTAACAAGCTATTAGGTGTCTTTAAAGCAGACATTTTAAACTGTGCTGTGTTACAGTGAGAATCGCAATGTAAGTTTCATTGAATTGATTTTTTTTTTCACCCAGTATTTAAGTAGAAAAAAACAAAAGTCTACTGTAGAGTATAAAGAGATTTCCTCATCATTTGTAAGTGTAGTAAGTTTGCATTTAGAAGTTTTTTCTGTAGGTGTTTAAAAGTATCTACATTCATATTCATCAGTCTTCTAATGACATGGCTATGTATTTACGGGGACTTCCCGTGAATTATACCTAATCTTTGGATACTCCGCTTGTTGAACAGTACTCTTGTGTATTGCACTCTATGAGGTAGGTATTAGAATTCATAGAAAGACTTCTAAAAAAAGTAGTCGGACTTTTAGACAATAGTCTGAGTAAATTTATTATTAAATATGCTATGCTAAAACTATGCTTGGAAATAAACTGGCGACATGATCAATAGACGACATTTTGTTCTCTTGTGATGCTATCAAAGACGCAAAAGTGGGAATTGTACTGATTATATTCTTACTGAGGGTATGTTAATAATATTAAATTTTAGGGATGAAACTAATATTGAAGAACTGATAAACTTGGAAGAAGAGTACATTAATTACTATTTTTGAATGAATATAATAGAGTTCACTTTATTTTTTATGAAATACTATTCTTTATAGGACTATCATTTTCATCGTATCTAAATCGAACCCTGGTTGTACAAGAAAGGTTTTTGGTTTTACTTTGGCGCGCGCTTGCGTTCAAACTTCAAAAGTTTATAGCACAAAACAAACTCGGTTTAAAAATTCAATCAAATTATATTAAGCTGACCTGTCAGTGTCACCAGTGTTCCTAAAAGTTAGTGAAATGAGAGAGAATGCGCGTTCGTTATGTTTAAATTTGTTTGTGATATTATATGATATACCGTATTGTGCTTTAGTTAGTAATCTAGTCAATGGGTAAATGTAAATAACTTAAATAATTTAAAGTTATTAACGTTAACTATTATTTTAATAGGTTCGTCTTCGTAGCTCCATTGTTAAAAAAATATTGAAAGTGGTAAATTAACGTGTCACTAATCTAGAATTCCTTTAGGTATTTGTTTACATAAGAGCAACTATATGCATTGTAAAATTTGTTTAGTCTTTAGGTCTTACGTTTGTTGTTTTAAGAATTAAAACTACTATTACCTCTTTTCAGATGTCTGTAATTGTGCAAAAGATTACCGAACCTGTTCTCTTGGGTGAAAGTCCTCATTGGGATGATAGGCATCAGGCTTTGTTCTTTATCTGTGTTCAGGGAAAGACCATCAACAAATATGTGCCATCAACGGGAGAGCACACCAAGACCCAAATTGGTATTATTTTATAGATTATTAAAACTTTCTCATCAAAGTATTAAAGTAAAGTAAAGTATCAGCCTATACGTGTCCCACTACTGGGTAAAGGCCTCTGTACAGAGGGTATCATAGTTCATAACTGTGGATTGGAAGACTTCAAATATCTTCAAAATAATTTTTTTTTGTTATTATTTCGAAAATATGCATGTTCACTCACGATGTTTTCCTTCACCGCTGAGCAAGTTATAATTCAGCACTTGAAATTGACAATTTCATTGTTGCTGGCACCGGGGATCAAACTCAGGTTGCTTGAGTATTTTAATTTTTTTATGTGAAAAATTGACAAGCAAGTAGGTGGTTCACCTGATGTTAAGTGAATACCGCAGCCCATGGACATCTGCTACACCCGAGGCTTACAGATGCATTGTCACTGGCTACCTAGAGAGAGCCCAATTTTCAAAAGGTTCTGAGAAAGAAATGGGAAAGTTTTTGATTACATATTAAATCATAGGTGAGTGCCCGGACACTGAGCTATCACAGCTCTAAGCTCTGAGCTCCTTGACTGGATGCAATAACAGAATTTCCTAGAAAGATGGTAGTGGGCAATTACATTATTAATAAAACATTTCTTCAAACTTAGGACATTTCTTTCATTTTGTTCACATCTACACATTAATATATGCAAGCTTGAAATTATTTTCTAATACTATTTAAATGTCCAGAAAATAGGAGTTACTCCATATTTTTAAGCTGTTTGGGCAATTATTATGTTAATTGACAAAGAAACTGTTTTAGACGGAAGGATAGGTTTCATATTACCAGTAGAAGGCGCCACAGACCAGTATGTGGTGGGAGTGGAGCATAAATTCCTTTTAATTCAGTGGGATGGTGAAGAAGGCAGTAAAGCACCAGTCTTGAGGGAACTGGGTGAAGTAGATCAAGAAATTTCAAGTACGAGGCTTAATGATGGGAAAGCAGACCCTAAAGGGCGATTGTTTGCAGGTATTTTAAATATTTTAAGAATCATAATGTCAGTATAATTAGTAGAAAGTGCTGGTATTTTCAATTTAATTAACGGTCCCAAGAAGTTTCTCACAAAATATTGTACATTATATGCTATTTACTGTATTGTATTGATGTCTCTTGTATAACCAATGATATATCGTTTGTATCTTCATTTATCTTTTTCAGGCACCATGGGTTATGTTCAAGGTTCTGCAGGCCAGTTTCAGGAGAATAAAGGCTCACTGTTCAGACTAGACAGGAGGGGAATAGTCAAGATGTCAGACGGTGTTGCCATCTCTAATGGACTGACTTGGGATCTTAAAGAAAAGGCATTCTACTTCATTGATTCTTTGGAATTCAAAATCAGGCGCTACGATTATGATGTTGATACAGGAGAGATATGTAAGTATTGTACTCTGCTTTCTCCTACCATTATTCCACATATATTGACAGCATTTATTGTTGATGGATTTGAAGCTGTACCTGACGTCAACTCACCTGTGGATCATACAAATGCTTTTCCCATGTAGGATAAAAACTTGCTAGCCTGTGGCGAAGATGATAGCTTAGCATGTAGAAAGGTGTTAAGATTTTTGTCGCTGTGGCTATCAGCTGTTTAGCTCAGTAGCTAGAGCGTCAGGCTGCGAATGCCGAAGACATGGGTTCGATTCCCACAGCGGCGACAATCTTTTCGTACTTTTTCTACGTTTAATGTTCAATCTTAAGTTTAATGTTCAATCTTTCGTATGTTTAATGTTCAATCTTAAGTGCAGAGATTAGCACTATAGAAAAAACTTTAAAATTTAGCATTATAGTCTACCATCTATGTAACTACAAGTATTATATTTTAAGTAATTAATAAATAAATTAAATTAAATAAAATTTGTCAATATAATTAGTCAGTTTATTAGCTGTGGTAGGGCCATGCGGACTTGCCCATTCATGCAACAGTAAAGTGTTCTTCGATGTTGCAAAATGAATGGGCTGGTCCATCCGGGGAAGTACCACAACCTCACATAAGACCGGCGTGAGGTGAAAGTGTTATACTTCTGCGTTTCGTCTGGTGATTGAGGTAACTGGAGCTTACTTTATTAAAAGGTTCGACAACAACGCACTGCAATCCTACGAGTGTTACAAATGTCCTTGGGTGGTGCTTATCACTAAACATCGGTTGAACCGCCAGATTTCTTTCTATCTTCTCTCGATAAAAAAAAAGAATTAATTACTGATACTTCTTATCCCAAAGTGTGATGTTATTCATGGGCTGAAAAAAATATACAGGGTGGAGGAGGAGGAGGAGGGAATACCTTCTCATAGGAGGTTTAGAATCGGTAGTATAATCGTCTAATGAAAAAAAAAAAAAAACTTTTTTTTAAAAGAAATTCCCTAAAAAGCAGAACTTGTTGACAATGCGATAGTCATTCATAAATGCGTCGTATACTTTTGAAACGAACTTGTGCGCGTTAGTTATGAATGATCGCGCGTAAAATAAATGAGTTGCCCATAAATCACGCACTTTTTGAGATAAGTTCAAATGAATGTATTTAATTAATTATGAGTGATTTTATATATTTATCATTTTTTATATAAAAAATTTTATGTCTAGAATTTAGTAAAAAAATGGATACGCTTAGAAAAGCCTCCCTGTATACTAAAAGAAATTATAATATACATAAAATATTAGTTTGATGTCTTAAAAAGAATGGCATATACATATACAGCGTGTCGTTACAACCGCGACAATAAATGAACACACGTCTAACGCTACTGGCCAATAATCATAAAAAGATACAAAATTAAAAAAATCCATAATTAAAAAAAATATTTTAAACAAATGAATTAAATAAAAAAGAAACAAAATTTGTAACACATATACAGCTGCAACTGACTGAATCATACATTCAGAGACTTTTTCATTCGTTGCCACAGCGTCGCGTTACAAGTCTCTCCTTCTGTTCAGCATGTTTTATCTCTTTTAAATTCATTCAACCCATTTATATGCTTTGTGACCTTTACAAATGAACTTTACCGTAGACTTTTATAAACGTAAAGGTGTTCTAAAATTCTTTGTTTTGGAAAAATTTAATAACTCTGTGAATATTGAGGTTGAAAGAATGTAAATATTTAATACACTTTTAAAAAGTTATCCTCTATATGTGTGTTCATTTATTGTCGCGGTTATAACGACACGCTGTATATGTAAATATAATTGGGGGAAATAAAAAATTATATAGTAAATTTGTGCTGTTATTTATTTTTTTAGCAAACAGGAGCTATATTTTTGACCTCAAGGAAAAGAACATCGCTGGCATGCCAGATGGCATGACCATAGATACGGACGGTAACCTATGGGTGGCCGTTTTCGATGGATCCCGCGTCCTGAAAATTGACCCTAGGTTGGGACACTTGTTGCAAGAGGTACCAATACCCGCTAAGCAAGTCACCTCAGTCGCGTTCGGGGGGCGCAACTTGGATATTCTGTTTGTTACAACTGCTAGATTGAAAATTAACGAAGAACAGGAACCACCGTGCGGCGCCACATTCATGGTCACCGGATTGGGTGCGAAGGGGCATCCACATGTTAATTTTAAGCTGCCCTAAGTTATTTCTATTAATATCGAAAAATACTCAAACTGCATTTGCGGTTGGATCACGCTATACATATTTTTCTACTTAATTTTTGGATGAAAATATTTTTAAAATATAATAGATTAAGCTAAAAGTTATATTAGTAAATGATCTTAAAATAGATGAGGTCACTTTATTTATAGATTGTGAAATAAGTTTTTTTTTTGTTTTTGATATATTTTCTTTTATTAAAATTGTATAAAAATGATTGAGACTTTTAAACTACGTACTCATTTTATAAAGTGCAAACAATTTTGTTCTACGACAAAAATTGTCGAAGTTATGACCAAATTACTAGCGAAGTTCTCAGAGTGGCCGCCGCGGTAGTTGTGACGTCACAGTATCGGCGACCGCCACTACACATCAGAAATAATAGTTAGCAGTTGGAGCTAAACGCATGGATAGTTCCAGTGCCGGATTAAAAAACCGCGGGGCTCGTAGCGAATTCTTTCAAACAGCCCTTGATCTGTTATGGGTTCTTAAGAATAAAGTGGTAAAAAAAAAACAATTCAATACTCTTATTTAATAAGTTTCACTGAAATAATTAAGCCTGAGGCTTTTTATTTTATTGAATGAGTGCATTTAAATAGCCCCCTTTGGCGCGGGGCCCGTAGCGATTGCTACTCTTGCTACGTAGGTAGTTAATCCGGCACTGGATAGTCCGGTTCCGTGGGTCATCATCATCATGATGATGAGTAAATAAAGTCAAATACTTAGGTGTCCTCCTTGATCCTTGACCCTAAGCTCAACTTCTGCCAGCACGTGACTCTGGTCAAGAACCTTCGTACTCGGTCGCCTGTATTCCCTATTAAAGAAAATGTCAAAAATGTCTTCAGAACAGGATGTCTTTTTTATAAGGCAGTAGTTCGCCCTATGAGTTACGCGAGTTCGGTTTTCGCGTATATTGCTCCGAAGCAAACTGGGCCGGATTTAGAAGTCTGGACGCCACGGGGCAACAAAAGAGTGGAGGCCGCTTGGCCCCAAATTATTATCCAAATAAAATGAACAATTTTTTTCAGTCGAGTTTTCGCATAAATGATTTATTTTGATCCCAGTATAGTAGGTAAAGGTAAAACGCGAAAAAAAAAAATGAAACGCGAAAAAAAAGTTGTTTACTATTCCGAATTTGAAATTTTTTTTCCGAAGCCTATTGTGGGGGCCCTCTTTCTTGGAAGCCCCGGGACTGGTAGCCCCGGTAGCCGTCCTCTAAATCCAGCGCTGGAAGCAAATGCACCGGCTTCAAGTCATCCACAATCGATTTTTGCGCAGAGCCACGGGAGCACTGTGGTTCATGCGAAACATCGCAGAAAGTCGAGCATCCCAATGCGTTAGTCGTAGGTGTCACATAAAGACCCCTACCGCTAGGTACGATCCGTCGCAAATGGCTTATACCGCGACACGTCCTCGATTTTCCCGACGATGAGACGACTGTCGCCATCGACAGAATGAAGCGATTACGTAAACATACAAAAACATCAATCATATTACTAGTTTTCGCCACGTACTTGGCAGGTTTACCCCCGTTAATGATAGAAGCGTTGCTGGAGTATCTTCTGCTACTTTTTCTCCCAGCGCCAACACTTTCCGAATTGGTAGTAATGATAGCTTTAGAAATGCATCCAGTCAGACTATAGCTACGGATCGAGCACAGATCCGGCCCTCCGGGCACCCTCGAATCGGAATGCTAAACGGGTATTGAATAACAGTCCAAGCCGACGCTTGAACCTAGTTATTTCAAGGAGCATCCGCCAAAGCGACAGAAGAGCTTGGCGGCCTCCCAAACCGTTGAAAATAATAATAGCGTGACGGCCCGACGAGGCTCCCACGAGAGCCCTCGAGCTGAGTCACCCGTAACCGAGGTACAGGCTACCTCAAGCCCGGTGGATGTAAAGGCCATTAAGCTATGTATAAATATTGTAAAGTCCCGAAATGTATAAAGACTTCTATTAAAACAATAAAAAAATATTTTTTAACGTGCCAACACTTCGCAATAAGTGGTATTTCGTTGAAAAACGAGATGAGAACATTCCACTGCCCAAGCTACGAGACATTGCTGTGAAGATCATTCGATTGAAGTAGTACAGTGTGAGAATCGCGACTACAATATCATCCAAACCAGTGATCCCCTTAACAGAAGAAGCCCCGAAGAAATAAACGTATTATCAAAAAGCAATGAAAGGGGTCAAAAAACTGGTTAATAAAGCCAAAAATGTGTACTAAATCTAATAATACCCCAATAAAATGGAAACAACGCATAGGTAATAAAAAACAATCCCTGAAAATCTCGATCGAAACGTTAGCTTCATCACAAATGTGCCAACACAAATGAAATTGTTAATTTTAAGTGCAGACTTATGACAATATATTTTCGAGGAATGTGAAGTCCGCCAATCCGCAGTGGGGCCAAGTGGTGGATAGCCTCTGTTTAGAGGAGGCTTTTGCCCAGCAGTAACGTATGCTGATAACTGATTTTTAATAGAATTTTCCTCTGAGTTTAGCGCTAGGAAAAGCTGGCCTCCATTACTGTTATCAGTGTTCAATAGTATTTGGTCTTGGAACCATATCTTTAGCCTTTATAAATTTCGTAGTAGTAACTATACCACTATTCCGATAACCGTTGGGGAAGAAAGGTTCTCGAGTGGCAGCCTCGTACTGGCCATCGCAGTGTAGGACAACCCCCCCTAGATGGAGTGACGACCTGTGCAAATCTGCGGGAAGTCGATGGATGCAGGTGGCTCAGGATCGTACTTCGTGGCAGTCTATGGGGGAGGCCTATGTTCAGCAGTGGACTCAAACAATGAAATGATGAACTCTGAAATGATGATGATGATGATGATGAACTATACCAGCTTTGGTTTGACCCAGTAACATTTTTTTCACTGGGAGATGGCTCCTTGCTGTCTATTGAGCCAAATTAAAGGCTACTGCTACGGCTATGTTTGCAGCTCTCTCTCAAGCAGCACAGTCATGACATTCACGTTTTTGTAGCCGGTTTTGGCACAGAACGGTATAATTTCGCTATTATTATATTATAACCACTACATCATGCACTCTCACTCATTCGCAGCAGACTGCCATGTTGCGAAACGTCTTCATATACGTACCTTACTTAAATGAGCGCAATGTCCTGTATACTTTTTTAATGGACGGAGGCTATGTGATGGTTAGTAAAGATGCAGCCGTAAATGGTAAATGCAATTCTTGGCTTGAAGAAATCCATACAAAAAGAGAACATCGAGAGTTAATTCTCAACATGCCGGACAGACATGATCAGTGCTGCTTAACTGTTATACTTATATCAAATATTTTTATCATCAACAAACGATTATAGTACTAGGTATTTGTTGGTTTGATAAGGTTACTTTTGTAAAGATAAGGTTCATTTATAAGAATGGAATAAAATAAATTTATTTCTTTTTATATTGTTTTTATTTGAATTAATTTGTTTTTATACGTGGTTCAATATGGCACATTATTGTCATTATTTGCGGGTCTGGCTACACTTAAATTTAATTTATTCTTGTTTACAACTATGTCCTTAATATTATTAAGGTAACTTACTTACGAACGTATTAATTTTTATGTAAAATTTTGACGTTTCATAAGAACGCGTAAGCGTGAATAAAGATATTTTACAATTTGAATTTATTCTTGCAATAATACCTATAATATATCAGCCAATTAAACAGTGTCCTTTTAAATATTGCGAATGGCAAGTTTTTAATATGTAATTGGCTATTTTACATTTTTATATCCATTACGGATCAATTATTGTCTAACTTTTTTTTTGTTTTTGATATTATCAGAATCATTGCGCTTTCATTTTGCCTACCAAAAAGGTGGCTGTTGTTTTTTACAAACATTGTCTGTTTTATTTTTAAAGGCAAAGTAGAAAGTAGTTATACGCGCTTAATCTTTTTATTAAAACGAATCTGTAAGTACTTAAAGTTACTTTTTTCAAGCCATTGACGACTCAGTATCAGTGCTACCTACACTTTAACAGCGATCAATGGCCATACTCCACTTATCCTCCTGCCCTAATTCCACCTAGGTTATGTCGGCATCAACATGTGAATCCTTGGAATAAAAACACCCAAATTCAGGACAATTTTTGTGGGTCACATAAATACTTTTTACGGTGGTAGGGCCACGCAGTAGCCTCGGCTGTTGCACGAATGAGCAGGCTCGTCCGGGTAAGTACCACGACCTCACAGAAGACCGGCGTAAAGTTGAAGTATAATATAATACATTGGCGTTTCGTCTGGTGAGTGAGATGGCCGGAGCCCAATTTTCAAAAGGTTGTCAACGCATCTGTAACCCTCGGGTGTGCAGATGTTCATGCGCGGCGGTATTCTTAACATCAGGTGAACCGTCTGCTCGTTTGACAACGTTTCACATAAAAAAAAAATACTTGAATCAAAATATGCAAATATTTGCTGCGATGGGTTCTCTCCGTCGTTTACGTTCTTTTCTTCCCATTCCAACTAAAATTATGCTAGCACAATCGTTACTCCTGTCCATTCTCGATTATGCGGATGCAAGCTATCTTGATTTAACCGAAGAACAACTAAATAAACTTGAGCGTATTCAAAATTTAGCCATTAGGTTCATATTTGGTTTACGCAAATATGATCACGTTTCCGAATTTCGTTCAATGCTCAAGTGGTTACCCATTCGTTTTCGCCGGAATCTACACACTGTCTCTCTTCTGTACTGTGTATTATTTAACCCTCGGACTCCAAGCTATTTAAAGGAACACTTTAAATTTCTTGGCCATAACCATCCAGAACGAGTTCTGCGATCAGCTGAAGATCTAATTCTAGCACCACATGCGTACAAAACTAAATATTATAAGAACTCCTTTACAGTTAAGGCCATCTGCTTGTGGAATGAACTTCCTCAGCAAATTCGTCGTTCGAAGACGCTAGACAAGTTTAAAATTGACGTAAAACAACATTATCTATCGCTTTGTAATCCATAGTTTTTAATGCCAATATTCAGATTTAATTCTTCTCTCGTGTATTTATTTATATATATTATATATTTATTTATGTTTATGTATGTTTATTATAATTTTGTTTAACTTATTATATTTAAGTCTATTTTGGTATTAAGTAAGTTTATTGAGCACACCACCTCCCACTATTCATTAGTTTATTTTTCCTCGTCCTAAGGTTGTCTGGAAGAGATCGCTTTTTAGCGATAAGACCGCCTTATTGTACCTAGCTTTTAAGACTTATTTCATACTAATTGTATCAAATTCTTTGTGGTGTACAATAAAGTATATAATAATAATAATAATAATGCAAAATATTTCCTCACGATGTTTTCCTTCACCGCTGAGCACGTGATAATTCGTCACTTAAAATTAACAATTTTATTGGTGCCGGCACCGGGGATCGAACTCAGGTTGCTTGAGTAAATTACATTAAAGAGCGAGCGCCCGGACACTGAGCTATCACAATGGCCATACCGCAATATTATATAAATTACACGGCGATGTAGAAAATATTAATAGGAGGATAATAATAATATAAAGAATTACTGGTGTTAACTGTTGCCAGTATTTTGCTATTGGTGGTAAAGTCGAACGATCAGATCGTTACAATCCCTACTTTTAAGTAATTTCTATACACCAAACATAAATCAGGATTAAACAAGAAAATTCGCGATAAATGTCAAATGACAATCTTTTCTGCGATAGATTATTCGGTTATCGATAAGATACGTAAGCAAATTTTACGATTGGGTTATGATAATGTTTTACGTTAGAAGCCAATTCAATCAATCATAGTACTTTTTTTCAGTTGGGGTTTTAACGTTTATGCTGTTTACTGAGTAGTTCATTTGAATAGTTTGCGTTGATTAATAATAAAACGAAAATGGTGAACTGCTTTCGAGTTATCTGTTGCAGAAGTGAAGTGAGTAGGATGATCTGGTATTTGCATTTCTCGGTCTTGTTACCTCGTGCATTGTTGGTACCTAGTGTATGCGTTTATGATTATACTAACGAACCATCGGGGTCTACCATATATCAGGTGGTCGTTTGAAGTTTGTTTGTTTGAAGAACGATTGAGCCTTGAAGCGTTGGATGTGTGTGCTCGATTATCTGAGGTTAATCACCAAACCTCTTAATGGTGACTGCTGTTAACACACAAAATGTAATAATGTTGGTAGATTGAGGTGTCTCAGGAATGTAATACGGCCACACAACAGTGTTCGCTGTTGCACGAATGGGCAGGTCCATCTATAGATGATATAAATGTGAAAAAACGCTAAATTTTGACGGTTCCCTTAAATATGATTGATTGATTGATTGAATATACTTTATTGCATACAAGGAAGAAAATACCGGAAAGATGGTGTACGTACAGGCGGCCTTATTGCTAAGGTAGCAATTTCTTCCAGGCAACCTTAGGAATTGTATACGAGATAATAAAGTTGCGGGATAATACTTCAAAAATAATTACATTAATATATATTTAGAAAAATAAAATCATCAAATATAATACAATAGCAATATGATAGCATTAGCCCAAAGTCCATAACGGCCAGCAGATATCTGAGTGCAGATTCAATTTTCTATTTATGATGTTTACAGACATTTTTCGACTGCCCCAATTGTCTTTTACTCCTTTTACAGGGTTACGAGCCATCAGTGGAGATACTAAGTGGAGTAGCGCCCAAGACAGAACGACCATTTGCAGCAAAGGTTGAACCAGAAGTACGTTATCTAAAATACCCGTGCAGATGCGTTGCCAACTTTAAAAAGATTGGGTCCCAGTTAACTTACTCACCAGATGAATCGCAGTAATGTTCTCCTCCTTCCTCTTCTGCGAGGCCGTATTCCTTCCACGAAGGTGTCAGCCCGATTTTATTCAAATTGTTCAAGAGCAGAATTTACTGCGTATCCATAACAAACTAGAGAGTTCTTGCATTTTACAAAAATGATTACAGAAAAATTGTATAATAAAAAGTAGCCTATACATGTTTTCACAGGCTAACTGTTACTTGACTGATCTCAGAATTGTTCCACTGTTTTGATTTTTGCTGTGTAATATAAAGATAGCTCTTATAAAGATAATTTCTTATATTTATGCGAATGCTACACATTAAGTTTTATGCGTTCTTAATTCTTATTTACGATTATTTTTCAATTCTTGATGTACGAGCAGTGATCTCACAAAGGAATTGAGATAAAAGTCTTATCTCCGATTTTACTTTTTTGGAGGAAAAGTGTTGAGCACAAACCTTGTGTAGAATGAAAATAAATTCCATGTCACAAACTCAGGACTCAGTTTTGAACTGCAAGAGAATAGTCAGCTTTCTTAAAATTATTTAGTCACATGGCTCTGTTTTTTTATATCGAAGGATTCTTAACTTATGGATCCACAAGGCAGGATGATGTGAGTCTAACTTCTTATTGGATTTCTAGACTCACCACTAATTAATTCCACAGTTACAATTACATAATATTTAATCCGGGATTCATTATGATATTTTATATAGTTTATCAGAGACAAAGTCAATTAATTGGTACCCAACCCGTTTAGTTGTGGCGACTAATTTCTTACTATTATTAATATCGAAGTCGCAGTTAAAAACTCTTGAATTAGAATCATGTAAATATAATATTACAATTGTTTTAAAAACGATTACATTTGGCATTATACGATGATTGTACCCAGTTTGCCACCATCGCTCTTCACGAAAGTTTTATCGACTTGCAGCGTGTTGAGGTCGTCCCAGTAACGGACCCAGTACAGTTGGGCGAGAGTCCCCACTGGGACAGCGACGAGGAGGCCCTCTACTTCGTCAGCATCTTGGACAAGGCTATACACAGATATAAACCTTCCACCGGAGAGCACACTAAAGCCACACTCGGTTAGTAGCAAACACACTGCCCTCGGGATAAGATCCGATCCCATCTCAAGAAAATATTGTTCCTCCAATTTTAAGTGTAAATTATAAATCGGTTGGTCTCTTCCATATAAAATCATCAGTACGAAGATCAGATTTCGGATCTAATGCAATCTATTGTTCGTGTACAATATAAAATCGAAAAAAAAAATTGTGAGTCAGATGATACTCTGGCATGATTCCATATTATAAAACTTACAATTATTAAAATATGATTTCGACAGAATTTTGAGATGGTTACTCCTCAACCGCCAATTTCCACTAGTATTTATGTCATCATTCCCTGTGTTGCCGGAATTTCAACTAATTTTTTTATCGAAGAAGTGAACATTACATGGCAATAAAATATATGTAAATTATTTATAGCTGATCGTTTTAAAGATGTTCAAATCTAAACTTGACAATTTTTTACTATAAAGTAACTACTTCAACCGGAAAAACTATATGCGTAATAAATAAATAAATAAAAATTGGGAAAATTTTATTTGTAGAATTAATGTTTTTATACTACCGTTATGCTATTATTATTGACTATAATTTTATCAATTAATGAAAAAATAATATTGAAAATGACTTATTAATACATAATGAATTATGTCTTGTTTAGTATGTAAGTAGCGTTAGTAGTTTTCATTGGTTAAATTGCGTCAGTTCAGTACATCACAATAAAATTCAAAGGAAATCATTTAACTCGCCTAAATCATGAAACTAAAGTTTATTCAAGAAGGAGATTTGTTAGATGTGTTGCTTAATGCTTACCACTTAAATATATTATAAATTATGTCAGATCGAGAATGAAGTGTGATGGATTCAACTTGTTTTGTTTAGAGAAACCGCCCACGTTCATTATACCGGTCGAGGGTAAGAGCCGACACTTCGCGGTCTCGCAGGGCCGGAAGGCGGTGGAGGTGATGTGGGATGGTGGGGAGGAGGACGCGCTGGTGCTGCGTACTTTAGCCGAGGTGGACCACCACCGCCCCGAAAACAGCCTGAACGGCGGAAAAGCGGATCCCAGGGGCAGATTGTTTGCAGGTGAATGCCACAGTCACACTTGTATATCTCAGTGTCCGGGCCCTCGCGTTTAATGCAATATACTTTAGCCTGTGTTCAAATCCCGGTGCCGGTAGAAATTAAAATGCTTATTTTAAATGCTGACTTATCACGTGCTCAGCGGTGAAGGAAAACATTGTTTGGAAACCTGCATAGTTTCGAAAGCAATGCCGAACTGCATCTCCGGCATTGCTTTCGTTCAATTCCCACAGCGGCGACAATTTTTTCGTACTTTTTCTAATTATTTTAATGTTCAATCTTAAGTGCAGATATTAGCACTATAAAAATTTAAATTTCTAAGAAGAAAATATGTTTCGAAGATATGTGAATCCGCAGTAGGGTCGTGTGGTGGACTATGCTCCAATACCCTCTGTACAGAGAAAGTCTTTGCCTACCAGTGGGACATATAAATGCTGACTGTACTATAGCAGGGGAATAAAACATTGTGTGTAGCTCTTTTTAATTACGTTATTACCTTCATAGGCAGCGTTGATCATTTAAAGTCAGTTGTTGCTCGTTTTCCACCTTTTTAACATTTAAAAAAAAGTTATAGACACACTAAGGACACATATTTTAAAACCATGCTTGGCACTAATATGTACACAGGTGTGTGCAACTTTTGCAACATTGTGACATCAATATATTTGAACCGTAATAAATTTGAAATTGTAGTAGACATGTTTAAAAATTAATTATATTCAAAAAAAATAGAAGTATGACTATAACGAATATTAATTATACTAATATAAAAAAACATAAAAAGTTATGTAATATCTGTATTGTTATAACCATTCTCTATACGACCTCATAGTGAATTGTACATAATGCACTATTTGGTCAAAGTATAAGATGATTTAGTGAAATGCGAAAAAACAATGTAGATAAAAGACATTGAGATTTTAACAATTAATCTGAATACGGAAGACGCGGGTACGATTCCCGCGGGGGCTAAGTACTTTTCGTCCTTTTTTGTCTACAAAATTTTAATGTTTCATCTCAACTGTAGAGTTTAGCACTATAAATTTTTTAAGATTTAGTTAACTGGTATTGCGTGTTCTGCTTTTCAAATAGATGATTATTCCTGCCCTGAAAATGGCTATAAAATTCGTATTTTTATTAGCCCTTATGTGTATTTTATATTATAATATGCTAGTTAACTGATTTTTTCACGTTTAATTATTTTCTTAAATTCCAAAGTTTTTTCGAAATTTGGTCTCTGTGTTATGCTCGAGGAACATACTGAAATGTTGACAGCCCTTATTAATTGATTTCCTAAGAAAACGTGATTTCAGTTATAGCTTGGAATGAGTTAAAGCTTAAAGCTGCAATTTATGATTAATAATACAAACAAATATTTTAATTGGATAAAATTGATTGTCACCTATGAGTCAGAATTTTATTCTTATATCGATTGTATTTTCCGTAACTGCGTTTAAGGGTATGACAAGCTACTTATTAGATAATAAATAATGTCAAACGTATATTGACGAAATGTGAGGTTTTTGAAGGTATAACAGATTTTTGTTGCTAAATGTACAAAAATCGGCAGCATAAAGTGTAATGTTATATATAATTTTTAGATCTACATTAAGTTCTTTAAAAGGTTAATTATCTAGTTTTTGGAACATGGCTAGGTCATGTCCCAATACAAATGTAGTCATCTGCTTGGTCTACGTGCATTCTTTGTCGACGAAATCCCCAGCGGTACAAGGATTATACATTAGCAACTCAGACCTAAATCCACTCAGGTTCTGTCTTCGGTATGAAGACCTCAGTACCAGTCGATTTCCACGCGGGCTGCGGCTCTCTGTACCGCATTGACCCCGACAGCCAGGCCTACAGGCTGGATGACGAGGTCAGCTTGCCCAACGGCCTGTGTTGGGACGTCGAGAGGAACTTCTTCTACTTCACCGATTCCTTGGAGTACGCCATAAGGAGATACGACTATGATGTAGAGACCGGCAACTTGTGTAAGTACGGTTTTGTTTTCAAGTTTAAGCGAGCACACACGCTTCTTTTTACGGATATACGGATCGAGCCTAGGTCCGGCCTTCTATCCCCGAATCGGATTGCTAAATGGTCACTGAGTCAAAGTCAAAGTCAAAGTATATTTATTCAATATAGACCTAACTTAAGCTCTTATTGAACGTCAACAAAAATCTACCACCGTTTCACTAAACTAGACCTGCACAGAGAAGAACCGGCAAGAAACTCTGCGGTCTTGTTAAGCAAAGTAAAAGAGTAAAAGCCCAAGCCGAGGTCCGCTCTCACTGGCCCCTGTGCCTAGTTACTCTATCGGGCGTCGGCCACAGAAGCGACGTGAGAGCTCAGCCTCCCAAACTAAGTCACCCTCATGAGTGGACATAAAAAGCAGGGTTTTGGCGAATTGCAGGCCTTGAAGCTGTTTGGTCTCCAATCAAAGTACCAGTGCCAACGGCCTGTGTTGGGACTGTGGTGAACTTCTTGTTTCGACGTGATAGCTCAGCCTCCCAAACTAAGTCACCCTCATGAGTGGACATAAAAAGCAGGGTTTTGGCGAATTGCAGACCTTGAAGCTGTTTGGTCTCCAATCAACTCAGTTACCGGTCATGGTGATTCCCCGACCAAATGAGCCCAATCATGCGCTACTAGCGCCATATTTAAGACAGCAACAGCTGTGAAATTGTCGCTAATAGTGATTAAAGTATTTCAAACGCACATCAATAGAATGCTAATTACACTTTTCTATATGTCATTAAAGCTTACGTAAGATCTCCAAATATTTGGCCTTTTAGAGATCGATGTTAGATAAGGGATTTTGGATGGTCAGTTAATTTAATTATCACATTCATAAATGTATGTATACGTGATATATCACGTATGTGTTGGGGTGATGCAAATTATTCGGAACCCAATCATTAGTTATACCTTTAATTGTTGGTTTAACATGTACGAAACACAATACATTTGTCTTTCATTTTCAATAACAGCAAACTGCGAGACAGTATTCCGTATGAAAGACCACAACTTGGAAGGTATCTGTGACGGGATAACCATAGACACGGATGGCAACATTTGGGCAGCGATCTTCGAAGGTGAACAGGTCAGTTTGTTTCAACCTTTTTTTAAGTTGTAAAGTGAGCAGACATTTCACCTAATTTTTAATGAACACTTTCGCCCATGGATATCTGCAACACCCGATGGCTTACTCATACGTTGGCAACCTTTAACAATGTGGGCTCCGGTAACCTCACTTGCTATATGAAACGCGAAAGTTTAAACACTTCTAATTATCGTCTTCCCCGGACGAGCTTGACCATTCGTGAAATAGAAGATGCTGTGGCGTGGACCACAATAAAACTATATATTTACAAATGCCACGTCCGCAGTTTCCACTTAAATTCCAAAACGTTACAAGTGACGACAAGATTTATAAACCAATAAATATTTCTGGATATATTCTTTCGCGAAAAGCTGTTTCACCAGTTACCATGGATATGGTAAATGATGAACATTAATAAACATAAATGTTATATTTTTATATAAACATACCGACTCTAAAAAAGAACAATATGATTATCACACAATATTTTACTAGTAACGGGAATCGAACTCACACCGTCAGCCACAAGGGACAGTTTCACTATCCACGATTTTTGAGGACACCCAACCCCTCGTCACTGTCCCCAACTCTTAATCAATCATTGCCATATCTCTGACCAGATTCTCAAAATCGATCCGCGGAGTGGGCAGATCCTTCAAGAGGTGCGGCTGCCTGTGCCCCAGCTCACCTCGTTGACCTTCGGGGGCCCAAATTCGGACATCCTGTACGTCACCAGCGCGAACACGCATAAGAAAAACGACAACACCCTGTGGGGATGCACCTTCAAGGTCACGGGACTCGGCGTCAGAGGTTACCCGAACCTCAAAGTTCGATTCGATTGAGGATCTAGCGATGCCGAAAAAATATCAATATATCGATATTTTTAACCGATATATTTTGATCCGATATATCGATATGAAATATTCAAAATCGAAACCATATTAAAAACGATATTTTTTCAAATTCGAATCTGGGACCGAGTCCGTAAATTCAAATATTTAATACTTGGCATACGTTTTTTTTTGGACGACGGGGCCTAACAAGAAAATATCGATATATCGATATTTATAAAAATGTAATATCGGCATCGATATATCGAAGAAAAAATATCAATATATCTTGTTTTAGTATTTAAGTGTGATCTGCAACCTCAAATAACAGGTATACCTATTTATGATATCCTTGCGACAAAAAATATATTTTTCTCTTCTATTTTTACAAATATTTCGAATTATTTCTATATACGTATACATGTTTCTTGAATCCCGTTTAATTTTTATACTTATGAAATAATGTCGTAATATATTGACAACGAATGGGCCAGGCAGAAGTAGAACGCACGATCGGGCATATAAAAAAATAAAACACAATGCATGTCGTTTATTTTTTTTTAAATTTGTTTAAAACAATAAACGAGTTGGATAGAGCGTTCAGTTGATCGTGTAGATAATAAAAATAAAAAAAAAAACTGCCCAATGTGGTTTGTAATTTTTTAATTTGTTTAAAACAATAAACGAAGTGGGATGGGGCGTTCAGTTGATCCTCACGTTGGCGTTGGGACGACCTTTGACCCCAAGGCCGGTGAGCTGGAAGGTCGAGCCGCACGGCGGCTTCTGTTCTTCGCCGCGATTCATGCAGGCGGAGGTCACATACAAAACGTCGAGGTCAGGCCCCCCGAACGTGACCGAGGTCACTTGCAGAGCGGGGATCGGCACCTTTTGCAGCAGTTTGCTTTTCTTCGGGTCAATTTTGAGCACCTACGGTATACGTTGTTGTTTATACATAGTTAATATACAGGCAACACATAACGTATTATTTTTTTTTTTATATTTAATTTTAAAACAGTTTAAATAATATAATATTTTTATTATAATATTATTTAAACTAAAAATCACTACTATTATTTATAAGCTATACCTGGTGGCCATCGAAGTTGGCGACCCACAGGTTACCATCGGTGTCAATGGTCATACCATCGACAATGCCGCCCAGACTGTGGTCTTTGTAGTTGAAAACGAAGCGGGGGTTGCCTGTTATGATAATGATAATAATGTTATGAAAAACAAACATATTTATTTAACAATAACTTGAACAGTTATAGTAAAAAAAATGGCATCTACTGCTATGGAAGTGATTTATTGAGTCAAAAGAAAAGTGATTCAGTGCGAAGAAGCGTGATGAGTAGTTTATAAAACGCGTTCTTTATTTATTTAATACGCTTTTTATTTTAAAGGTTTGTTCTTGTAATAATAAACAAAGAAGAAATAAACCTAGAAAAGCAATGTAAGAGTAATAAATCATATAGAACCGAACTGAAATATGTCGGTGTGTAATTAAGTTCGTCAATTTTATCTAACGCAGTCATTAAAATGTCGTTAAAACTGTCATTTGAAATGTTTATGTGTGTACCGCCCGGTTTCTAAATCACTGATCACAATGATCAATTCAAAGAGTTTAACAATCCTTTTTGCAACTGAAAAGCCATTTGACAGTTGATTAGTTGACTTCTACGTTGATCGGTGTTTCAGAAACCGGATGTTAGAGTATCAATGTAATGTGACAGACAGCCTTCGGTCCCTTACTAATGTCCCCGGTTTCGACGTCGTAGTCGTATCGCCGGATCGCGTACTCGAACGAGTCGGCGTAGTAGAAGGCCTTCTCTTTGAGGTCCCAGCACAGGCCGTTCGAGATGTCCACGTTCTCGACCACGGTGTGGAGCCCGCCGTCCGGGTCGAGTCGGTAGAGCGCACCCTTCTTAAGGTGGAATTTCCCCGGTTCGTATTCGTGGCCCATCGTGCCTGGAACGTGGCGGGACGGTCATCGCAAACTAGATAGCGTGTCAGACGATCCAGAATGTAACCAGCCTATGCGTGGCCCACTGCTGGGCAAGAGCCTCTGTATGGAGGGTCGTCCACCACGCGACCCCACTGCGGATTGGCGGACTTCAAATATCTTGGAAATATTTTTTTTTATTATTTTGAAAATATTCAGGTTACGCCGCTGAGTATGTGATGCGTCACACTCAAAATTGTAAGTAACAATTTCATTGGTGCCGGCACGTGTAATTGAATTCAGTTTGGTCGAGTATATTGAACTACTTGTCTCCCCCCCGTTTCGCTGGGTCATACTATCTTCTTTATGTCAAAAACATATAGGTTCTGGATAACAACCAACATAACATATACTAAACCTTCTCCGAAACACATCTTAAGGTTCAGTAGTTTTCGCAGTATAACCAACCCAAAAAAACCCGGCTTTCCATTAATCTTATATACAAAATTCTTGTGTTTCCCTCCTAAAACGGCTTGACCGATATTTTATATGTATATTCAGTAAGTATGAGAATAGGTTTATAGCTCATTATTATATCCGTAAGTGATTAGGGTGGTCCACCCCAAACATTTTTTTCTGCTCTACAAATAATTATATGGCAAAACAACGTTTGCCGTATTAGCTAGTTAGTACGTATAGTTTAAACGAGCGCTAGCGAGAACTGGCTAACGCCCAATGACTAATTATGAGAGATCTCTGTCGAAATGTGAACTGCAGGAAAAATAATGCAATAAACAGTAAATCACCAGCAAAGAGACGGCCCCTGGGGTCAGCTTTGCCATCGTTCAAGCGGTTGTCGGGACAGTGCTTGTCTACCTCGGCGATGGTGCGCACCACCTTGGCGGTGCCATCTTCACCGTCCCACGCCACTTCGGCGATGACTCTCTTCATACCCACCACGAAGCGATCCGGTTTCCCTTCAACAGGCACTATGAAGCCCACCATGTCATCTAGAAAACCCATTAGAATGTAATTAAGTAATTATATCCAATCCTATCCTAATAGCACCTTAGCAGAACAGGAGTGGATTCAGGAACGTTTCGATATAGAAACAACGATCAAGAATGTAGTCGAATATTTGTGGTTCCATAATTTGTTTTGGCCAACGCATGAGATTCTTATTACGTCATTACTATGCATGGGACAATGGATACGATAACTTTATTTGGGCCAAGTATCAGCTTCTCCTGATGCATTGGACTGGCTTGTCCGGGAAAGTGCCGCGGCCTCACAGTATACCAAGTGAAGTAAAAGAGCAACTGTTGAGTTTCTTTTCGGTCTATTCTCAACAGAAACTGCTTTCCGAACCGGTGGTACCTTACGAACCTATATACAGCGTGTCGTTACAACCGCGACAATAAATTAACACACGTCTAACGCTACTTGCCAATAATTATAAAAAAATATAAATCGTTAAAAAAATCCATAATTAAAAAAATATATTTTTCAAAAAAACTAATTAAATAAAAAAGAAACAAAATTTGTAACATCCTATCCTATATGTTAGTATTGTATCAAAATAACTGCTAACGCCATCTATTGTGTTTCTGGATGCACTACTGTACTGAACGTATGATTGTACTAATTAAAATTCATTCGCTCTCTCTCACAGAACAGTGAACACGTTGTTTGATTTATACTATAAAACTAGAACTGACTGATTCATACATTCAAACACTTTTTCATTCGTTGCCGCAGCGTCGCACTACAAATCTCCGCTTCTAACAGTATGTTTTACCTCTTTCAAATTAATTCAACCCATTCATATGCTTTGTGACCTTTACAAATGAACTTTACGTTACCGTTTTATACGTAAGGGTGTTCTAAAAGTGTTTGTTTTGGAAAATTTAATAACTCTGTAAATATTGATGTTTAAATAATGTAAATGATTAATACAATTTAAAAAAAGTTATCATCTATATGTGTGTTCATTTATTGTCGCGGTTGTAACGACACGCTGTATATCATTTTTGATGTAAAATTTGACGATTCATAAGAGCGCGCAAGCGTCTATTTGAATAAATATATTTTTCATTTGCGTTGAAGTAAGTAAGACGCATCAGCAAGCCCTGAGGTGTGGTTGATGAACAAGGGTCCTCGCTTGAGAACTTTTCACATAGAAAACCTGTTTTTTTGTTTGTTGCATGTTTAATAATGTCTCAGAGAACAACTAAGTCTGGCTGTTCCTATTACATCACACCTATACATATTTTGTAATAAGAATAGTTGGACATTTTAGTTGTCGCTTAACTTGAAAAAAGCGATACGTCTCAGTTCACGCAAATTACAATGTACAAAAAGACAGTTATCTGGAACAAGTACGCAGGTGTCGTGTGAGAGATTTCAATTACTTTAACGACGAAGTCTTTGTAAAAATTGTTATTTTCTTATGTAATTGAGAACTACAGAAGTCTCATACTTCTGTAGTTTTTCATTTTAGGAAACTTGTTGCGGATAGCTAATTAAATATCTATCTACGTTTGTTGCGTATGAAATCGCAAGAAACCACTAATTTCATATAGTAACAAAGGTGAAATATGAAATGGAGATAGCGTACCTACGTTGGAATCAATCTATGAACATACGTATCAAGCACACTAATTAGTCAACCACCAACTCGTTTGCCATATCCTCACATAAAAAAATAAGCCTAGTAATCATTAAGCCAAGAGCCAGGTTGTGATGACGATTCCGCAATGTGTACTTGGATGCTGCCTCATCATCGGTCGGTCTCAGGTTGAACATGGACAAGACTAAGGTCATGTTCAACGAGTTTATAAGTCCAGAGCCGATTTCGATCAACGGCGAAGCGCTCGAAGTTGTCCAAGAGTATGTTTACCTCGGGCAGACATTGCAGTTAGGTAGAGACAACTTTGAGCGTGAAATCGCTAGAAGAGTGCAGCTGGGCCGGGCAGCATTTGGAAATTTGCGTCATATCTTCTCGTCGCCACTACCACAATGCCTGAAAAGCAGGGTCTACAATAAGTGAGTCCTGCCAGTCATGACATACGGAGCCGAGACGTGGAACATGACGGTGAGGCTGGCCCACCGATTACATGTCGCTCAGCGAGCTATGGAAAGATTTATGCTCGGTATTTCGCTAAGGGATGAAATCCGAAACGAAATTATTCGGCAGAAGACCAAAGTTGTCGATATAGTCCGTAAGTGTAGCAAGCTGAAGTGGCAGTGGGCTGGCCACATCTGTCGTAGAACCGATGAGCGCTGGAGCAGACGGGTTCTCGAATGGAGACCACGTCTCGGAAAACGTAGTGTCGGACGTCCCCCTGCCAGGTGGACCGATGACCTGAGAAAGGTCGCTGGTAGTGGCTGGATTAGGAAAGCGGAAGATCGTACTCTGTGGCGTACTCTTGGGGAGGCCTATGTCCAGCAGTGGACTTCAAAAGGCTGATTGGATTGGATTGGATTGGAAGTAACAGCCTATACATGTCCCACTGCTGGGCAAAGGTGTCCTCTATACAGAGGGTATAGTCCACCACGCGGCCCCACTGCGGATTGGCGGACTTCGCAATTCTTCGAAAAATATTTTTTTTTGTTATTATTATTATAGTTAGTTAATATTATATATTATTATGTAATTTAGGGATGGTTATATATATTATTTTATATAACCATCTCGAAAACACGCACCAAATGGGCTGGTGTGGTTGCTCACCTAATACGGAGCGCGTGTGCTTCTTAGTAGCTGGTACGTATTTGTGGATGGAGCGATCGAAGATGCTGACGAAGTAGAGGGCCTGCTGTTTGTCGTCCCAGTGAGGACCCTCGCCAAGCGTCACCGGCTCCGTCACAGCCGTAACTTGTGGCGCCATCTGTGATTTTATCGATATCTAAAAAATATGCTGTGTAGAAAAAGCATTCTATTAAACATGGATGACTATTTATATAGCATGTCGATATGTTATACAATCAAAATATAAAAATTATACACTATCAGAAGTAAAACTTATGATAGGGATAGAGTTTATTTTGTTTTTCTTTTTAATGGATAACATTATCCTGTGTAAGGAAGTTTTGCAAACATAAATTTCAGGTGGGCAAACACCCAGTTGCGAAGCAATTACGTATTTGTGGGTCCCCACAACTAGTTGTACCGTGATTGAATCGAACCCATGGATGTGGGTGAACCCGACGCCGAATAGCGACTCGGAGTACTCAAATTTGGATCTACGTTGTTTAAATCTATAAAATAGATTAGGGCTCAATAGATCTTTTTATGTGAGAAAGTGAAAATCGAGCTGACGGTTCAACTGATGTTAAGTAAAAACCGCCGCCCATTGACATTTGCAACACCGCGCACCGTTTGTGTTGCAGATGCGTTGCCATCTTCTTGTAAGAAAGTGGGGACCATCAAACTAAACGCAGAAGTATAATATTTCTACTTAACCCGAACGGATAGCCTGCTATTTTTGACAAAAATAAAGTACCACACTTTTAAAGGAGAGCAAAATAAACTATGTATTTGGAAGAAAATAAAAAGTATTTTCAAAAATAATTTCTTCCCTTGAAGATATCCTCGTATTTTTGTATGATTCTAGCGCATACTCACAGTTTCTCAATAAACTTAAATTTTTGGAAGCTATCTTTACCCAAATCCCAATTGAAGTTAAATAAAACAGTAACTATTTATTAAAAATGAAAATCTGGAAAAACACAAAGAAGCACACAATATTTTTTAACCTAGAATATTTATGGGATCAGCCCATAAATATTCTAGGTTGAAAAATCTATCAAATAACAAATTGGCGACCCGAATGGCGTAGTGTGTAGTGTACCTGGCTCCTGCGCCAGAGGGTGTTGGTTCGATCCCCACTACTGGAAAAAGATTGTGTGATGAACATAGTGTTTTTCTAGTGTCTGGGCGTTTATATATGTATAATATGTATTTATTTACAAAAGGAAAGTATGGTTAAGTATGTTTATCAGTTTTCTAGTACCCATAGTACAAGCTTTGCTTAGTTTGGGACTAGAGAATGTTGTGTAAAAATGTATCCTAAAGTATAAGTATAAAGTATAAGTATAATTATCAAAAAAAAAGTAATACAATTTACTTGGAATAAAAATGTTTTTGCTAAGTTATCTAATATATCTATATATCTATATACAGCAAAAGCTTCTAAGTTGAAAGTGTTCTGATTCAACTTAGAAGTATCGATAAAAGTTCAGTAATTATACATATAGTTGTACACATTGTGTTTTATTTTATGCATCAAAGTAAAGATTGAAAATAAAGTATTTCTACGTACTTTATTTTTATGCAATACATTTACTATGTACCAAAAATAAAGTCGGATACGTTATTATTAAGTATGGTTGGCAACCCTATGGAGGGTCCTGCCAAATAGTGCAGCCGCAAACACGCGTGGCCCTACCATAATAATTAGACTAGTAAATAACTCATTAGATAAAAAGAAGCAGAATTTGTTAATACAAATACTGTTAAACTGGTGATTAAAATAAGTGAAGAATTATAAAAATATTTTACTAGAATCAAACAGTGATTGTTGTTACATATAAATAATTTTAGTCAGAAAATATCACAATATTTCTAGAAAAAAAGAGATAAATAGATTGGTTTTCAGATAGCTTTTCTATTTATACTGTGGTACGTTCTGCTTTAGTACGAATGAATGGCAGGCTTGTCCAGAAAAGTACCAGAACCTCACATAAGACCGGCGTGAAGTACTTCCAGTATTATGTTTTTGCGTTTCAATGAGTCGGGTAACCGTTGCCCAGTATTTTAAGAAGTTGCCATCGCATCTACAACCCCTAAGATGTTGTAAAGGTCTATGGGTGGTGGATATAACTTAAAATCAACTGAAAAGCCTGCTAGTTTTCCACGTTTTAACACATTGCTAAAGGTGTATATACATCCAAACCAGCTGAATGTTAAACATCGAGCTGGTGTTTTCAGAATATACGGTTTATTTAATTTTTTTAGGATTATATTTCTCTTTTCTAAATGCATAAGGCAAGCATTCAATTTCAATTTTGTTAATGTTGTTTTGACACCTTTTACCCTTATTTATATATTGAATCGATGACAGACAATTTATAATTACAATCGTGTATTCCCCAGTTTTGCTAGCCGAAGCTAAAAAATTGCTCGTTACAATAAATACATATATTTGCAGTTTTTTAACTGTTCTTTTAATTTATATTTTCGCTCAGCAACAGTCTTCGCCTATAATTACAATCGCCAATCGCGCTACATGACCTACCGAGAATGTTATTTTAAGCATTGCTGTTGATTGGTGTACAATAGTATGACGCTGTTCATAAAATAAATTGGTTACCATAGTTACTTACTTCCTCTTAAAAAATACTAAACTGACTTATATACTTTCTGTTTTACGATAGCCTGCAAGTTTAAAATAACACAGTATACAAATTAATTTTGGCGGGAAAATTCACTATCACTGATATGTATTTAGTAAAATAGTTTTGGTGTAAATAGGCACATTGCGGTTAAAATTAAATCAGTTAGCGGTTCGCTATTGTTTTATTTTTATTATTAATATAATTAACACATTTACGTATGTACTCGTAACTATATGAAGTGATTAACCGAATTCTGATAATAAAGTTGACAGCTGACAAATGAAACAACAAAAGCGCGTGAAACTAGTCCGCCAGCTGGGCAACTGCGTTTACGACTAAATTCTGGTGTGTCTCATAAGAGTTATGCTTAGATGACGCAATGTTCTTGAGGAAATACGCGTGATAAAATTAAAGTGTGAGTTTTAAGAAGTTCAAAGATTTACATTAGTTTCCTTGTAAAACATACACAAGTTTATCATTGCTCTATGTTTACTGTCTGATTTGGGCTATGGTGTTGTTTGTAAAATTATTATCGGCAGATATCCTTACAAACATAGCTGCTGTAAGAAGCTATTTTCCTAGTCTTGAATAAAAAATATAAGAAGATTCATAAACAGCATCGCACACTTCTAATGGACATTCAAATTTTCTCTATTCAAATAGACCCTTGCGCGTTCTTATGAAACGTCGAATATTAGATTAAAATTGATATTATGTATCAATTTCGTTCGTAAGTAAGTTACAGCCGGTTCGGAAAGAAGTTTCTGTTGAGAAGAGACCGGCAAGAAACTCAACAGTGAACAGTTGCTCTTTTTTAAAAAGGAATTTAGACAATTCTGTCCGCCCACAAATTGATTTTCGAAAGGATGACAAAATCGCCTAGAATGACGACCCGTATATATTAAATTTAAAACTATAAAAGACAAATAATAATCTAATAGACAATTTCTCACACACTTAAAAAGATAACAACAAGTAGGTATGTTACATACATCTTTATTAGGAACAAATCTTCGAAACACTAATAATGCCAAAAATATGCATATAAACATATTTATTTATGTACACATCTGGTCAAATTCCTAATAAGCGTTATATTAGTCAGTAATTCATTTCGCACTTTTATCTTCTGCTCTTATTTCCTTGATTCCTAGTGGGTCAGCACACGCGCCAATCATGTTGTTTAAAGCATTGGCTAGATTTGTTACGACTGGCCGACTGCCAGACGTAAACCTTAAGGATTTCACACCTGAATCCACAACGACCATCTGAGGCCCAGACAGACCTGTACCGTGAGGGAATAAAAAAGCCAATAGCTTCGCAAATGGGCCATCACCAATACTAATAATTAGGACAATGATGATTTAAATTTATGTAATACATCGAAAAAGTTCTAAACAATAATTTCTTAAATTTACGCGTACAAATAATACATATCTTTATTCAATATATTATTGCCATTTATGTAATTAAATTGTAAAAAAATGAAATTTTTAAAATAAACATCAGCACTTCTGTTCCTGTACCTCGTGAATAGTCAGAGTCGTATGTATGATTTTGCTCGTAAGACTCATTTTACTGACAATATTTCACGTTTATTTCACAGTATTTCTTGTTTTATCGCTCGTTATTTTTAATGAACAGAAATGATTCATGGCAGATCGTTTGACCTTGTAGTAATAATCGAGCTCTTAAAAATCAAATAGGAATTAGTAGGTACCACCTACAATGTATCACTTCTGTCATATTACTTATTACCTATGAATGAAGTACGAATCTCCAAAAGACATTTTGTGAATCTTTTATGCTTATTTATGCATGGGCATACTTCAATTTACATATGCATTAACGTAGTGTATAAAATATCTACATAGCATATTATTAATTTGATACATACGTACTCGAATACTCAAAATATCCTTATAAAAGAACGATTCGTACAACATAAATCACTTCTGTGCTGTGGCAGTTATCACAAACGAGAAAATAACGACGCAAAGTACATCCTCAACAACTTTTTACGATTGACAAATACCGAGAACAAATCATTGCCGGGTATGGGAATCCCCGTCCTAAGTTAGTAAGGGCCGTTGAATCGGTATTGAATGAAGATTCCCAGATACGATTTCTCTACGAGGAAATTGAGATATCACGATGGTTGAAGATGGACCTATAGTTTATTGTGAGACGATTTCTGTCGTTGCTCAAAGTTCGTAGAATATACTCGATCTTCCGGTTTTTCCTACACTTAGTTCGAACATGAACCTCTTTACAATAATAATAAATTCATAAATACTAACCGACTTGACTTTTATAGTATATATTTCTCTTTCCATCCTCTGTGGACTCCCAAAGTTCTAGTCAAGTCCGTATGAACCACTTAGGACAACCTAATGGTATAAATTGCGCCCATTAGCTATAAAAAGATAATTACAAATTAACCAAATCGCCATTGTTCCAAATATTTAGTTCTTAACGCAGTAGAAAGACGACAGCTGTATTATTTCTTCTAATCGGCGGATCGAGATCCTATCGTCACTAACTGGCACACATGTGAGTGATTGTCGCCAGTTCAATCGTTTCCCTGTAATCGGCCAGCCCGTTGTAAGCAATCGGAATTTGAACTCGCGACTTGATGACCAGAATATCCTTGTACAGACAAACATGCGTTATTATGCACGTTTCTCATTACACGGAAATTGAATGTTATGTAAGTCAAGAACGTCAAGAACCTCTTAAATATTACCGTTACCTATCACGAATTCGAGAAGCATTACTCAACAGTAGCAACGTGATATTATGTAGTGTCAAGTGTGAGTAGTATTCAGATCTTATCTGTATAAGTACCTTTTGCTGTTTTACTGCAAGTAGAATTTACTTCCATTACAGACATGTTTATGCATTATATATTTTTATCCATACTAATATTATAAATGCGAAAGTAACTCTGTCTGTCTGTCTCGCTTTCACGCCAAAACTACTGAACCGATTTAAATGAAATTTGGTACACAGGTAGTGTAGAGCCTGAGAAAAGACATAGGCTGGATTTTTTTTTAAGAAAGATATTTATATAAGGGCTTCAACGCGATTGAAGCCGTGGGCGAAAAGCTAGTAATTCATAATTTACTTATGATCAGCACTGAAAATCAGCGTTGTGTTGGGGCCTTGACTTCCGGCACAGCATACTACTGCTGTAGGTCAGCATTTACTGGAATAGGCCATACAATATTTTTGTTTGTTAAAGTTATTTTTTATTCCTTTATATCTTAATTATGTATTTATGTTTTTTTTGATTTACTGTATTATTTAATTTTTTTGTTAAATTCATTTGTTTCTCCCTTTGTTGTGGGCGTCCTTTTTTGGTAAATAAATGTATTTTCTTTCTTTCTATCAAAAAACATAAAAAGTATCCCAAAAACAATCTTCGATTTTTTGATGCCCATTTTATATTTTAATCACACGATAGAAAAGTTGTCAAGACTGGTAACGTACATCGATTATTTATTTAATAAACCCCGACATTAAGACTAAAGAAATGAAATATACATCAACTGTTCGTTAGTGTCATCACAATTAAAGGCGGTCACATACCTATATCTTTTGTGTAATTTTAGATTATATGTTTATTAATTATTGAAAACTGTGAAAATTTTTTAAGTCTGTTTTAAACGGTTTGCCCTGCTTATTGGTCGTCCCAGGTGCTCCAAATCTTCTACTCAAGCTCTGATCGGTAATTTGCGATAAGTACCAAGTCTACCGCCTTTACTACTTCAACAAACTATTGTTCAATTTTACTCTTGTTAATGTTAATTTGTGAATGGTACACGCATCTTAGCTTTATAATATGCAGCGTTCATTATTTTAAGAAAAAACACGAAAGTAGTCTATTTACACAACAACAAATCAGCTATACGTATGACAATCTTCGCACCATCGCTCGTGTCTGTATCAAACTCTGGTTTGTTTCAAAACTTTATATCCACTGAGCGATAAAATTTACCTTTTGATAGGAAATCCAACAATACGTAATTTGAGGTGAGCCATACATTATAAATTTAATTTAATTATTTTACTTTAGGACTTTAGGTAAGTTAAATATTTTATAACGGTTTATTTGTTGTATATATGACATTGTTTTCTGACATTACTTATATATAAATATTATAATTTCGTGAAGATGTGCGTTTTTCTTATAGAAAAAGACAATATATTGTTTAAACCCCGAGACTATCTAGTATTCAGCTATAAAGTCCTTCCTGCCCCGCCCTACCTTGGTGGACCCTCATTAGACCTCCTTGAAGAATCCCAAGTCTGCTACTTTACGTCATAACTCTAAGAGTCTACGCAGCCGCACGGAAAATCTAGCGTATTTTGTTGCAAAATCTGCTACGGCGCTCTATCACAACAACATACCTAAGTATCTACATAATATATTTAAGGCTTAGCTTTTATGATAATAGCTCTATGGCTATGTACAGTTGTTAGATTAATCGTAATTATTATTTAGGAATTTAATATACAAAATCACTAACGCCTAAAAGGATTGTTAAACTGTGAATTGATTAGAATGATAATCTTAATGATGAGAATGATCAATTCATAGAGTTGAACAGTCCGTATGGCAACTCAAATAACATTTGAAAAGCCATTTGATAGTTGATTATTTAACTACTACGATGATAAGTGTTACAGAAACCGGGCGGAAGTTTCGAATCTATACTTTGCACCATTCATAATCAGGTAATGGAATACCGCGATAAAATCAGTGCGAATAGTTTCAACTGAATTATTTGTGGAAATGCAAGTAAATAACTCTAGTAGTTTACACAAATAACTTTAATATATTTACATTAAATAACTAACCTAAACCTTAAATTAATAACACTTAACTGTATCAAATCAAACAAATTAACCGAAAAGGTACCTATACATAAAAATCAATTATGTAGGTAAAAACATGTAAGGTTAACCACTATAACACCATAGATAAAAAATACTCACTTTAATATTTCTTCGTCTGAATCAATTCTCTAAACAAAAGTATATTTCCACCGTCAACTGTACCGACAACTTGACTAAGGCGTACTATTTTATACAGATAGTGTTAAATCTCGCTTTGATATCTAATCTAGAATGTCGGATGCATATCACATGTCAATATGGGGATTAAGTTTACCGCTAAACAGATAAAATAAGTATCGTCAAAATGAAGCTACGGAGATGGTAATATGTTTAGTTAAAAAAAGCTTAACGTATGTCATGTACGCCATAAGGTGTGATAGTAGAATAACACTGGTCAGATTGCGAGTAAAAAGATGTAGTGACATTTGGGGGTTCTTTATTAGAATGAATAAATATGTCATTTGTGATTGGAATGGCTCACTTCGTCAATTTTATTGTTTTCAACAGACAAAAAAGTGGAGGTTCTCTACTAGATTGTGCCTTTTTAGATTTGATATTTCAGAAATCCATCATTTATGAACCGATTTTAAAATTTCTCTTTGCATTAGATTCAGCTTAGCCCGCATGTGGTCCCATTCTATTTCATTGGTTTTGAACTCCGGAGGTACATGAGGGAACTCCTCAAAATCCATTAGAAAATCTATAGTGAGATAGAAATTTGAAGTGTATTTTCTTTTATTAATCTTTTAAGTTTTTTTTTATTTTTTTCAAATAGGTATCTTTACATATTTTTTGTGTAAGACACTCAGAGTGAAACGTCATTCCTATATTAACTTTTATTCAATATTACTTTGCATATAAATGATTAGCTAATAAGAAGGTTTATTCACAAATAAACAAATACGAAATATTTATTAATAAAATGTACTATATTGATATATGAATATATTTATTCGTAAATACTCTTCACGCTTACCCACTGTACAAACGTTTTCTTTGACTAAATCGATCCGCTTATCTTCTTTAGATTTTCCCCCTCCTTACTAAAATAAAAATAAAAAGAGAAAATATAAAAAAAGATAATTTTAACCGAGTACGACGCACAAACATCACAATGGACGATAATTAATAAAAAAATGTTAACGGCAGAAAGTTTTCAAAATCAACCACGAAACGTGACTGGTCAACGCACAACAGTAAAATTTAGTTTCACACGTACAGGAGCCCCACTAAATGAGAAACTTGAAATTCTTGAAATCTGCTTTCTGCCTCACCTTTTAAAATAGTAGGCCTCGCTCACTCACCAGATAAAATCCAAAAGTATGAATACTTCTACGGTTTTTAGGGTTCCGTACCCAAAGGGTAAAACGGCACCCTATTACTAAGACTCCATTGACTCTGTCTGTCTGTCTGTCACTAGGCTGTATCTCATGAACCGTGATAGTTAAATAGTTGAAATTTACAGAAATGATGTGTTTCTGTTGCCGCTGTAACGACAAATACTAAAAAAAAGTGGGGCTCCCATACAACAGACATGATTTTTTGCAGTTTTTATAGATAATGTTGACGGTAGTATTTTTTTGACAATCAATAAGGAAGTGTAATACTCATATATTGAATAAAGATATTTGAATTTGAATGGTATGGAACCCTTCGTGTGCGAGTCCGACTCGCACTTGGCCGGTTTTTGGAAGTTTGTGGGGTCTCCCTAGACCAATATAAGCAACAAAATCTTCTGCATCGATTACCACTAGAATCATTAAGACATATTGCCTTATTTCGCATAAATAAATATATTTTTTTAAGTGGAAAGGACAAAAAACCCATCTATAAGTCATCGATAAAATAGGAATAAATTTATGATAAAAGATAAATATTTGAGAGAAAACTGCATCGTTGAATCTGTCAAAAGACGTTGGATAATATTGTCGAATATATTATTTATTTAAACTATTTATGCATATTTGTTTCAAGCTTACAGCTTACGAAGTTTCAGGACTGAGGCGTAAGACTCTTTATTAAGTTTATATATTATTTAAGTTTAAAACAAACTCGTAATAATTTCATAAACCAGCATTATTTTATGTGTTTCATTAACATCATACATTAAAAACCGCCACACGTTTTCATCCCTGATGGTAAAAGTCGACAGTAGCTTGCCTCTTTCCCTTTTCTAAATTCGGTGTGTTCTGGATCACTAGTGAGGTACGGGATTTGTACCATTGCTGAGATGAAACTGGGTTCACTTGCAACGTACACCTGTCTTATGCTAACAATACTCAAGAACACCACGGAAGAACTTCAAAATCGATTGCATCGCCATTGATAACATGTAATCACAATGACACACATCTTTTCTCCTTCATTCCAGGGTGACGGGCCCTCATGATAAGATAATAAATATACCCTGGGGTATCGATAAGATTTCAATACTCCGAACGCCAAAACATCACTAGTTGTCATAGATTACTTAATCTTGTACGATCTATAAGTCACATTATAATGTAACAACTTTATCTCCGGCCCTAACGCGAATTTGTTTGTTTGGATCGGTGCTAGTAAATCAACAATGGATTGTAGTTTTACATTGTTAGAAATGGATTGTAGTTTATTAAGACCGGAATAAATGCGCCATAAAAGCATTACGGTATTTGTGAAGTTATATAAAGCGCTCACCTATTATCTAATTAGAGCTCTTTAACCCCAATAGAGAAGTATATAGCAATAGGCATAGACAATACGCTTTATTTCAGCTAAAGAAACAATAAAAAGAAACATGTGTTAAAAATAATATAAATAAAAAAGGCAAAAAGGATGATTCATAAAAAATATAAACAATATTAAGTGCCAATCTCATAATCGAGCATACAAACAGAAATGACAATGTTTTAACTGTGTAGTGACCGTTATCGTGTTATACTATCAGATCCTTAGTCCTATATGTACCATCCTTTATTATTTTTTATTATTAACACCTAAGGTTAAATTATAACCTATCTTCGTTAACATAATTGATAGTTGTACGTATCTATTATGAACTTTCATATGCAATATTTTCTTCGATGTGTTAGTCTATATTTCTTTTATATGTTTTCTGTTGATGTACCTAATTAATAAAATAAACGTTAAGATGCGAAATCAAAAGAGAAAATCTATCCGCAGCAAAGCCAAAATTAAAAATAGTTTAATGCGTTATTATGAACAACAATATGAAACATATTAGAGAAAATTTGCTCCCGCAGATTTGAGTTTTGCGAATTATGACATTGAGTTCAAATTTAAACCAGTTAATTGTGACCCGACTTCAAATAGGAGGAGTTTATCATTTCAGCTGTATTTACGGACCCCTTTAATGGAAAGCGCCTCACCATAGTTTATCTTCCTTTGGTCAGTTTGTAGATTTCAACGTCCTGTGTATGGAAGAGTTAGCGTCTGCAAGCCCTTGCCGAATACGCACACGGTCAAGAATCCGCTGAAAAAAAATTTTGCTAATTCTATATTAGTCTAAAGCAGTGTCTGCCAACCTTTTTATGCCACCTTAGCCTTGATAAAATTTTTATGCTATCGCCCCCTATATAACATAATTATACGTAATAATTATTTACCGCAATTATTTAAGAATTTGCTCTATTATTTGCTTTTTTAATTTGCCTGGAGCGAAATGGTTAAACTCGTGTCCAGTCTGTTTTCGAATTGCCCCCCTTAACAATCAAATTGCCTCCCTGTGGGGCATGGGCCCCACGTTGGGGAACACTGGTCTAAAGTCTTATTGTTACATTCCCCGCTCTGAGCTAGCAAGTATTTACATTGCTAGTCAAATCCAAAGTTTTTTCATTAAACTAAGGCCTTCAGACCATCATAGACTAAACGTTATTTTTTTAAACACCGGCACAATGAAACTAGAAAAGGAACTGAAACCGTCGAACGCTACTAATACTCACTTGGATTTTGCGACGAGGTCCAACCCCTGTACGTCCGCGACGTCGCTCATGACCTGATATAGGAAAGTGACGTCACGTCCGCCTCCCCTGACCCTGAGGACGGTGACCCTCTGGTCAATGGAGGCGGTCACCAAAACATCGCCCGCGATTACGAGACCGGTTATTTGCGAACAGTGAATGTTGTCGGATATCCAAGTATGAACTACTTTCGCAGTCCCCAGATCTCCAAGTCTCACATCGATCACGTTCAAATGCAACGCGTTGTCGTCGCCACCCGTGGCGATGAGGAACTCCGTATCGGATAACTGTTTGGACGCTACGCAGTTGATGCCGGATTTATTGGCAGTGAAAACTAGGAACGGTGATAGCTCGGAGCAGTTCTTAGCCGTGGTAACGTCCCAAAGGCAGACTTCGCCTCTAGTGGTGCACGTGGCGAGAATGGTTCGATCCCGAAACTCGATTAGATGCGTTTTCAGCACGCACGTCTTATGATGTTTCAGTTGGCCTGATGGTTTAAACGCAACTTTGTCGTCAACACATGACAGTTCGAAAACCCTTATGTAAGCGTCGGAACAGCCTGCGTATACGAGAAAGTTCTCCTCGTCGACTTTAACTATCTCCAAGTCCATTATTCGTGTTTCTGGATCGAAATCGACGGTGCAACCGCGCCAGGTTCTGTCTCCCTTCCGCTCTTTATCCGTTCCCTTCACCAGAAACTCCACTAGATCTTCAACGACTGCCTTCAGTACACCGTTATCGGTCTGAAGAGTAATTGATCTAATGCAGATCTGCGCTCTACCGCCTCCGGATACAAGGAGAAAGTTGTCTTCATCCAGCCCACAGACCCTCAAAGTTCTGACGTTAGAAAGTTGTTTCAGAACAATATCGTCTTGGAAATGTACACTCTTTGAGCAAGTTGATACTCTTAGAGTTGTGTCCTCACCGCCGGTTACAAAAAATATCACGGAATCATCTGAACGGCTCACGAGTGACTTCAAACAATTGATTTCCTTCGAATGCGTGCCTTTAATGATGTCAATCGATAATATCCTGTCCATATGGAACGTCTCTATGTTTACATCGGAGTTTTTTAAGTAGACGAGTTTGATCAGTTGCTCGTAAGCGTTATCGATTCTCTCGAAGTAGCGCACAACGTCCCAAGATCTGTGACCACCGCCGCAAGGGACCTCGACGATCTTAGAGCCGTTCCTTAAGTCGGTTATAACAAACACCCTCTCCTGGAAACCGCACGCGAATTTTCCTTCCGAATCGACGCATCTCTCCACCCACTGGAATCCGACCTCTTGGGATCGGACAAGTTTGATTCGATACGCGCCACCGTTATTGGCTACTGAGAAATACTTGAGAGTGCCGTCTCTACCGGTAGTTACAATTCTATCGTTCCTCACCCGAATCGACGTGGGACCGTATCTCCCGTGAACTTTGCCGAACGTCTTAATAGGATTTTGCTCCCCTTTCAGATAACAGTGCACGTTACCGCACCTATCTCCGACGACCAACAATTCGTTGTCATCACTAATTGCTGACGACGTCAGCCATCTCTCCTTGCAACGCGGAAGGGAAAATTTCCCAACAACCTCCACTTCCTCACGCTTCGAAGCGATGACGTATACCTCACCGATCCCCGAGCAGAACACCAAATGCCTGCTACTAGCCCAGTGCATAGACAATATTCTATTAATAGGCAATTTGGCCGTAACCACATTTCGAACGCTCGCGGGGCCTTTGCAGTTCTCAATAAAAACGTCCAATTGTCCACTCATATCGGCGACGGCTAAAATCTGTCTGCATGGTGACATACTCATCATTATGTATGTTGAGTCGTAATGGAGGGAATGGACAGTTTTCGATTTTACGACACTATCGTAATAGATCAGCTCGGCTGGCTCGCTGAGGATAACCATATTCCTCCTCGCGGTGAAGGCCAGCTGCTTTGCGGTGCCTTTGTCCACCTCCACCCTATCTGAATGGCTAAACCCTGCTGCGACGGATAGGGGATGCAAGATCACGCCACAGTCCCCTCCCCCGGTCACGAAACGCCGCTCGTCCAGGTCAATTGACCATATAGGGGCGTTTTGGTGGACGGCCACCCGTCTTGCCATCCTCCCGCTGCTATCCCAGAAGCACACGGCCGAATCTTCCCCCACCGAAAGGATATATTCATCGCTGATGCAGCTACGCATCACCCTAGCTGAATGGCCATATAGCTCGTGGGCGCAAGAAATGTTAACTTCGTCCCAAAAGTCTGCAGAGTTACAGTTTTTATTGGGACTGTTTAATGTCCATACACGCACTGATCTGTCATCCGATGTGGTCACAATAACTCTTCTCTGCAAACTACAAGATATTGAGAAGATGACACCCTGCAATCAAAAAGATAATTTTAAGGTATTACATTGATTTATATAAAATTCTGGGCTCTCACCTCTTCAAATAACTAACAAATTAACTTATAAAATCAAAACCAGTATCCATGTTACGGCTGATTGTATTTTAAATACTGCAATTTTTACTTTTATTGTCTACCGCATGCCACATTGTTTAATTACATTTAATTAAATTTTAAAACGTTTATTAATTATATGGCCACTTTAACTAACATTGGTGTGTATCTAATATCGCTAAGAAATATACTCAGTTAGCACTAAATTTAAAATTTGTAGACAGTGTGTTTGTAATTGTATAATCAAAATGACTGAAATATTCATGAAAATTACTCAAAGCATAAGGATACCTTATGTCCAATCAAACGGTGCAGTGTTTTCACCTTTTTACATCTAGAAATTATCACTTCGGAGAAGACAGTACCGCTGAAAACAAGCAGATCATCAGTCAACGGAAGTAGAAGACCACTGTAAAGTATTGAATTATCCTTGTTTATAGTCCGAGACATGAGTAAAGGCTCATTGGATACATCCCAAATCTGTAATATAATACAAGATTTTCACATTTAATGTTACACAAATCACAAAGGATATGCAGTCCCTGTATATAACAGGTCTTGATTCTTGACACTCAAAGTTAATAAAGTTAAGTCAAAGTTATTGATGTTTAAGAATGTGTTTATGCTATGAAGACATTCAAAAAGACAAAGAACATTAACAAAAGATATTAACAAATTTATTAATCTTGCAAAGTTAGCTTTGGTTTTTGTATGAAAGACCTTTTGCAGTGTTGTCTACATGAATTACCTTTTAGTATGTACAATTTTGATAAAACTTATCACAATATTATTAAAAACAAATTTCAAAGCCTAGTATATTATACGAATTGTGAGAAAACTTTTGAAAGAATTGTTATATTGTTATTCTTTTGTTACCTGAACAACATTGTGAGCAGTTAACACTGCAATGTGCATCTCAGGCAACCAAACTCCGCTATGTAGCCAATCATCACATACAATACTGCCTGGTGAAAAGTCAAATAGACTGGATCCCTGTTTCGTTCTTTCTATTATTTTAAACTGCTTTCCACCAAATACCAACAACTTCAGTTTATCATTATTGGGCACAATTCCGTATATCTTTTGTCCTTCCAGTACATTGTTGAATGCTTCAATAAATTTTGCTGTTTCTATTGCATATGCATAAATAGAGCTGCCTATGCCTGTATTAAATATTTTTAATGATACATTACTCTTACCTTTTATACTGTATGAACTACATTTCTTTGTACATTTGAAAAAGAAAGAAAATTTTATAATTGAGGTTTGGCAGCTTTTAGTGTTGCACAATTAGGGGAAGTACCATGGCCTGAAAGAAAACTGGCATAAATAAGAAGTATTATATTTCTGCATTTTGTTTCAGGAGTGAGGTAGTCGAAGAGGTTGGTCACTTTTTTAAAGTTAGCAATTTACTTGCAACCACGAGTATTGTAGTAGTCGAGGGGCGGCTGTAATCGCTTTATGTCAAGAGAATAGTTTCTCGTTTGAAACCATTTACGAAATAAGGAAACCGCGGCCTGCTCGTTTTCGGTCCGCCTGTATACATAATTATATCCCTCTCACATAAAAAAGGTTATATACAAATATCAAACCACTATTTAGTGAGATAAAGGTGGAATAAAAACAGCGGCAATAAAATCTGGGCACATTTAATAGTTATTCATTTAAAAACATGTTTAAATTTTTATAAAAAAAAATTAATAGTTAAAATTATGTAAATATAACCATTACCATACCTGCTAAAACAAATTCTTCATATAGTTTTACTGCCGTAGCATCCGTACGAATAAATAAAGACATTTTATTATTTCTTTAAAGCTGATACAGTGATTTAAGTATTTTAGATAATTTTAATGCCTTTCGTAAACAATAACAATAACCCAATCAAACTTCAAACTGACTTAACAAACAATGTGACCAGTTGGAAAACCTCTTGCCTCTTCCATTGTTAATTATGATGTTGCCAAAGTATTTATTTATATGTGATCGAATTCACAGTAATTGAATTTGGTCAAAATATGTTTTCGTTCACTGACAAAATCAAATTGTAAGGAAGAATACCAAAGACGAAAAGAGAAAGATTTCAGCAAAAAATAATGTATGCTCCAGTTCAGTTCCAGTTCACACGTTTTATATTTTTATAGACAAATCAACAAAATATTTCAGTGCACAAACACTTTAAAATTAATCCAAAAAAGTGCTTTAGTTACTTTTAGAGCAAACTTTACTTTTACAATTAGGACATGTTTGCAACGGAATGCCAAGTGGGGATAATGGCTACTTATATAAGGATATCCAGCCATCAAGGTGGAAAAACTTCCATATCATGCTCAGTTTCTTAAATTTCTCTTCGATGGGAGTTAGCTTCTCTTTAGTTGTTGCTGTAAATAAATAATCATAAACATGACGAAGAAATTATCTGGAATTATTACAGGAAACTATTAGAACTGGCATGTTAGCGAGGGCCAGCTTTGGTGCTATGTGCACGAATACCGGACCAGCGTAAGTCTATATGGGGCGAACTAATGCCTTATATACCATACCACCCTTTTCTAAAGGGACATCTTACTTTTTTATTAACTAGGGGGTAATAGACGGCCCAGTGCAATGGTCACCCGGTTCCTAACCCGAGTCACGTGCTGACTGAAAATGAATTTAGAGTCAAAGACGACACCTAAGTATTTGACTTTGGAGATCCATGGTACTGGGCTATCATTGAAAGCTTTACGGTTAGGCTTGGGGGATTAGGCACCTAATGGCGCGAGATGAAGACAGCTGCGCCTTTTTGATCGCCATCCTCCAATTCCGAAACCAATCACATAATGGTGTATATTTTCAGGCTGTGTGCCTGGCGTGAAGAGGCAGATGTCGTCCACAAAGAGGACAAGTTATACATCTTTGGCACACGGCATGTCGTTTGTGTAGAGCGTGAATAGGACTGGGCTTCGATATCCTGTGTAGCTTTTGAATCAGATATGTTGTATTAACAATATCACCTTTTATTTATTTAAAATCGATTCTGCATACCATCGTTCGCTCGTTACGTAAATGATTACAAAACATTAAACTTTCGAAGATTAATGGTTTATGTAAAATGTACATTTTTTTTTAATTTTGCATTTTGTAAATAATTTAATTCCCTTAAACTATTTTCGTATATTACTTTATTTTCATAAGCAATGGGTCGACGTAGTTGCGTCCCGTCATTAAATGGCAATTTGGTCTTTATTACTTTTTATAGGTTCCACTATCGATCGTGGTCTTCCAAACCAGCCAACTTTCATCTGGCCCTTGGATCGTGTTTTGATGTATTTATTAGTCGAATTGTCCACCTTTTGTTAACAGGGGTCCTAGAGTAGACGAGTATTCTACAACAGATGAAGCTTTAATAGTCTTGGGACTGAAAGCAAAAACATCAGTTAATACAAGACAAGGGTAGACGACTTCGGACTTTGTTGTTCTTTCCCAAGTCAACGAATTGTCAAAGCTGCCGGTTTCTTAAGAAAAAATTTAAAATTCTTACTAAAATTAAATCAAACAATATGTTTATTTTAAAGAATTTTTTATGTCGTATAAAATTACTTTCATTACACATTGTAATCACTGACACCTTGTTGTATAAAATGAGATTAGTTTAACTACGACAGTCTCAGACATTAATCGTTTTGGTACTGGTTGAGTGGGTAGTGCTGCTGATATTTTTCTAGATGTTTTTCCATTTGACGCACTTGTTTCCTGAAAATAAAACGAAGGTTTTAACAAAAAGTTTTAAGGGTTAGCAAGCATTAGGGAAAATACTTAAAAGTTCTTAAAATTAAATAAAGTAAAGAGTTAAGTAACAGCCTATATATGTCCCACAGCTGAGCAAAGGCCTCATCTGTACAGAGGTTATCAGGGCATAGTCCACACACGGCCCCACGGCGATTGGCGGACTTCACATATCTTTGAAATATATTTTTTGTTATTATTTCGAAAATATGCAGGTTCCCTCGCGATGTTTTCACGCTGAGCACGTGATAAGTCAGCACTTAAAATTTACAATTTCATTGGTGCCGACACCGGGTATCGAACTAAGGTTGCTCCTATATATTGAATTGAAAAGCGAGTGCAGGCTAAGTCTTAAAATTAAGATTTAAATATAATGCGTGCTCACTGTAGTCTCTGGGGCATATCGTAATAGACATCCTCCATCATCTCTTTCCAGTGCGGCCGTTTCTTTTTCTCCGCCTCCTGCATTGTCCTGACGACCGTTTCCCGCGATTCTTTAACGCATTGCTTGTCCGCCTCGGCGTCCCAATAACCTTCAAAAATAGATCACGTCAATTTTGCATGAAGGTATTTTGTGGCCTTTTTTCTTTCTTTTTTATTTGGATGCAAATCGACAAAGTTTGTGTATTTAGATTGCGAACAAAATACTTTTAAAGTTTTAATAGTAATCAAAATGTATATTTGTTGTTATTATGCTAATATCAGTTTTAAAACCCATTTTTTTCTTAAACACAATAAATTATTTTACAGCGAGGATAGTACCGTACAGTTGTAACATTTTTCAATTAATGATAGAAAAAATCTTTCTTTAGTATTCATAGATTTAAAGTCAAATGTTGGTTCCCAGAATTAGCTGTTTGTTAAGGTTTGTCATCTTACAAATGGTCAAATTACCTTTGCGTTCGAGATAGAGTCGCATTTTCTGTATAGGGTTCTCTTCCTTCGTCCATTTCTGAATCTCCTCGAGAGGTCGGTACGCACTGCTGTCGTCGGAAGTCGAATGGTGACCCACTCTAGAATAAAGTATTATATAATAATAATTAAATATACTATTTTATCATTTAAATTCATGCAGAACAGCAAAGAGTAGCCGTAGCAGTTTAGTTAATTTCCAGGCAGAGTACATTAAGATCCAAACGACACGAAAGGGGTCAAAAATCTTGTTGTCAATGCATCTGGAACCCTCGGGAGTAGCAGATGTCCATGGGCGACGGTATTCATTTATCATCAGGTGAACCGTCTGCTCGCTTAGCAAATTTTCACATAAAAGAAACAGAAAAGAAACTTAAGCAGAAAGTACCTGTAGGACATGGCCTCTATTAGGACCGGTCTGTTGGCGATGGCCAGTCGCCTGGCGCTGGTGACTGCGTTGTAGACCGCCAGCGCGTCGGTACCGTCCACGCGGACGGTGCTGATGCCCAGGGAAGGTCCACGGGCAGCGATACCATCGCCGCGGTACTGTTCGCTGGTGGGCGTAGATATCGCGTACCCGTTGTTTCTGCTGCGATCGAGAGTTGACGCTGATGAGTCTGTAGCGGTCGCCAAGGTGTCGGCTTCAGCGTCGAGGTTCGGGTTCGATTCCCACACGAGTCCACTTTGTGTGGGCCGCAGATAGTGGTTCGGATCTGGGCGTTTGTCCATGTGAAATTTATGTAAAACGTTTTACAATAAGGGGGCAATGTCTTCGGGAGGAAGACTACAATACTGTCTATTCTCTATAATCTACTTCGCAACGGTCGTCGGGACCTACTACCAACTTCTTCCACACAAAAAACTTTATTATTGTTCAAGTACTCGCCAGTTATTATCGTATAACATTAAATCGTTTTTTTTAAAACGCCTCAACAATACAGTATATTTTACTAGAGAGGGGGAGACGTTTTAATGGAAAACAGTACCAAAACATGATGACCGGACAGTCGAGGGTCGCTGCGAAGTTGAAGGCCGCGTGGGCGTCGCCTTCCGAAGCGGCGCCGTCCCCGAAGTAGCAGATGACGCAGCGGTCATTATTCGGCAAACGCTTTAGGGCGTACGCCGCGCCCACCGCCTGCGGCATCTGCGTGGCTAGAAGTGGGAGTGAGCTATACTAGGTTAAAACAAGTACCTGTTATAAAAAAGTAGCAGTAACAAACACCTGTTACAATATAACTACCTGTTACTGAATACTAAGTTGTGACAATTTGTGTAACTGTTACCATAGTAACAGCTGTTACAGTATTTTATTCTGTGGTAACGTCTGCACTTCTCTTTCTAACAAAGCTATAAGACCGATGCATGAAAAAGAAAGAGCTTGACAGTGACAGTATTCTGTAACAACTGTGACGACGTGTCACAGTTTTTATCTCTTTCTAACTAAAGTAACAGTCGTAAGCATGGACAAAGAAAAGCTTGTGACAGCGTGTTAAGGAACAACTTGTGTTGAACAGGAACTGTTATTTATAATAAGTTTGTTCGTAACAGTCACAGTATATTATCACGAGATACCTGTTATATTTACCTGTCACGATAAATAGGCCTCACTGCTAGCTGGAAGGTGATCGCTTCTGAACACACGAGCAACATAATCGAAAGAAGTAGGTAGGTTGAATGAAACTATTTTATAGATTTTATTGCGTTTAATCAGATTATTATTTTCTTTTTTCAGATCATTGAATTTCCACCGTTCATGGTTACTGCACGTGTTGTTTCTCAACTCAACTGGAGTTGTTTCATTTTAATGTCAGAGTTAACTCGGGCTATCATCAATGGTTTTAAAAATAAAATTCGTAAAATAGTTTCATTTAACAATGTATAACATTCGCGTAGAAATAAGAAATCAATACGGAAGAGGTAGGTTCAAATCCCGCAACGCTGAGTTTGCCCTTCTTCTTTTTCTTCTTTGATTAATGGCCTCTCTTAAAAGAATTCTGACAATGTCATGTCAGTCTGAGTTTGCCCTTTAGTCTATACTCTATAGTTTCGTATGGTGAGTTATGTAACGGGTAATGCAAATGTCCATGGGTGGCGGTTAGCACTTAACATCTCATCAAACTCAGAAATAGAACACTTCTACTTCACGCAGGTCTTCTGTAAGGTTGTGGTACTTTACCGGACGGATTCCATTTCCATTTAACAAAGAATACTATGGCGTGGCCCTACCACAGTTAAACAGTAAGTGCAGAATCATGATATACTAGAAGGTGATAATTGGGCTCACCTAGTGGGCTGGATATGGTGACGATGTTCCTTTGCTTGCTGCCGTAGTGGACCGGCATCTGCCTCCCCTTGCCGGGGTCCTCGCAGTTCCCGTAGCACTGGTTGATCAGCTCGGTGACCGTCATCCCCCGGTGCAGTAGAACGCCCACCTCCCGGTATTGCGCGAAGACCAAGTCCCTCGGAGAAAGGGCCGCCGCGCTACCCACGTGGATGCCTTCCTCGCCATAGTTGGTCATGTAGAACGACACGCGGCCCTGCCTGTGGAGTGTAATGCGTGGGGAATTTAGTCCCGGGTCCTAATTGACGGTGTTATCTAAAGGGAAATCACCGAACGGAATTCTGAAAATTTTGTTTCGTAATGTTGTTTATTATAATTGTTAATCAGTTTATTAAGCTCTATCATTACTTTTTTAACTGGTGTAGGATTAGTTTCTTTTCTAATTCTTATAGTCCGAAGTTGAACCTTAGATAAACTTTCATCTGTGAGCCCCTCGTAAGTTAAAATCAAGATCTGCATCAGTGTAATACTATGTAGTTAACGAATTATTCGAATTTTAGTCCTGGACAATTTATGATTTCGTTAAAAAAAAAAGTTAAGTAACAGCCTATACATGTCCCACTGCTGGGCAAAGGCCTCCTCTATACAGAGGGTATCAGGGCATACTCCACCACGCGGCCCCACTGCGGATTGGTGGACTTCACATATTTTCGAAATATATTTTTTTTTTTTTTTACTTTATATGATTTCGTAATGGGATTAAAATTCGTTAATAACAAAGACTACTCCTAAACACTAAAATTTTCCCTACGGAAAAACTATTAAACTCGCGATACAGCTGAAAGATCGCGATACTATTAAAGTGCGCTTTAGGCAGTTTAATTGTATTGTAGTGATCTTTCAGCATTTCAACTTAAACAAAACACAACAAAAATTTAAAAATACTTTATTATTTATATGCAAAAAGTAATATTATCAAGAATAAATTAGGAAAACGGGTAATTCAATGTCAATAATCAATTAGCATTACTTTTGCTTTATGATGCTGAGCGTGGCCGTAAGGGACAATGCATTATTTTCAATTAGGTAAAACATTATTACCTCTGCGATTCGTACAATATCTTGTCCATCTGGCTGAGTTGAATCATGGTCTTGTACATGCCGAGTAAGGTGTCCTTATCGATGTTTGGCTCTTGCGTGCCATCGATAATTTCACCGTTGTTGTCCATGACCCGGTAGATGGGTATGGGGTCGTAGCTGTTCTCGTTCAAAAACTTCATCTCCGTCACGTAGGGAGCCCTGGCTCCGGGAAAATCAGACGCGCTGCCGCCATTTTGGAATATTTCCGGCCTCGTGTGGGTCGAAAGGAGCTAGATGTTGAAAAACGCGGTATAGTACCACAATTACACTCGTAAAAAAGGTCGATGTTGCTTTATAACACAGGAGTTAGTAGCAACAGTTGGAAAAATGTACTAACTCTCTTTACGCATCTATTTGTATGTATGCTTGTAGGTATAAATGTAATAAAATCTTTCAATTGAATTTTAAATTACGTGCAAATTATTTGATATTTTGTATCGATGTTAAAAACAATATTATATAAGTTATACAATAGTTAAATATTGAATACCCGAATGGCGTAGTGGGTAGTGTACCTGCCTCCTGCGCTAGAAGGTGTGGGTTCGATCCCCACTACTAGAAAAATATTGTGTGATGAACATAGTGTTTTTCTACTGTCTAGGGGTCTATATAATTATGTATGTTTATCAGTTATCTAGTACTTATAGTACAAGCGGTGCTTAGTTTGGGATTAGAGAACGTTGTGTAAAAAATATTTATTATTCTTATTAATAAATTAATTATATCATTATTTATTATATGATTATTAATAAAGTACTTTCTTGATCATGGTCTTGTGACTTCAACACAACTATTAGCAACCAATTCTTATAAAAATTAACCGCTTCTCTCCCAGGTTTAATTGCTGTTATACGTGAATCTTGACCCTCATTATGTGATTACTGGATTGAAATTGCTCAATCAATTTACGTTTTTATTAGCGTGTTTCTTTTTTTTAATGTGTTTATGTGTTTCTCCGATTTACCTATTCATTAACTTGACTACAACACTCTAACACTAACACTTGCATGATATCAATTATCCCGGATTGAACCCCAAGCCCGCAACATATAGCGTACAACCATTCTTCATTGCTGAGCCAAACGGTTGCAAAATAACAAGGAGCTTGATATCAAAATGTAAACATAACGCAATATTCAAATGATTACGAAAATAAACTCAAACTCCTGGTAATAATGCCTACATTCTGTTCCATTCAGATAAATGTTATCATTACGTTTTTAAAGTTTAAAATGTTGATTTTTAAACACTTTTAAGTAATACAATACAATTTTAAACTATATTTGATAATTTAGATTATAACTCAAGCTGTATTAAATTATTTTCTATACGTAATTTATTGACAGCGTATGGAATAATAAGAACGTTATTTTAATAAAATTCGATCTATACTTTCACCTGTCAAGCTGTAACGCCTATTTATATAAATGACTAAGTTTATTTTAAAAAAATCTTATCATTTTTTTTTGAGTAATGAATATACAAGTAAGTTATAAAGCTGCAAAACTTACCCTTGCCGCTTGCCGCAGCGCATTCGACTTGACAAAACTCACAACAATTCTGAGCGCCATCTTGAACTGACGTAGAGCACAACAAACGTAAGTTGTGTTTTCGACGCAATCATTAGCAATGGTGATAAGGAATGGCCTCTCGCGCGAGGTCGGATTTTACCCATTTATCATTCGAATCGAATACGTATTATTACGACGCTTATGTCCATTTTCGAAATACTGATCGTGGTCGAGTAATATGAAACTAGTTTGGTTGTTGGAAAAGTATGCTCAACTTCGTAAAAACTTGTATTAATACTGTGGCTGTTTGTGTGTGCAACAAACTTAGCACTAACCAGTATTTTTAATGTATAACTATCGAATTGATCGATTCGTTGCTTTTATGTCATTATTAAATAATTCTATTTTGTTCTTTTACCGTTTAAATACTCACGAAGTGAAGATTTATTTTAGTAGGAATTTTGTTGACGCTAACAGGATCGCACCGATGCACACGTAGCAAATTAGACGAACCTAGTGCTCGTCATCAAAAAAGTATATACTATGAATATTTTTTCATTACATCAGTAAAATTGTAATCATAATATCTAATTACTACAACTACAACCCATCAAAACGCTGTATTATATCATTTATTTGTATCGCTACAATATTTGCACTGTTTATCGGTAGTAATGTGATGATATTCGTTAAATCAACATATTATTGGAGTTTGTACATAAATAATGCTAGAGACATTCGCTGTGGTAGAGTTTCGCAGCCACATCTGATGCATAAAATGCCAGGCTCTTCCCGCGAAATAACACGACTACAAAGAAGAGTTACTCCACTCAAGTAGAAAAAAATAAAAGTACGTTTGTTTTTCAAAATGTAATTCGATAATGCATTATCTCAGAGTTACCACGGCTACTATTCAACCGTTTTTGGTTTACAAACATTTTTAAATTAACCATACATGTAATATAAACAATACATAATATATATACATTTAAATCGATGTGTGGTATGCATACCCTCATGGACTCCAGAACATCTGGACTACTCTTAATGAAATTTTCACGTATGTTTTCACTAGTACTTTAGCAAAGTAATAATCTCCTAGATATCGCTTAAATAAGCCCACGTTTTAAGGTTAATTATACTTTTGCATTTGGTCTGGTGTGTGGGGCATCCGGGGCTTAGGTATATGTTAATGGATCACCATAAAAACTCCGAAACGATTGATGGGCCCCGAATAACCCGGATAATCCCGGGCATCAGTAACAACTAAACACCATAAAATTACTTTAGTAGTGGTGTTTGCAGAACATGATTGAAGTTGTAACCATAGATGGTCATTTAGTTAATATAATTATGTATAACATTTAGTTATTAAGAGAGATGGTGTTGAGTGTACTTTTAGTTTGGCGAAAATGTGCAAGAGAATAATGCTAGTCAATAAACAAAAAGATAAAAGATTACGATGTTAATAATTAAACTGTCATTCTCATAAAATATTACGTGATAAATCGTCGCCATGAAGTGAAGAGGTTTCGTCGAATTCAACTAAGAAATGCGCTCTTATGTAACAATTCACCAATATGTTTTTTTGTACAACTATGAAGTTTTCTTTGTAACAATATAAGTACTTTATCACAGAAATGCTCTTTTATGACAATTTTTTATAGTCGCTTTAGATACTTTCTCTCCAATATAAACTATATTTCATTCATCATCATCATCTCTCTACTATATGTATTGCTTTGTGTGAAGAGATGTATTATAAATAAGATATTAAACAGAATTTTGCGAATTTATGCATTAATGATAGTTAAATGCTTTCAATTTAATTAACATTCCTCAGATTTCGTCTCTTCAACTAGAGGATTCATATTTGTTCCTTTAAGAAAACCATTTTTTTCCTGATTATTATACATATACAGTACTCATTAATTTTCAGACATAATTTGACTGGCTGCACAGCGCACACATTTGGATGGTCGAAAGCAAATCTGTGAGTCACCGAAGTTTTTTATAAGAAAAGTCCACCTGATGTTAAGTGACTACTGCCGCCCATGGACATCTACAACACCTTATGGGTTGCAGAAGCGTTGATAACCATTAAAATGGGCCCGGTTACCTCACTCGCTATATAAAACGCGAAAGATACTTATCATACTATACTTTCACTTCACGCCGGTATTTTCCGTGGGCATGGTACTTTCCCGGATGAGCCTGTCCATTTTTGCAACTGCTGAAGCTGTTGCATGGCATATGGTAGTGCGCTTTGGTGTCACCGCTGTAGCTGTGAATAAAGTAGGGTTTGTCCTATGCCCGGGTATATACCGTGTTCCCACCCGGTAAGGAAGGACCCACACTGGGCCGACAACCTGAACCATACCCAAGAGGGATCTACACTGGGCGGGCTTGCGCTGTAAAGCTAGCCAGGGAGGGCTGCTCTCTCATATAGCCTACTTTAGATGGATGAAGAGGGGGCGGGGACAAGTTGACGGTGGTAGAGGTGGAGCCACTCTCCCTGTCCTCTGAAACCGATAAAGAGTCGCGGGAGAGGAGGAGTGTTGGTATTGCGAAGTACCATTCGCCCTACTGTCGCCCACTACGGCCACGTCCTGTTGCTTCTTTAGGTCGAACGGTGTTGGTGCTCCTGTGCGAGTGCTTACTGCATCTTACTCTTCTCAGTGTGGTTAACTTAGCCGGTTGAGACAGTAAAGGGACGCCCTGCAAGGAGTCTAGCTAGCACGGAGTGGTGTACAAGTCTCGGATATTTGACGGTGCTCTTCGCACCTGCGGAACTCGCTTTGTCTGTCTCTTTTTAACATAAGAGAAGAGCGTTATAAGCGATAAGTCACGTTCTGTAACTTTCCGTCATGCGGAATCAGGCGAAGACTGCAAGAAGTACACAATATGTAGTGCTCTGGACAAAGTGGCCTTGGCTCAACGGGTCTATGTGGAAGATCCGGACTTTGGTTGGAGTGCTACATCGCACACAATGTCACGGAGGGCTCCGTATAGATTTTTGTCACCACTCCATTGCGTTTGTTGGATTGTGGTAGGAAAATTAAATTATTTAACCCTCGTTATTTCTTCGGCGTTTGGAACGATGCAATTTCGGGTGTACGATCTCGCGATTACGATTAGGTCATGTCCCATCTCACGTTGTCATCGTTATAAGAGTTGTGCATCTTTCGTTTTTCGTCACGGAGGTGCGGAGCAGAAGACGTCATCTTGTCGTTTACGTGCACACGCTACGGTTTCTTTTGAGTTCATTGGTCGTGTGCCTGCATAACTCTCCTCGACGAAGCTTTAAAGCCATAGGGCTAAAACATCCATCCATCTTTACTTAAGCCTGTGGCCATTTTCAATTAGTGCTTCGTACAGGGCAACAATGGTTAACTGACTTGACACTCTTGACAGTCGATCGACTCCTGTTAAATTGACATTCTGTCAGTGACAACTAGTTGATGTTTTTATTTTACTTAAGATTTTAAATTAATAATGCCTTATTGGTATTACGATAAAAAAGATTTGCAGAGTACACCGTCATTTAAAGATGGAATCAGCAACGAAACGGAAAATCGCTACCGTAAGGAGGGTGCAAGATTTATTATTGATACGGGATCGAAGATGGATTTAGGTTATAACACAGTTGCAACGGGTGTTGTTTACTTCCACCGTTTTTATATGTTCCACTCATTCAAGACATTCCCAAGATATATTACGGCGTGCTGCTGTTTGTTTTTGGCTGGTAAAGTTGAGGAAACACCTAAGAAGTGCAAAGATATTATAAAAGTTGCAAAGACTTTACTGACGGATCAGAAGTTTAGCACTTTCGGGGAAGATCCTAAAGAGGAAGTCATGACATTAGAAAGAATTCTACTGCAGACAATCAAGTTTGACTTGCAAGTGGAACATCCATATGGCTACCTGCTGAAATATGCCAAATGTCTTAAGGGAGAAAGGGCAAAGTTGCAAAAAATGGTTCAAATGGCATGGACATTTGTCAATGACAGGTAAAATCAATCTTAGTTTTGGTAAATGTAAATAACTTTAACTCCGGCGTAATTCAAATCAAATAAATTTTAAACGATAGAGAAAAATCACTTATGAATTTATCAACAAGCAGAATTCGGCGGTCGCTTCTAGTTTTCGAAAAAAATAAATAATGAAATAGTATGATTTTTACTATAGAATCCGCCATTTTTTTTGTTGTCAATATGTCAATTCAGCTCGTATTTCTTGGTGGTCATAAAAAAAAAAAACCTAACATCGAAGGTTAAGGCGGGAGCGAAGCTCCCGCCTGAACCTTCTAACCTAATCTATCCGAGTCGGATTCGCTCTGTGTCGGTTCTGTGATTCATTAAATTAATAAAATCGGAATATCGATACGTGTATGATGTCGCCCGCTTCCTATATTTATCATATTGGCAGAACTGTGTATTGAGTTTTTGAAGTCAAACAAATAAAATGGTGGATTTCTTAGTACAAAAAACAAGTTTTAAATATTTTTTTTCTCAAAAACTATAAGTGACCGCCGAATTCTGCTTGTTGATTAATTCATTAGAGATTTATCTCTAACATTTAAAATTTATTTTAATTGAATTACGCCGGAGTTAAAGTTATTTACATTTACCATAGTTTTCTTTACCAAGTTTGTTAACCATAAAACTAATGAATGTGTGTAATATCTTTTGTTTATGCTTTTAGAAAAGTAAATCCATAACATTGCAATATAAATTTTAAGATGTTGGACATTGAAACATAATTGTTAGTACTTTCTTTGGTATATTTTATATTCAATTTATAACATTTTGTTAATTCTTGTTTTTATTTCTGCTTTATTGAATTAAGCATTGTTAACTTTGCTTTGATTATAAAACAAAATTAAATTTATGTCAAATATCATTTATAAAATAGTACTATGTTTATTTTGATATTATTAGATTATGTGGGTGCAAGTGTGTCAGTTCCAAAAACTTTATTTCCTTCAGTTTGTGCACTACCCTGTGTCTGCAATGGGAACCAGAAGTCATTGCGGTTGCTCTTATGTTCCTAGCTGGTAAGCTAAGCAAATTTGAAGTTGTGGACTGGAATGGTCGCACACCAAAACACAATGCATGGTGGGACATGTTTGTTGAAGACATCACAATGGATTTATTGGAGGATATCTGTCACCAGGTCAGTTTATTTATGCACTTAGCAAAGATACTACAACAGCTAAATGTAAATGAGTAGACTAATCTGATAAGTACAACAGGACTTATTACTGGGGAAATCAGTGCTAATCAATGACCTGTTCTAAATACAATGTGTCTCTAGTTTTTTTTTAATCTTAACCAAATATTTTATGTTTTCCAAGCCTGTGTGACTAGGTTTCACAGTGTATGAAGTCTCCACTCTCTTGTACTGAACACTATAGGTACTATATTATACTCATACATGACTTGATGATCAATACCAGATGTCATATAAGTATGCTGAGTTTCAGAGACTGAGTTATTGCTAGGGTATTTTCTCCCATTGGCATTTAGATTCAGATGTGGAAGGGCCTCGCAACAGTTTTCGTTGTTGCACAAATGGGCAGGTCCTCCCACAGAAGTACCACTACCTAACAAAAAACCATACCATACTTCTGCGTTTCGTCTGGTGAGGGAGGTAACCGAAGTCCACTTTATTAAAAGGCGGCGACGCATCTACGGGTGTTGCAAATGTCCACGGGCGGCGGTTATCACTTAACATCCGGTGAACCACCTGCTGCCCACTTATAAAGAACCCTCTCTACAGGTCCTCGACCTGTACTCGCCGCAAATGCAGCAGAGCGGCGGCGACTCGCCCTCCGACCCGGCCGCCGCGAAGCAGCCAAAAAACGAGAAGCCCAAACCGCCGCCCGTTACACCGCCCGCTTCCGCGTCGCCTGTCGCCGCTGCAGCGACTAAGCCGCCCCCGCTCCTGGCCACGCCGGTCAAGGGCGACGCGAAGCCGGAGCCCCCAATGCCGGAGCCGCCGCGCTTCGGCTACTCCGCCCCCGCCTACCCGGCGATGACGTACGCGCCCGTCTACAGCGCCCCCCCGCCGGGCGTCGCCCCGCACGTGCCCCCCCACAGCGTGCCCCCGCACACGGTGCCCCCCCACAGCGTGCCCCCGGTGGTGCCCCCCCTGGCCTACCGCGAGCCCCCCCCGAGCCACGCCCGCTTCGGCGCCCCCGTGGGGGTCCCGCCGCCGAGCTACTTCCCCCCGCTGCCCGCGCGCGGCCCCCTGCCCCCGAGGCCGATGCCGCCCGGACCCCCGCCCCCGCGCCCCTACTACCCGCCCCCCTAACGGCGGCCGTATAGTGTGTAAGTTAGATTATTATTTTTTACGGAATAAATTTTTAATAGACTCCATCTCTGTCTTTTACTATTCCAATACGTGTCAGATTCATGGATAGAAGCGGACATAAAACTAAACGAAGTCAGGTTTGGAATTATCGTTGTAAAACGAATTATGTTTAAAGTTATGCGGATATAACAATAGATGCGCTGACTGTATATTTCTTTTATGCACGAGTGCGAAAACGTTCCGTCAATTTTTTACATTTATTTTATTTTTCTTTTATTACTAACAATCAAGTCATATACAGGGTGTAAACAAATCAGAAAACTCTGACGAAATAACCCCATAGTTTTTACATAGTGTATGTTTTAATTTTAATACAGGTTTTGTTATTTGATCTCTGCGAGAAATTAGATACTTTAATGTTTGTAATATAGTCAGTATCACAGTTTTTCCCTATTTTACGTCATAAAATTATTAAATAAAAAAATTATACAAGTAAAAAATATATTGAATTAATATTCCAGCTAAATAAATAGCATCATAAAATCGCACGCAGCCACAGGGGAACGGTACAGAAAGAAATTCAATACAGTGTTATAAAACGCATTCCATTTTATTTATACATCAGACGTACGTACATCACAAATATTTTTTAAAAAAATCGATGACTCGTTTAGATGCAAAATCACAAGGTCGATCGCATGAAGGAAACGTTCTATTCAATATCAACACAGATCTGACGCGGTCAGACATGGGCGATTTCACACAAAACAACAAAACAATATTAGAAATCATATAAAAGTACAAACAATCATAAAACGAGATATGTATGTCCGACGATATATAAATATTACATTAATATATACAGCGTGTCTTTACAATCGCGACAATAAATGAACACACATATAGAGGATAACTTTTAAAAATTGTATTAAAAATTACATTCTTTAAACATCAATATTTACCGAGTTATTAAATTTTCCAAAATAAAGAATTTTAGTACATCCTTACGTATAAAACTGTAACGTAAAGATCATTTGTAAAGGTCACAAAGCATATGAATGGGTTACATGAATTTAAGAGACAAAACATACTGTTAGAAGGAGAGGATTATAATGCGATGCTGTGGCAACGAATGAAAAAGTGAATGAATGAATCAGTCAGTTGTAGTTGTATAGGATGTTACAAATTTTGTTTCTTTTTTACTTAATTAGTTTGAAAAATATATTTTTTTAACGATAGTATTTTTTTATGATTATTGGCAAGTAGCGTTAGACGTGTGTTCATTTATTGTCGCTGTTGTAACGACACGCTGTATATAGCAAACACCATGTATAAATGTGTAAGACAGTAGAAATTTGTAATAAATTAATTCATTTTACGGTTAATAAATATATACACATCTATTATACGCAATTTGAGAGTATTTATAGCGACACAAGTTTAGCAAGTTAAAAAAAAAAACACGTGCAACTAAATGTGTTATTTTATCAGTTTAAATAATAAGGATTCCTTTGTGCTAATATTATTGTAAATTAATAAAATTAAATAAAAATTACCACAATGATCAGAAAATTTAATTAATGAATTTAATTAACCAATTTATGAAACTCATAAACAGTTATTGAATATTATCAACCCAATTTCAAAACGAAAACATTGTATAGAATCTATTCAAGATCGGCACTAAGCAGGCGAATTAAAATACAAAACTATTAATAAACAAAAAAAAAAATTAAATCGACAGTAAGATACAAAATGACAGTACAATCCAGGCAAACAGTGACGAGGACTAAACATATTTCCAAATATTACATTTTGACTTACAATTATCTAACATAACAAGCTGCCATTCGACTAGAAAGCAAAATACATGGATAAAAAAACTAATATGAACACAATCGAGTGCACCTGAATGCATACTAGTGTAGAGAACTATTCGCTATTTTGAAAGAAAATATTCCGTTAAATAAACTTTATAATTGTTTTTTTGCGAGCGATTTCAGTCGATAGGACATTTTAAAATAAATTTTAAAAATATATCAGCTAATTTAGCATTTAATGCATATTTTAATAGATTTCTGCTTGCGGCAAATTTTCTCCCAAAATAACGAATGTGAAGGATATGGCTATCAGTTTTTCCAATGAAACTTTTCCACCCTCGAATCTATTAAAGCTATACTTTCTAAATTAAACAAAGGATGACGACATGAACGCAAGCGTGACGTCATAGAAGAGTTAGCAACATCATAGAACATTGACATCGAGGGTCAGAAGGACGTGTGACGTCATCCAAGGTCATTGAGGAAGGGGTGAAGAAGTCACTGAAGATTACAGAGGGTATGATCATCGTAGATCATACAGGAAAATGTGACGTCATAGAGCCTCGGGCTCATGAGTTGTGATGTCACCAAAGTTCACAGCGGAAAGTGTGACGTCACCGCATTAAAAGTTTGACATTCTCCGACCGCAAAACCGTCTAACAGCAATGGCGTCTACGCAGACTTGACACATTTGACCGAATGTAAGTTGACTAGTGTTGGTTCGACAGTAGACCTAACCTTTGCGACATTTACAAAATCCATTGGCTCAACAGCTGTAGTATAATCAAAGCTGTATACGATTATAATAAGTCAGCGATCGAGTTTATATGAATACAATTATCAGAGCTACACTAGCTCACATTTCCATAAACAACTCCAGTCCAAGACAATATGTAAAGTATAAGTATGGGCCCACACGTTGGTCCACTTGCTGGCCAGCATTGTTTCAAAATACTATCTAAGATTAGACTATGGATATAATGTACTATAGATATCTTTAGTCTAGCCAAAGAAAGTGAAACATAACAACTCCCACTGTTGGATCAAATGTTTGGGCCAATTCTTTTTGTTCATTTCACATGTTTGGGCCAACTTTGGCACCAACGTGGGTTACCGCGCTAACCCTTAATGTACTTTCAAAAAATTTACAAAAACAACAATAAAAAATACGAAGGCACATAAGTAACATCAGATCCGAAGTAATCTCCGATTTCAAGGCACATGATTCTTACTTAATACCTAAAAACGCCCAAATGTGAACACTAGAGCGCTCGTTATAAAGTCTAGATTTGTTTGCATAAAACATCTTAAACATCATCTTACGAATCTTAAAAAACATCTTACGAATCTTTCGGAAGCCACAGCGAATGACCCTGTGTTTAAGTTATAATAATACTTTTTTTATTGCAAAATTCAATTATATCATAATACATCAATTGAGGAATTAATTTCATCCCATGAACACAAAAAACTCATAAATATATTTGTAACAATGAAATAGTTAGAAATTATAAATACACAAATATACAAAAGACTAATTACTAGAAAACTACATCTGATTGCTTTCTCCGTAATGGATAATATGAAATCTGTAGTGTCCGATGCCACTATACAGAAAACGATTGGTAATTTAAGAATGAATCGATTTTCTATTGGATAAATAATGCTTGTGAACATTAACGGTAGGTTTCAATATTCTATCTACAGAAGATTTGTTTACTAGCGATAGGTATTTGCCATTAGCTCTTTGTTTTTTATTATCAACTACTGTACTAACCCTTTGTTAGCATTTAATAAAATTTAATAATATTTTTTTAACTGTTGTCAATATAATAACTTTAGAATGTCGTTTCACATGTAATTGAGATACCTGTAATATTTAGTTTAAGATAACTATTATTTAGCTATTTTCACTAACCAAATCTATCTGTAGATAGAAACCAGCCATTAGAGGGGGCAATTTAAACATACCAGTTGCAATGTCATTCAAAGTTATACCCATTGCCCATTTTTGATTATTTTTTGCTTTTTCAGCAAATTTCTCCTGAAAAAGATTGACGAAACTGAACAAAAACCTAGTAGTTGTAAAAAGTGACAGGCGGCATTATTTATTATAATATCATCCTCTGTCACGGTAGGTGTCGTCTCGCGAACGAAAAAGGGGAAACTAGTACCCGCCCACCCAATATCGGTTATATGAGACGTGACTGCTTCAGATACTGAAGCAGAACCTGGTGCAGGAACTTGTATTGGTGCACGTTCTGTATCAAATTGGCACGCTGCTGGTGCAGCAAGCTGATCGTCCTCGGGATGTCCAGTTCCTGGAATTAAATGTACCCCCTTATTTACTTGAGAATGATTAGTCGAGTAAATCCAAGGTGTAAATTGACTGTTCTTAAAGTGGGTTCCGCAGATTATAAAGGTTTGAGGAAGTACGAGTTGCTTTGCTTGTCTATGATGTATATATAAAAAAAAAGTAAAGTAACAGCCTATACATGTCCCACTGCTGGGCAAAGGCCTCCTCTATACAGAGGGTATCAGGGCATAAGTCCACCACGCGGCCCCACTGCGGAAAGGCGGACTTCACATATCTTCGAAATATTTTTTGTTATTATTTCGAAAATATGCAGGTAAGTCAGCACTTAAAGTCAAAAACTTCATTGATGCCGGCACCGGGGATCGAACTCAGGTTGCTCGAGTATATTGAATTAAAGGCGAGCGCCCTCAATCTATTAGGGACACTGAGCTAAACAAGGATCACGCCTTTCCGGACACGAGCATGATGTATATAATAAAAGAGATTTAGCTGCTAGGACTATGCGTAGAGGGGTTTTTATCAAAATGTTTTATATAAAAAAAAAAAAAAAATTTTGTAGGGGCGTGAGTAGCGGCATTTTTATCGTCTTTTGTGCGTGAGTAGGCGGCAAGCGTTCAGTTCTCCACATCTGCAAGGTTGTAGATGTCATGCCAAAATTAAAAAGATATACGCTGTTAACCATCATCCGATGTAGATTCATGGTGTCTGATTTCTGCTACAGTAGAAGCCTAAAGTCTGTCTCAAAAAGGTACCGGTCTATACATGGCCCACTGGTAGTGGTGTTATTTTACAATTAATAAGTAAGTGTAATGCTTCTATATTGAATTGAATTGAATTTACCAGTTTTTCAAAGGTTATTAACAAGGCCTTGGGTGCTGTAGGTGGCAGAATTGATTTAACATCAGATTGACCTCCTGCTCACTTGACAGCTTCACATTTTTAGCGGCAGGGCCAGGGGAGAGGGGACTGGATGGGCAGTATAATCCATGACCGGCGGTATTCATTCAACATCAGGGATTAAGCGCCTGGTTTGGCTATGGAGTGCATGTTAACCCATGGTCAAGGTGTTCATTCGACATCATCGAGGATCAAATACCTGGATGGGCTGTGTAGTCCATGTCAGTTCATGGGTGACGGTATTTATTCAAGATTGGGGGCCAAGCTTCTGGATGGGCTATGTAGTCCACGCTAGTCCATTCATACAATATAAGGGTCCAGGCACCTGGATAAGCTCTATGGTCCACGTCAGCCCATGGCCATATTCATTCATAATCAGGGGCCAGGCACCCGGACGGCCATGTAGTCCACGGGCGGTATTGATCGAATGCGGGGGACCTTGGACGGGCTATGCACTCCACGTTAGTCCATGGCTATATTTCAACATAAGGGACGGAGCATCTGGACGGGCGCTATGGTCCCCGCCAGTCCATGGCCGTACTAATCCGTAATCAGGTCAGGCCTGGTGGGTCAGGGCACCTGGTTGGTGTCGAGGAAGTGGAGCAGCAGGTCTGCGGCGAGCGCGGTGCCGCTGCGGCCGGCGCCCTCCCTGCAGCAGAAGGCGGTCGGCGCGTTCCTCGACACGAGCGGCTGCCGCTCCTCGCCCGCCTCCGCCTCGCACACCAGCCGCAGCCCGTTCAGCTCCGACAGGAACTCTGCCGAACGTTGAATGAATTAATGAGTGAATGAATGAATATACTTAAGTATATGTATTGCAGAAGCAAATACAAATGAATATACTTTATTGCACACCAAAAACAGAATGAAGAAAAATCAAAGACCTAATGTAGATGTAGTGTACGATGGGCGGTCTTATAACTAAAAATGATTTCCTCCTAATTTAATATTTAACGTTGACGTTTTTTTCCTTTTCAACCGCCTTCAACATGGAGGTTCTCGATTCCGTTGGTTTTTTTATGTTTGTTACATTATGATTTTGAATATTCTCTTTGCGTTGGATTCGGATTTGCTGCCATATCCATATCATATATTACTTTACGACGATTTTGAATTTGGTTCTTTTAGCGTTGGTTTGGATTTGCTACCATGTGGTCACATATTCATTCAGTTTTATTTTAAATTCAAAACTGGCTAGCTCTTGACTGCCATCCCACCTGATGGTAAGTGGCGATACAGCCGTTGATGGAAGTGGGAATCAAATAGAAAGTGTATAGTGAGAGAGATATTTGAAGTTCGCTTTGTAAAATGTTTTACTTGTCAATATGCTTTTTTTTAATGCTCTCCTCGATTGCCGTTTAACTCGGTGCTTAGAGCGACATGCGCGTAGTTCGGAGGTCAATGGATGAAATCCACGCAGCGGCGAAGAACTTTTCGTCCATTTTTAAAAAAAATTTTTTTTGCCTAACAAGCATAAGTTCACTGTCACTCAGGTTTGTCGTATCCCACAGCTGGTCGATATTACAGATGCGTGCGTACCGAGGAAGAGGCCGACGTCCTGTGGAGCGGGCGCCGAGTTCGGCCAGCGGGCGAAGTGCACCAGCCACAGCCATCGAGAGCGCGCGCCCCCCACTCCGCCGACGCCCCCCACACCGCCGACGCCCCCCACTCCGCCGACGCCCCCCACGCCGCCGACGCCCCCCACACCGCCGACGCCCCCCACACCGCCGACGCCCCTCCGCACGCGCACGCGCACAGACCCGCCCCACGCCGCCTGCGACGACCTCGCCGCCGAAACGTTGAACTGTCAACCGGCAAACATATCTCAGGTGAGCACAATTTTAACTAAGCTCTGAATATACAGCGTGTCGTTACAACCGCGACAATGAATGAACACACGTCTAACGCTACTTGCCAAGATTCCTACTTCGGAACGTCAAAAGGGCACCGTTTTAGAAAAGTAGAAAGAGTTAAGGTTTAGTACGTTTAGCACGCCATAGAATAGACACGTATTTGCGCATCCGCAATAATAATTAAATTCTACTATAAATAATTATTAAAAAAAAAACTAGAGGCATGCAGAAAAACTAGGCACTTAAATAAATCACATGAATTTAATTGATTTCCAATAATGTCAAAGGCGCCATTTTTGTTTTACATTCCCTGCTATCATCAATAATAATGTACAATTAGTCAATATTTATAATTTAAAATAAATAAGTTTTTATTTCACAAAATAAATACCTACTTACTGTAATCAAAAAATGTGCTTATTTTATTTTATTTTATTTGGTACATAGAACAGCCAACAGTACAATTATCTTAATAATGGCAATTTATACACACTGTCTGCCAAAAATATATGTACACTACATGCTTCAATATCATTAAACAATATTAAGTTATAAATTTGAAAAACTAAAAGGCAAAGGTATTGAAAAGTAACTAAATAAAAAGTAACAAATAAGAAGAAAAAAAAAATAATAACATTATGTGCCTTGAATATTTCGTTTGAATGGACTCAGCTTCTGATGGAACATTCTGAATGTACTTCTCTTCTGATTATAACGTATTTGAAATTAAAGTGGTTGGTGGTAGGGCCATGCAGCAGCCTCGGTTGTTTCATGGATGGGCAGGCTCGACCGGATAAGTACCACGACCTCACAGAAGACCGGCGTAAAGTGGAAGTATAATACTTTCGCGTTTCGTCTGGTGAGTGAGGTGGCCGGAGTCCAATTGTCAAAAGGTTGTCAATGCATCTGGAACCGTCGGGTATAGCAGATGTCCATTGGCGGCGGTATTCACTTAACATCAGGTGAACCATCTGCTCGTTTGGTAACTTTTCGCATAAAAAAATAAAGTTAAACACTTGTCATTTGAGTGCATAACACATAACTTTATTATTACCTATATCTCCCTAAATTTTAATATTGTAATTTAAGATTATATAATATACAAGTTGTGAAAAAAAATTATCCAGGAGTTTTTCAAATATGACGGCTATGCCTTTGTGCATACATTTTTGGGCATAAACAATAAATAAAAGAGTCCACACCTGTCCATAGTCGGCGGAGCAGTTGTCCTGGGGCAGGTAGGGTGGCGGCTCGTCGCCCACGTGCGCCAGCAGCCTGGCGCCCAGCTGCCACGCGCACTCCCACAGCTGGGCGGCGGTGTGGGCAGCGCACGCGCCGCTGCCACACTTCGCCACCACGTAGAACCGCTGCGAGCTGCCCACAGTCATCTGCAGCAGTTGTTCGTTATATGCAATATTTCATGTAATTATGATATTTCACCGAAATATTTTTTGAAGTTATAGTTCTCTTGGCGCGTTTGGATTAAAATATAAGAGTGAAATTTCTACACTGACCACTAAAAACGGCTTGATTTTATCAATTGCATTTAACTTTTTCACAAAAAATATTTTTCTTTTGTTATACTAAAGAATATAAAGAATAACTTCTTACGTGGATATCTAAGTACATAAACACACACTTTTTATTTTTGTTATTATTTCGAGAATATTTTTTTATGCGAAAAGTTACCAAGGAGTTGCGTGCAGGTAGTTGACCTGATGTAAAGTGAATACCACCGCCCATGGACATCTGCTACACCCGAGGGTTTGGGTTTGCTGATGCGTTGACAGCCTTTTGAAAATTGGGCTCCAGCTACCTCACTCACCAGACGAAACGCGAAAGTATTATAGTTCCACTTCACGCCGGTCTTCTGTGAGGTCGTGGTACTTACACGGACGAGCCTGCCCCTTAGTGCAACAGCTGATGCAGCAGGTTACCGCCTCACTTTGTTTTCTTTCACCGCTCTCATTCACTCGGAATTCATTCACTCGTTCATTCGTCCGCTCGTCGGTCGCCATGATGTGGTCGTGCGGGTTGGCTCTCATTTGCTCGGCATTCATTCACTCGTTAATCCATTCGACTGTTCGCCGGGACGTGCGATACGTCGACGTAGCCATGCGGGTTGGCCCCCATTCACTCATCCGCTCGTCCATTCACCCGTTCGCCGCTCACCGTGACGTGCGAGGCGTCGACGTAGCCGTGCGGGTTGGCCCCCATTCACTCATCCGCTCGTCCATTCATCCGTTCGCCGCTCACCGTGACGTGCGAGGCGTCGACGTAGCCTTGCGGGTTGGCCCCCATTCACTCATCCGCTCGTCCATTCACCCGTTCGCCGCTCACCGTGACGTGCGAGGCGTCGACGTAGCCGTGCGGGTTGGCCCCCATTCACTCATCCGCTCGTCCATTCACCCGTTCGCCGCTCACCGTGACGTGCGAGGCGTCGACGTAGCCGTGCGGGTTGGCCCCCATTCACTCATCCGCTCGTCCATTCACCCGGTCGCCGCTCACCGTGACGTGCGAGGCGTTGACGTAGCCGTGTGCGGGTTGGCCCCCATTCACTCATCCGCTCGTCCATTCACCCGTTCGCCGCTCACCGTGACGTGCGAGGCGTCGACGTAGCCGTGCGGGTTGGCCCCCATTCACTCATCCGCTCGTCCATTCACCCGGTCGCCGCTCACCGTGACGTGCGAGGCGTTGACGTAGCCGTGTGCGGGTTGGCCCCCATTCACTCATCCGCTCGTCCATTCACCCGTTCGCCGCTCACCGTGACGTGCGAGGCGTCGACGTAGCCGTGCGGGTTGGCCCCCATTCACTCATCCGCTCGTCCATTCACCCGGTCGCCGCTCACCGTGACGTGCGAGGCGTTGACGTAGCCGTGTGCGGGTTTGCCCCCATTCACTCATCCGCTCGTCCATTCACCCGGTCGCCGCTCACCGTGACGTGCGAGGCGTCGACGTAGCCGTGCGGGTTGGCCCCCATTCACTCATCCGCTCGTCCATTCACCCGTTCGCCGCTCACCGTGACGTGCGAGGCGTCGACGTAGCCGTGCGGGTTGGCCCCCATTCACTCATCCGCTCGTCCATTCACCCGGTCGCCGCTCACCGTGACGTGCGAGGCGTCGACGTAGCCTTGCGGGTTGGCCCCCATTCACTCATCCGCTCGTCCATTCACCCGGTCGCCGCTCACCGTGACGTGCGAGGCGTCGACGTAGCCGCGCGGGTTGGCCCCCATTCACTCATCCGCTCGTCCATTCACCCGTTCGCCGCTCACCGTGACGTGCGAGGCGTTGACGTAGCCGTGCGGGTTGGCCCCCATTCACTCATCCGCTCGTCCATTCACCCGGTCGCCGCTCACCGTGACGTGCGAGGCGTTGACGTAGCCGTGCGGGTTGGCCCCCATTCACTCATCCGCTCGTCCATTCACCCGGTCGCCGCTCACCGTGACGTGCGAGGCGTCGACGTAGCCGTGCGGTGGTTGGCCCCCATTCACTCATCCGCTCGTCCATTCACCCGTTCGCCGCTCACCGTGACGTGCGAGGCGTCGACGTAGCCGTGCGGGTTGGCCCCCATTCACTCATCCGCTCGTCCATTCACCCGGTCGCCGCTCACCGTGACGTGCGAGGCGTCGACGTAGCCGTGCGGGTTGGCCCCCATTCACTCATCCGCTCGTCCATTCACCCGTTCGCCGCTCACCGTGACGTGCGAGGCGTTGACGTAGCCGTGCGGGTTGGCCCCCATTCACTCATCCGCTCGTCCATTCACCCGTTCGCCGCTCACCGTGACGTGCGAGGCGTTGACGTAGCCGTGCGGGTTGGCCCCCATTCACTCATCCGCTCGTCCATTCACCCGGTCGCCGCTCACCGTGACGTGCGAGGCGTTGACGTAGCCGTGTGCGGGTTTGCCCCCATTCACTCATCCGCTCGTCCATTCACCCGGTCGCCGCTCACCGTGACGTGCGAGGCGTCGACGTAGCCGTGCGGGTTGGCCCCTATTCACTCATCCGCTCGTCCATTCATCCGTTCGCCGCACACCGTGACGTGCGAGGCGTCGACGTAGCCTTGCGGGTTGGCCCCCATTCACTCATCCGCTCGTCCATTCACCCGGTCGCCGCTCACCGTGACGTGCGAGGCGTCGACGTAGCCGTGCGGGTTGGCCCCCATTCACTCATCCGCTCGTCCATTCACCCGTTCGCCGCTCACCGTGACGTGCGAGGCGTTGACGTAGCCGTGCGGGTTGGCCCCCATTCACTCATCCGCTCGTCCATTCACCCGTTCGCCGCTCACCGTGACGTGCGAGGCGTTGACGTAGCCGTGCGGGTTGGCCCCCATTCACTCATCCGCTCGTCCATTCACCCGGTCGCCGCTCACCGTGACGTGCGAGGCGTTGACGTAGCCGTGCGGGTTGGCGGGCGTGGGGCGCAGGCGCACGCGGTTGTCCTCGTAGGGCAGGCTGTCGCCGGCGAAGTCGTTGAGCGGCGCGTACTGCGGCAGCAGCGCGGTGCGCACCTCGCCGCCGCTCTCGCGCCCCTTCGGGATGCGCTCGAACGCGAACGCCAGCTGCTCGTCCGACATCTTGCGCTCGAGGAGTTGGCACTGTGCGGGCGGTTTTTTTATTAAGGAGACGGCAAACGAGCGGGCGGGTCAACTGATGGTAACGTATGTGTGGCGTAGTCGCGGTTTCGATTCCCGCGCCGGTCTACCCACGGATAATTGCTTAGGTTTAGGGTGTTTGTTCCCTAGGAGGGTCGACGTCGTGCAGTATATCCCAGGAGAACTAAGACGAAAAGGGGAGAAACTTAGAAAAGATGGCGTTTTCCATACCATGAGAGAATAATGATTTTTTAAATCGTGTTAAGTACATGCGAAAATAATTTAAAGATGTCAATAAAATGTTTTAAAATGTTAATCTCTGAACTACGAAGATGATGAGAAAAGTACGAAGTTTTTCACCACAGTGGGAATCAACAAACATCTTCGGGATTAGCGCCCAGACACCGTTTAGCTTAGTAGTTAAAGTGACTTTTAATGAAAGACATTATACCAATGTTTCTTTGGTTATGCTGGGCGGCAGGGGTTGGAACTTCGGGAGGCCGGTAGACCATCGGTGCTTGTTAGCGGGCTGAACGGCCCCGGCCTTCGCCCTATCCCTGCCTAGGGTAGCGCTCTTCACTTCCACGTTCTTGTTGCCCCTGCCCATGAACACGCCCCACCGTCTCCTCTTCTTCTCTTTGCTGCTCACGCTGTTCTTCGAGTTCTCCATCTCCACGCTGGTGTAGGTCGAGTTCGCGTTGGAGCTGGACAGCGCGCTGTCGGCTAGGCTGCCCTGCGAAAGGTTCTGGACGCTCTGCGCGTACTTCCCATCGGGAACGTTGATACAGGTCACGTTGTCCGTGGACTTGCTCGTTACGTTGTGGTTCGACAGTTTGTGGGTGGAGAGGCTCTGGTACGGGGTCTCGTCCGCCTCCTTGTCCCCGATAGACAGCTTGTCGACGGCGCTGGCGACCCTCCCCAGCTCCTCGCTCCTGCTGCAGGACCTGTTGGAGCCGTTGAGGTGCCTTGGGCACGCTGGTCTCGCGCACCCCCTTGATGACCTGCGCGTTCACGTAGTGACTGTCCGGCTCGGCCCTCGGCTGGTGGTAGGCGGTGGGGAAGTTGGCGTTGCGCGCGCTCAGCTCGTCGGCGGCGGTGAGGCTCTGGGCGCGGCCCCTCCCCTCGCTCTGCCAGGGCAGCGGGACGTTCTCGTAAATGGGCTCCTGCGCGTCCGCCACCACCTGCGCCTGGGGCAGCACCAGGTGCCTCTGGTAGGATATCCGGCGCGCGGGCATCGAGTACATCACGTTGCCCCGCTCGTCGTACACCTTCTGCACGTCGGACGCGTGCGGGTCGATGATTATTCGCGGGGTGGGGTCGAGCACCGAGGCGAGGTTGTTGTAGGTGCCGTGGGCGGGGTGCGGGGCGGGGCGGGCGTAGCCCACGTGGCCCTGGTTCATGTAGCCCACGTACTGCCTGCCGAGGGCGGTGCGCGTGGAGACCAGGTCGGGGCTGGAGCCGGACACGTGGGCGTTGATGTAGCCCCTGTGGTAGTTGAGCGCCTGGCTGGCGGCGGCCAGGTCCGGCGTCGAGTTGGAGGCCAGCCCGTTGGAGGGGTACGGGGGCGGGGGCTTGTACACGTTCACGTAGTGCAGCGCGCGCTCCGGCACGTTGGGGTTGACGGCGAAGGGGTAGTTGCCCATGAACTTGAGCCCGTAGCCGTAGTCGTCCGCGGCCACCTGGTTGACGGAGACCGTGTGCCGGGTCACGTCCGGGTAGTGCACCCTGTGGATGTCCGGGTGCGAGCCGTAGACCAGGGGCTTGGCGCTGCCGCTCAGGAGTTGGGAGTGCGCGTGGTGGTTCTGGTAGCGGATTTGCGCCTCCGCCCTCTGCTGCTGGTACTTCTGCTGGATCGCCGTTTCGTAGTCGGGCGCCGGCCGGTAGGACGGCAGAAGGGCTCTGTAAAAATCAATTTCCCAATTTGATATAAATTATGCAAATAATTGGGATATGTATATATTTGGAATATGACAAAGTAATCGAATTAGTACATAGCGTTCTGTCATCCACCACTTCAGAATGATAGTCGTGAATGAGGTAGTGTCCTTTTCACAAGGAGATAAATTGTAGGCTGTGTATTAAATTAGTAAAATATTAGCAGATCCTTTGGACAGCAAAACCGTATAAATGCAACATTTGTATAATGCCAACCAACCAGCAACCCAACGACGTATCCCAACGTCAACATATAGAATATCAAGCACTGTACAAGTGTTGTAAGGAATGCATCCTCAGATTCGCAGGTTTCCCTTAACGGATCACCAGCCACGTGGTAATTAATTTCCCTTTTTGCCTATTAATATTGAATCATTTGTCTCCGTTGTATCTTTCACGAGTAAGAGTGTAGGGTAGTCTTAGAAAAATCTTGCACGAGTAAATGCAGTGTAGGGTAGTTTTAGAAACATTTAACGAAGTTACCTGTTTCTATTAAGACATGTAGAAAAATTACGAAAAGATTGTCGCTGCTGTGGGAATCGAACCCACGTCTTCGACACCTCTCGTTCGAATTATCGTTGTAAAACGATATTCGAAATTGTTTGTATGCTGGAAAGGATATAACAATAGATGCGCCAAGCATTGCTTCAAATGCTAAAGAACAATGTAGAAAGAAGGCGTTAAGATTTTCGTCGCTGTAGCTATCAGCCGTTTAGCTCAGTGGCTACAGCGTCAGGCCGCGAATGCCGAAGACGTGGGTTCGATTCCCACAGCGGCGACAATCTTTTCGTAATTTTTCTACATGTCTTAATGTTCAATCTTAAGTGCAGAGATTAGCACTTAAAAAAACTTTAAAATTTACCTGTTTCTAGGTAGAGGCTGCGGCGGGTGGTCAGCCAGCTCGAGGCAGGAAGTAGAGTGGGCTCGGTGGGCGGCAGTCAGGGGCTCCAATCGAGAGGCGCTCACGGTGTCCCGCACATCCAACTCCTCCCGGCTCTCCGACAAACCGTGCTCCTTTCACCAGGAATTGGAAACGTAAACCACGCGCAGGCATATAACGCAAATATATAGCCACCGATGATATGTTATGTGTTTTTTTTAATTGTGAAAACGTGGCTAGCGAGTTGGCGATTCACTTTCATTTGCAACACTCGTAGGGTTGCAGACGCGTTGGCAGATTTTAATATAGTGGCCCCCGGCTACCTCACTCACCAAAGGAAACGCAGAAGTATGACACTTCCACTTCACTCCGGTCTTCTGTGAGGTCGTGGTAAATAACCTGGACAAGACTGCCCATTTGCCACAGTAAATTATCTGTGTAAAATAATCAATACTCATCATAAAATTACCAGTGCTCATACTAGCGCGTGGTCCACCTGAGGATGACAAACGCCGTCATACAAACAAAACGCGTGGGATTGCAGTTTTTTTGCCTATAAGAGGCTACCAAACTCAACACAGGCAAAGTGCTTGAAAAATTTTATATAACCACGCATACCCCAGTTTCTACGCTCTGGCCTCGGGGATCCTGGGATAGATTCTCATTCGGAAGAAGTGTTTGTGTGAGCCACAGACAATTGTCTCGAAACTAAATATGACTGATGAACTTTGAGAAATAATTGCTTTCTTTGTAGAAAGCGATTCTTTTTCAAAACAAAATTAGCTGTAGGTGTGATGTTAATAGTGACGTGGAATACATTTTACATGTAATTTAGTGTATCGAAATTATCAATAGCCACTTTATAATTGCTATCAATTCCCTAAATACATTTATTATCAAATCGCTTATACATTTGAATAGCGTGAACAAGTATTATAATTTTCGCTAAATGGCTTTCGAATTAGAGGCCCCTTTGTCTCATTAGCAAAATATACCTAGACTCATTTAAGGACCGGAGAAAAAAATAGACTATATTTAATTAACGCGATAATTATCAACTATTAAAATGTATTCCCGATTCCGTAGACTTTTACCGCCACGACATGCTGACATGCACGAACACACGACACGACGCGATAGAGTTCCACCTCATTTATCGCGATATATATTATTTACCACTGAATACTACCGGATTTATCGGGTATCGGTCTGTATGTCCCGCGCGGCACCGTCGTTCACTTTCCACTTGCTCGGTTGCTTGCAAAAACGCCGTTTAATTTTTAGGGTTCCGTATCCAAAGGGTAAAACAGGACCCTATTACTAAGACTCCGCTGTCTGTCAGTATCTCATGAACTGTGATTGTTAGACAGTTGAAATTTGCAGAGATGTATTTCTGTTGCCGCTATAAAACAAATACAGAATAAAAAAAGTATTTAAGTAGGGCAGACAGACTTTATGATTTTTTTGCCATTTTTGTTGATGGTACGGAACCTTTCGGGCGTGAGTCCGATGGCACTTGGCCCGTTTTTATTATATTTCGCGCGAATTTCACTGAAACGATCATGTTAACGCCAAAAGTTGGCGGGCTCGGATCGTAATTGACTGTCAAACATCAGCAGCGATTCGCTGAAGTTGTGAGAGCGGTAATTTCCTTGCTAAATGATTAAATGTCTGGCCATTCGCGTGAGGTTCATCGATAATCGTTGAAGTTAATAATACGTTATGTTTTTGTAACTTTTTAAGCTTCAATTCAAAAGGTTTTTGTTAAAGCTTATGAACAATAATTATACTTTAAAATAATCATTTTAAAATTAATTTTGTTGGTTGTAAAATTCTCTCAAAATCCGTTCTATTTCATCAAGCTAATAACACGAACAACTTTTAACCAGATTCACGATATAAGCCGTGCTCTTGCGATTTTATTGAAAGATAACTATATTCCCACAGCGAGAAGCGACTTTAATTGAACGTTTTGTTTTGAGATCATTGTACAGACTATTAGAAACTGCTATTTAATTGAACCGTCCATGTCACAACGTAATGGCATAAATTAAAAATGCAAACTATATCGGCTTTTATAAATGTAGCATTGTAATTAACCGAAATACTGTATGTTATCTTTGAACGAAAAACGCAGTTACGAGGTTTACGTCACTTTAGGGCAGATAAAGCGGAGCTGTTACTTGTTAACATGCGCAGCTGAAAATGATCACGTTACAAGTCTCTCTAAAATGTAGGGCGTGGTTAACTGTGTAACAACTGTTATGTAAACATGCGCCACTCACGTGTTATTGCAAGTCTCATTAAATAGAGGAGGACAGCCGTCGTTTTTTCACGGCAACAACCTAGATACGCCCATGTAGACATGCGGCACTGAGTACACATGCACGTGATCGAATCTAGAAAACTAGGCGTGGGTAATTAACCGATGACATTTTTACTAGTGCATGTCAACATGCATACTAAAATGTCTCGACATGCATGTTGACATGCACCATATCAGACATGCGTGCGTGCCTACCTGGAAGTTGGGGCGGGGCTCGTCGGGCGCGGCGCTCAGCGCGGCCCTGTGGCGCATGTAGAACGTGTGCTGCTGCACGCACATCCGCCACACGTACTTGCCGTCCTCTGGGCTGGGCAGCACGAAGGCAGCCGAGCCGAGGGGCCGCTGGCACTCGACGCTGAACGTGCGCTTGTGGTTGATCACGTTCGTTATGTCCATCCATCTGCGGCAAACAGACGGCTGTGAGCACCGGGCGGTGTGGACGATTTGTACGGATGGGGTTCGGTACCGAGTCCCTCGCTTCTGAACGATAAGGCTGCCAATTGTAGGTTTATGTAATTTTTGTCTGGTGTACAATAAAGAGCATTTCATTCGTTTATTTCAAATCCGAACGACCACTGCGACCTAATAACTTCTGCTGTCTTCCCTTCGTAAGCATTGTCGTTTTCAATACATAATCTTCACGTGGACAAACACCCAGATCGGAAACAATCATCTGTGAGTCACACAAGTAGTTGTCCCGCGTGGGAATCAAACCCACGGCTCCCGCGTCGAAGCCGATGCCTTGACAAATGCGCCACGAAGTCATCAAACTAAACATCAACGACACGGGGCGGTAGCTCGCTCAAGTACGTTCGACAATTACCTACTGTAGGTTAGATTTCACTAGCGGCTTTATAAGCGTGGTAATATCTGAAATATATGGACCACTTTTACGAAACGAGCAAGTGGCCCCACTTTTTAACCGACTTCAAAAAAGGAGGAGGTTCTATGTTCGACTGTATGTATTTTCATGTAAAGGCATCTGCAGGCCCTCAGGAGTTGTAGATGTCACGAATGCCAGCTCGTTTGACAATTTTAACACATAAAAAAACCACAAAAATATTAGAGAAAGGGACACTTTCAAAACATCGTAACAAACAAACTTTATCAACGAACATTATGTTAAGGAAAAAATCTGCACTAGAACATTACAATTACTAACATTTTGAAGTAATTACACTCAAATATCTTTGAATGGTAAATTAAGGACAAGAAAAAAAAATAGGGATGAGAAGTTTGCATTCGAAAATTTAAATATACCCATTTGCGACAGTTTCAAATGCCCAGCATTGACCATATATCTCACGTCATACCTGTAGAAGTGCGGCGTATCGCTGGTCTCGGTTAGCACACGGATGCCGGTGAGCGAGACGGCGATAGTGACCTCGCTCTGGTCGAGCTGGTCGCGCGCGCCGAACATCTCCTGCCCGTAGCCGCGCAGCTGTTGGCACGCCGTGATGAAGCCCTCCTCTGCTTGAGCCTGGCGGCGAGGGCAATTATAAGTTTCTGCCCCTGCCCTTATCCCACTTAGGTGGGGTTGGCGCAACACGTGAATCGTTTTGTAAGCAGTTTTGGCTTGTCAACCCTCCTTCGCAAACAAACGCCCAGATCCTGAACAGTTATCTGTGGGTCGACCCTTGCCGAAGCCAATAGCTTAGTAACAGTGCCAATCCAGTCATACTCACACAGTCAAATTAGCATTGCTTCAAATGCTAAAAAACAATGTAGATAGATAAGACGTTAAGATTTTCGTCGTTGTGGCAATCAGCTGTTTAGCTTAGTGGCTAAAGCGTCAGGCCGCGAATGCCGAAGGCGTGGGTTCGATTCCCACAGCGGCGACAATCTTTTTGTACTTTTTCTACAAATTTTAACAGTCAAACTAAATTTCTTAATCTTATCCTTTAAACGAGCAATTCTTGTATATATATATATATATAATCGGAATCTCGGAAACGGCTCCAGCGATTTTCATGAAATTTAGTATGTGCGTAGATTCGGGGGCGAAAAATCGATCTAGCTAGGTTTCATTTTTAGAAAATGTCCTTTTGTCCCTGTTTTCCAGGAATGAAAAATATCATTCGAATACGACGGTAAATTTCGCCGCAAAAAAAATGTTATAATAGCTCGGTCGGTAATTCGGCGGCCCCGAAACAGAAGGCCGTGGTTCGTATCAGGATCATTTACACATTTATTTTTTTACTTCTTTGTCGATTCCAGATCATTGCTTTCTTTATTTTTAATTTTTTTTTCGATTCGTTATTTTGTTATTATTTTCCCTTTTTTTTAAAGTTATTTTTTTGTGAAAAACATCAGTTCATATTTTCTTATTATTACGTCGGTAAGATCGAAAAATATTATGCATATTTAATTACTCAGTAATTTGTATCTAAATGTAATTTCCAAAAACACACGACTTACCCAAAAAAAAAAACCGAGCAAAGCTCGGTCCTCCGGGTACTTACCTAAATATAAGTCGTTTTTTCAAACTTGTACAAGTCATATCAACCAGAGCTACGTAAATTTAAAATAGTCCTCCGCAGACCAATATGACTTTAGATAATGCAAAGTTTGCATCTCATGAAACCGTTTGGAAACGTTAAGATTGATAGTAGGCCATGTTAATAGTAGGCTACGCCAAGAGTTAATTTAAAGCTAAAGAACAGTATATAGTAAGCCCAAAATTGAAATTTCACCACAGGCGTCCAGTCCGAAAAAGTTTTTATAGACGCTAAGACTAAAATCAACAGCAGAGGCCAGATACTTGAAATTCCGTCGGAGTTAATGTGAAAATACTTAGGTCGCTGTATGTACACCAGTGATTATTTAAATAGTGTTAAAAAAATGTATTGTTAAAAAAATAATGTAAACATAAATAATAGTGTGTTAAAAGCTTTGCACCCTTTTCTAGACAAAAGTGAAATGATGAGAGTGGGTGGGCGTCTACACAACTCTTCACTTTTGTATACACAAAAACATCCTATTATTCTTCCAAAAGAATCACGCATAACTGATATGATCATTCAAAGTGAGCACATAAGGCTTATGCATGCAGGTCCTAAATTATTGCTATCTGTATTAAATGAAAGGTATTGGTTAATTAATGGTCTTAGACATATAAAAAAAATAACATACAAATGTGTAACATGTTTCAGGTTAAAGGCTGAATCATCGAAGCAGTTAATGGGTTCCTTGCCGACACAAAGAGTTACACAAGCACATCCATTTGATAAAGTCGGTATTGACTATGCTGGGCCAATAGATATAAAGCAATCCAGGATAAGAAGGTCTATCATCTCAAAGGGTTATATTTGTCTTTTTGTATGCTTCACAACTAAAGCCATTCACATAGAATTAGCCTCAGACTTAACGACCGCAACATTTCTTTCCTGCTTCAATCAAAAACGCTTTACCGCGCGTAGAGGACTACCGCATGAAGTGTTTTGTGATAACGCAAGTAATTTCAAAGGCGCAAGGAACCGATTGACTGATTTATATAATTTGGTCAGCTCTCAGAGTCACAAATCACAGGTCAATAATTATGCTTTACAAAATAATATTCGCTTTCACTTTATACCTAGTTACTCACCTGTGTTTGGGGGGCTCTGGGAAGCTGGAGTAAAAAGTACTAAATATCACCTGAAACGTGCGTTAGGAAATAATGTATTTACATTTGAGGAGATGTATACTGTTCTTACGCAAATAGAAGCAATATTAAACTCAAGGCCCCTAGTGCCTCTATCATCAAATATCGACGACTTCACTTACCTTACTCCAGGTCATTTTCTAGCTGGCAGGTCTATAGTATCATATCCTGAACATGAAGGGTGTACCTCCCCTCATGTGGCCTATGGGTCGTATAACAAAAGTATTTCCTGGGAAGGATAATAAGATTAGGGCCTTTGAGGTAATGAATTCAAATAAAAAAACACATGTAAGGTCGATAACAAAAGTTTGTTTATTTCCTATTAATAATAATGATAATTGACCATATGTTCGTAGGCCATCTTAGGATGTGTAATTTTGTTGCGATGCCAAGAACACAAGTTCTCATATTTAAGTTTAAGTTTATTACTATGTTAAAATGTAATATTTTCAATGTTTTGGGGTGTCTGAGTTTGTTTGCTTTGGGATAACACTTTTCTTTATAATTTAAGATTGTTTTCTTTTCAAAATGTAAAAAGTTTTTAGATGTTTAAATAAGATTTTGGTGTATAAATTCCATAACTATTGTACTTTCTCGTGGCCCCCAATATGTTGGCAACATTAAAATTATTTTTATGCATGGCAATTGTATACCATTCGAATCGCTGTATTAAACTCTCTCGCATAGACGTGTCATTAAAAGTCTGTACACAAGAAAATAAATTTAAGTGTCTAAAAGTGGTTTAATTCAAGACCTACTCCACCAGCTTTACCGACAGGCAGGATTACTTCCACTACACTCAGGCAACCCCTGACATTCTCCCTTGACAGGTGATCTGAGGAACAAGTGGGTACAATTTTCTAAAAGTTTAGATATTATGACACCAATTACATTGCAAAGAGTAGTTCCTACTGCATGTGCACGGTCTCTCGAGCTTGTGGGTTTTGCTGATGCTTCGAGTTCAATAGCTTATGGCTGCTGTATATACCTGCGAGTTAAACAAGAAGGTAAAGCAAGCTTATACTTACTTTGCTCCAAGTCTCGTGTTAATCCACTTAATAAGCCACTAACTGTGCCCCGATTAGAACTGAATGCAGCACTTCTGCTTGCAAAGCTAATGGTGAAAGTTCACAAAGCCATAAGCACAAAGATAAGCTTTGCAAAATATATATTTATTTTCTGACTCTAAAATAGTCCTTGCATGGATCGGGACTCAGGTGACGCAGCTGAATGCTTATGTAGCTAACAGAATCCAAGTTGTGGCGCAGTTAACTGCCGGTTGGACTTGGCACTACGTCAGTACGAGCGACAACCCTGCGGATCTCATCACGCGCGGCGTGAGTCCCCAGGAGCTTGCAGACAACATGCTCTGGTGGACAGGGCCCTTATTCCTGCAAAACGATAAGTATGAATACTATAATAACCCTGATCTACCTACTTGCTTACCGGAAATGAAAGTTTCACTGGTAGACTCCAGGCTTTCCAGTTCCATTGTGCTTCCAGCAGTGCATAATACAATTGATATCTTTGAAAGGTATTCTAATATACATAAAATGACTAGAGTATTAGCATATGTATGGCGGTTTTATTACAATTCTAAAATAAAAGATAATAATCAAAGGATAAAAACTAGTTTTTTAACAAGCAAAGAAATAAATAACTCTTTATTATCGATAATAAAACGTGAACAATATAAATACTTTTCAAAAGAAATTAACTCATTAAAAAATAATGTAAACATAAATAATAGTGTGTTAAAAGCTTTGCACCCTTTTCTAGACAAAAGTGAAATGATGAGAGTGGGTGGGCGTCTACACAACTCTTCACTTTTGTATACACAAAAACATCCTATTATTCTTCCAAAAGAATCACGCATAACTGATATGATCATTCAAAGTGAGCACATAAGGCTTATGCATGCAGGTCCTAAATTATTGCTATCTGTATTAAATGAAAGGTATTGGTTAATTAATGGTCTTAGACATATAAAAAAATAACATACAAATGTGTAACATGTTTCAGGTTAAAGGCTGAATCATCGAAGCAGTTAATGGGTTCCTTGCCGACACAAAGAGTTACACAAGCACATCCATTTGATAAAGTCGGTATTGACTATGCTGGGCCAATAGATATAAAGCAATCCAGGATAAGAAGGTCTATCATCTCAAAGGGTTATATTTGTCTTTTTGTATGCTTCACAACTAAAGCCATTCACATAGAATTAGCCTCAGACTTAACGACCGCAACATTTCTTTCCTGCTTCAAACGCTTTACCGCGCGTAGAGGACTACCGCATGAAGTGTTTTGTGATAACGCAAGTAATTTCAAAGGCGCAAGGAACCGATTGACTGATTTATATAATTTGGTCAGCTCTCAGAGTCACAAATCACAGGTCAATAATTATGCTTTACAAAATAATATTCGCTTTCACTTTATACCTAGTTACTCACCTGTGTTTGGGGGGCTCTGGGAAGCTGGAGTAAAAAGTACTAAATATCACCTGAAACGTGCGTTAGGAAATAATGTATTTACATTTGAGGAGATGTATACTGTTCTTACGCAAATAGAAGCAATATTAAACTCAAGGCCCCTAGTGCCTCTATCATCAAATATCGACGACTTCACTTACCTTACTCCAGGTCATTTTCTAGCTGGCAGGTCTATAGTATCATATCCTGAACATGACCTTTCTGATATTTCAATATCTAGACTTAGGCTGTGGAATGCCACAAACAAAATTGTGCAGACTTTCTGGCATACATGGCATAAGCATTATTTGAACAATTTACAGTCAAGACCTAAATGGAGGGCTGAAGTCTCAAATGTAAAGATAGGTG